ACCTATCTAGGATCTAGCTAGTCAGGGCAGGTACGTATGTACTAGATCTGGTGCATGTCTGCCCTTGTTTGAAAGCTACTAGATAGGGAACAGATGAATGTTGATTGGCCAGATGAATTCCTTTGTAAAACAGCAGCATTTTTATGTGGTACTACAGTTCACTTAGCTACCTTAGAATGAAAAAAACATCTCCCTCACCAGGAATGGCCCTTTGTAAATCTAAGTACTAGTCTTTCAGGCAGTGTACAACACCTTGCATATCTGTAGACTAAAGATCCATCTACAGTACAATTCTGCCCTGTCCTTTACTAAATACTGACACATGCATATATCTAGACTTTATCAAGTGTGGGCATCGACTTGCTGCTCGGTGTCCATTCTCAGAGTAACCAATCTGCCAGAAGACTTAGATAGAACCCAGCGCCCCATGGTTATTCTTTTTAGAGTGAAAAACATCTTCCTCGCCAAGTATAACCCCTTTGAATCTTAGTACCAGTCTTCCAGATACTGTTCAACATCTGACATATCTGTAGAATGAACACTACTGTACAAATTCTTCTTTCCACTGCCATTTCACTATTCCTGGCATATGCATCTCTGGACTTTACCAAGTCTAGTCACAGACTTGCTGCTTGGCATGCTGCTTGGCGTCCATTTTCAGAGCATCGGTCTGCTAGGCATGACAATCTTGATAGAACTCATTGCCCAGAGATCATTCTTTTTAGAGTAAGAAAACATCTTGCTCACTTAGAATGACCCTTATAAAATCTCAGTACTAGTCTTCCAGATGGTGTACAACATCTTACACACCTGGAGAATAAAGAGTTGAAGACCACTCTGCAGAATGCTTCTTTCCACTGTAAACATATCCACAGACCATATTACACATCAGGGTTTCATATATGAAAAGGTAAATGTTGCTAAATATATAACTTCAAATGTCAACTCATTTGAAATAAGAAATATTGAATATTTTTGAAATAGTTTGAATGATGGTGCTAAACATACATTAATCTCAATTTTCCAAGGTTGCAGTCATATTTTCAATAATACATGCAGACCTACAAAAGTAGTTAAATCCAGTAGATGCAAAGAACAAATATCTCTCAAGTAGATATTGCTATTATGAAGTACAAAGGGTGAAACAAAAGTCATATTTCAAATAAAATAAAATTAAAATTTGTTTACGTGTATCATGTTTGTTGTTATTGTATCATAAGCAGGTGACAGTTTAAATCTTAAGAGACCGAAGAGAATTTAGTTTTCGATATTTCTTTGTTTTTTATTAAATCTGATGCAGAAAATTTATTTGTACGGTTTCTAAATGAAAATTTCACAGCCTGGCCTATTGGCTTTGGGCAATGTGATCGACCCTGAGAACAATCATATACTGACTGGATGTACAATATAAGTTCTCATGATTCACAGACAAGATGCATTGGACTGCCTCTCTTACCCCTAGCGGTTCTTGAGATATTGCAAGAACAAAAATAATTTAAATTAAATGACCTTTGACATTAGACCTACTTACTCTGAAATTCAATCACATCATCTTCCTATGGTGATACATATTATCACTTATGCGGTGGTCACATCCCGCCGTACTTGCAAGTGCGTGCTGTCTACGTGCAAAAACGTGGGCAAAATTTGGGTATCCGTACGTGATGAGTACCGCCTCCGTACGGATTTGGGAGCACGCAGACACACCGTAGCACTTTTAGTACATGAGGAACTTTCGCTGCGTTCGGGCTGCGTTCGGCTACCGATTCACCCCAGTACGTGTGACGCGCGTTGCCGGTACTCCCTCCCTGCCTTTGCCACTCCCTCCCTACGTTTTCAGAAAAACGTGGCGACCGTGGCCTCCCCAAAAACCGTACGGACTAAAAACACGCACGGTGGGATGTGACCAACGCTTAAAGGAGGCAGAGAGAGAGGTGATAAGAGTAGAAAGACCAGCTACGCTAGAGGGTCATCTAAGTCTTCAATGACAAATACAGGGAAACGATGAAGATGTGCCAGGTAACTTATACGGAATATGGAAAAAGGTTTTGAGTCCAGTTTCTTCATATCAAATAGAAAATCAATATCATCTTGCGACACAGAACGCAGACAAAACTTCATCAATGCATCTGAACTAGACTTCACAGAGTCAATGAAGTACAAAGGAGGAAGTGAAAGAGGTGATAAGAGTAGAACGACCAGCTACGCTAGAGGGTCATCCAAATTTTCAATGAGAAATACAGGGAACAATGAAGATGCTCGAAGTAACTTATACGGAATATGGAAAAATCTATTAGGTTGGTGAATTACCAGAAGGAATTCATTTCAAAAGCCATCATATGGAAGGAATACTTTCCTTAGAATCCTGAATTGCAAGGCCTAGTACAGAGATGCCAACTGTTCAGTTTTTGCTGTATTTGTTCCATTTTTTTGCTATGAATACGGCAGAACGTTTTTTGTATTTTTTGTTCCGTTTTTTAGTGTTTTTTGCCCTGCGCTATGTATTGCATACAAGCCTAGGCCTAGCCCTGTACTGTATGCACGCCAAATGGCCATGCATTGTACGTTCTAAAAAAGATGTTTCACTGCACGATGTGAGCTGTGTATTTCTGAATTCAACATTTTACACGGAAGTGCGAACGATATACAAGTACACTTGCAACAGAAAAAGCATGTCAGCTTGGCTTCAAGTGCTGCAAGTTGTCAGGATCTTGGACAATTGTTCAAAAAGACTGATTATTCAACAATCAGAGCAGAAACCAATAGCGATATGTTAAGGTGTTTTTTTCCTTCTACAAATGTTTTTTTTTGGGACGAAGGTTGGCATCTCTGCTAGTAGAGCAAGCAGATACTAATACAGGGAAGAAGGATAACAGAGAAGAAAAAAAGAAAAGGTAGAATAAGTGGAAAACTTCTCCAGCTCCAGCAAAGCATGAGTCTTCAAAAGAAAAAGAGGCTTCCGACAGGCTGGCTTATTCAACATTGTTTGAAATAGCTCAGAGGCTACCACAGGACAGCAAGCGGCAACTATTTTACAGAGGCTTCCATAAAAAGGTTCTGAAGGGATCTCCAAGGTGATTTCTAACAATGAATATATATGCCCTAGGCCTGAAGCAGGAGATCATGGACATGGCTTGCATGGTCATGGAGATACTTGTGGACATGCTGCAAATAAAAAGGCATCTAGAGATGCACTGGAATCAGCCTTAAAAGAACGAGTTTGAGATATCATAAATATCTCCAGTAAGCAAAGAATGCATATAATAAATAAGATGTATTGCTACTCAGGATTATTGTAAAGGGAAAATGAGAATGATCAATGTTAAAAGGCAAATGTTCAGTTTTAGGCTAAGTGGCTTAAAATGATTTTAGACAATACAAAAAGAATTTGGAAAGATATATGAGTCAACATTGGTTTGACTTTTTGGTAGGCCTGCATCTACTGCTGAATTGCAATTATACTGATGATGCATTACATCTCTTGAAACTTAGAAATGTGCCACACTTTTAGATAGAAATATTACATGCATGGTGCCTCATACAAAATTACACACCAGTTGAATGTAAGGCACAGAAATATGTTGACGAAAAGACTACGGGTTAAAAATAAATCAACATGCCTGCAAATTTGCTTAAACTGTAGTGAAATCTGAAATAAATATGTGTATAATTGGTGTTCCATTGTTTTGCTAAATTGTTTGTGAAATTATGTTATTGTTGAATATTGAATAAATACCTCATTAGAGGAAAAGAGAGAAAGAAAAAAAAGATTTGTTATTTCTAACAATGGATACAGATGCCCTAGGCCTGAAGAAGGAGATTATGGACATACTGAACGTGGCTTGGATTGTCATGGAGATATTCATTGATATGCTGTGAATGAAAGGCAGCAAGGCATGCACTGGAGACAGCCTTCAATGGAGTGGGAGATATCTTAAATATTAGGAAATCAGAGCACCAATGTCATGTTATCATGCATCCATATCAGAGTATATGACTACTTGTGGTAAAATGCTAGAAATGTCCAGACAAGGACCAATAACAAGTGGGCAAGAGTGAAAAGGTTTCTAAAAAAAACTTCCAAGGGTTTGGTAAGAGGAATACACCAGACAAAAACTGGATGCTAGAGAGAGATACAAAAGTGAAGAAAGTGGCTGGATAGATGCAGACAATGTACACTGAACTGCAGAAAGAAGGTTTCAACCTTGTACCCTCCTATCAATGGAAACTACACATCATCTTGAGGCTCAGAATGTGGGCAAAAATTCATCAATGCACAAGAACTAGACTTCACGGACTCAACAATGTACAGAGGGGGAAGCGAGAGAAAATGAGAGAGAGGAGATAGGACATTTCATTTCTCTTTTGGCTCCTGCTTGCACCTGTATATTTATCATTTTCTAGATGAATATTGAGTTGAAATAAAAACAATAAAATAAATCGGCATATGACTTGTCTATCTTTTATATAAAAGAATAAATCTTTTAATCATAATCATATGACATGTTCTGAAAAAGTGTATGGCTATATATGATAAAATAATCTTTAACAACAGTATTGCTATGGGGTGTATTTGTCATCTGTATTTTATGAGAGAAGTATCCATAATACCTTTCAAGTTGGAGAAAATGAATTGAAGGCTTTTGTGGTTATACCACATGGTGGAGGTAACCCTGAAAACTTAATCAACAATTCATATTCTCCATTTAACATAGAACGACAACGTCATTTCTTACAACATTTTAATTCTAATGTAATCTTTCATAGGCCATACAAATTTGAATATAGGGTTATCTGAATGGTTTGGCAAAAATCAAGACTTCCATGAATGATAATATCTGACATTTATCCCATGACATAAAATGATAATAACCTGAATTTGATAATGAAATGGTTAAATTTTCTCAGCTAATTAACCCCCCCCCCCCCTAAAAAAAATTAAAAAGATATTACTACATGCTTGGTATTTATTTGAATTATTGTGGAATCTCTTTTAAAAAAAATTGTTCCCAGTCTGTAGTAATGGAATAAATATTACCACAATATACACATCCATCCACTGAAGAAGATTTGATATCACAATGTCCAACTTGCATGGAATAGTGACAGCTTTTGCTTTGCTTGAGATACCCAGCCATAACTGTAATCTAAGCATGTCATGGAAGAAAGTAGATTCAGCTGCAAGATCGTAGTAAGATTATGACTGGTTCTGAATAGTCATCACAAAAAAAATAGCTTCACCTCCTCAGAATTGGTCCACTTTCAAATTTCACAACTGCTGTTTTGCCTTGATAAGCTGCTGCCTAAAAGGCTTTCCAGGGCTCACCATCTGTCCAATGAGCCCATCTCACTCTCTTCTATCAATCCATGACTGTCCAACCCTGCAGCCAGGGCTAACACTTCCAACAGAGCTCGTGTCATGCTCTCCTTTAATCTGAATCTGATGATTATCCAATGTCAGTGTCACCCATGTCCAATCCAATACCTGGGCTTACTATTAATGTCCATCATGTTCATCATCTAGGTGTGTCTGAATCAGTCTGAATCTGATGATAAACCACTGTCATTTTTTTCATCATCATCGTCCTCCTCGCTCCCCTCCTTGTCCCAGTCTTTCATCCCCGCCCCAAGCATGAAGTCATCTCGTAACACTCCCCATGATGGCTGATCCCCAGATAATGGTTTCTGGGAAAATAAGGACAAAATTGTAAACGGTAAAAAAGGAACTAAGTTAAAATTTGTATTAATATTAAAGTATTAATAAATAAGCCAAACTACGAGCACGCCTCTTTCATTATATTTCTCCAATCTCTGAGTTAATAAGAAAATGAAAATTACATATTGTGTGTAAACTTTTTCAGCTTCAGGAGCAGATGACAAGTTTGCAAAAACAGGTAAAATGTAATACATTGTTGATGCCTTCCATTATTCTACTTGGCAGTATGTCATCCGAGAAGAAGAAAAATCAAATGATGCTTTTTGACAAGGTATTGAATAGGTTGCATGGAACATAGAGCCAACACAGTGAAGGCTAGCAAGTTCTTGATATTCTTTCTGTCTGTCTTCTATTTCTTTAAAACTTTAAAATAGAAAAAGAAGAAAACTACTACATAGCTGCCTCCTCTTTGGATCTATTCTTTGAAAGCAACAGCTTATTCCCTAATGAAAAATTGAATTCATAAAATTCTGGAAAAAGCAACTTTGCACCACACTGACACTGCAACGGTTCATCAATGATAGAAACTTACCTCTGCTGATGTAACGCTTCCTTTTGCCTTTGATGAAGGGTCCACACTTGAAGGTGCTGGCGTGCCTTTCAACATATCCAAGAAATTTCCCTTCGTTAGTGATGCCTCTACTTTAGCTCTCTTTCGTTGTGAGCCTCCTACTTTTTTCAGCTTATCTTCTCTAGTCTTCTGTTGCTTCTTCACTGCGTTGAAGAGTTGCACCACACCTCTGTAACATGAGGGAAATCAGAAGAAAGAAATAATTAAAATATTAAAGGCAAAGACCAGTTTTGGAAACGCCCCCTCTCAAAAAATGAAATGGAAGCTCTTATTACAAATCATGTGTAAGAATATGTTTTGACTAATACGTGATGATACAAATTTTGCAGAGAAACCGCCTACTTATTAAAGGGATAGTTAAACAATGTTAAATCTGAGATACACGGCCCTACGTACTATCAGTGTCTGTGATATGGTGTAATATTGAAGCCCTAAAAAAGTTGCGCTTCAAAATGATCAAGAAGTGCCTCAAAAAAGTAAGAATCTTTGAGTGACCGGTTTTACCATACTCGTTTTCCCCAATAGACTGTAGTGTTATGAAAACCGTCAGGCGAACGGTTTTCAAAATTTGTAATTCCTATCATAAATATCTTGATAATCAGACAGGCGATCGGCTTGTAAAAGTAATGGGGTTCCTGACTGACCTAAAGGTTTATAATTATCATTGCATCATGACCTAAATCCAGAATTTTGTTTCAGAATCTGAGACAAAGTTACCGGATCCCTTTAATATATTTGGTAAATTATCATATCTATTTAGACCTGATAGATATTACACACGTGCACGTAGTCCCATATACATCTTTCTGTGTACAGTGCTTGTAACTTTACCGAGACTTTCTTATCATTTTGATGATTCCAGAACCTTGCAGTACATAGCAACATTTTATATATGCTAGATGATCAACCTTTTCTGATTGATTCCATAACGTTTCTTTCACAATGTAATCGCATGACCATAACTGGTCTTTATCTCTAAGGGATAGACTTTATTCATCTAAACCTACTGTGTCATTGTTTAATTCATCTTGAAAGTAACATAAAAAAGCATGGTATGAAGTTGGCATAAGATTATGAGTAGTTCACAGTTTAGGATAAATCGTTCATTCATAGAGCATCATTCAAGAAATTTGCCCTTAAAAATGGGAAATATCTGCTTCCCTCATTAGGAAGATATGTAGACAGCTTTATTAAGGAAGAAACATTAAAGAGATTCATCTCTTTTTTCCACTATCACATGTTTTTTCAGGAAAAGTTGTCCCCAAACTCCTTATAAATAAGGAAATTACCCAGTGCCAGGACAGCACAAGATCAAAATGACTTACTTTGTAGCTATTCTTTGGAGAGATTTTTCAAATTCTCTGTCTGTAACTTTGGGTATCACCTTGGACATATTCTCCCATTTCTTCCTGCTTTGTTTCTGAAATGAAAAATGAAGAATTAAAACAATTGTAGAATTGTAGAAATAATGTATATTATACATTGCTACAATCTGACCAGGTCCTACAAAACCTTCTTCAGCAGCCACCTGTATAGAAAGACCACATGCCAAAGTCACATCCCTAACCCTGAACAGTATTCCACACTGAAACCTGGATGACAGTAACCTCTACAAAGACCGATTTCTTGTACCCATTCTGTAGCCTTTATATCAGGTTTGACTGTACAAAACTGTTAATAAATTGTGTGAAGCACATATGATATTCCAGGAGCTCCAATATGACAATCATAATAAATTTACCTAATATGCCTGGTTTCAAGAGAGCATGTTTTAAGTGAAGCACAAATAGTTGTGCACTTCCCAACTTCTACAAAGAAATTATAAACAATGAAAATCCAACAAAACAAAACTTTTTAAATGTTTATTCCACTCTCTGAAGTTTTAAAAGATCCCAAACTAGTTTTTTGTTGTCATGTACATAATGAGATGCTTGCTTTACCTCTTTTATTCTCTCCATATAATCCTTCATCTCTTCCTCCTTTGCTTTGGCATAGTCTTTTGACTTGGCAAGGACAGCTGAGCCCTCTTCTGGTGCTTCCTTCCTGAGGATGCTTGCCATAGCATCAGCCCATCCTACTCCTGGTATCTCTTCACCTTCTTCCTCCTCATCACCATCGTCTTCCTCCTCATCACCATCGTCTTCCTCTTCCTCGTCTTCTTCCTCCTCATCACCATCATCTTCCTCCTCCTCATCATCTATATCTTCATCGCTCTCATCATCCATCTCATTTGTTGTTAGTTGTTTCTTTGGTAAAGTCTTCATCTTTCTTTTCAAGACAGTTTCTATGATGATAGAGAAGAAAAAATAGAGTCTTTGAATCAGTTAAGGTCCCATTTGCAGGCCCCAAAAATAAAAAAGTTAAATTCCACTAGCATTTGATACCATTTTAGAACTTCCCTCAAAACGAAAGGCTTGAAAATATCTTTTTGTGGGAAAATATCTTTTTGTGGGAAAATAATGACCGATAGTTGTCGAATCGACTTTAAGGATTGCAATCCTTTTAGTGAAGAGATCTAGAACTAGATCTAGAACTAGATCTAGAACTAGATCTAGTCTGATTTTCAGATACTTGTTCAGAATTGTGTACGTTCTGTGAATGCGCAAAGCATTGATTGAAAGATTCAATACCGGTACGGCGTAGACCCCTAGAATCTACCTTTAATTTTGGCCATTACAAAGTCATTAATACAAGAAGTGGGTTGTTGATGTAGACACATGCTCATGTACCCTTTACAGCTCATTTTTAATTTTGCATGTAAGTCGGTGACAAAATAAATCTTGTACTATCATCTATGTAGCCTGTTGGGTTACTGTACAACGGCTATCGACAGCATGCCTCTGCCTGCTCGCCTGGGGAGCAACACGCAGCGGCGGCCGTGTGGCAGTGCTCGTTTTTCATTACAGTCCCATACAATATTAAATGGCGTTAGTAGGAACGCAAATAATGTATGACAAATTGAATGGTAGAAATCTTTAAGTATACGTACTTGTCTTGACATCTTCATCACTCTCAATATCTCCATCACTTCCAGAATCATATGACACTTTAACATGTGCCATTTTTCTTTTATTAACCGTTAAAGCAGACATAGTTTTTCGCACGTGGATATCAATTGAAATATAAACAACGTGGATTAAAGTTCGTTGACCTTTATACTCATTTGTTGAAAACTACATCGGTCGTGGAACGTACGAAATTCAATTCAATTTTTTTCTCAATTCAATTCATTTATTTTTCCTCTTTCAATCGTTCATATACAATGATGTTACATTTTAACATATTCACATATTTATATACATATAGATCAATTTGCACATGAAATTGAAAGGGAAGGAGGGCCGACTAAAAAGCAGAGTTTGTATGGTGTTTTTTAGCCCCCCTGTACAGTAATTATTATGAAACACATATCAATAGTTCAACATATTGATTTGTTATGAGTTTATTCTTCTGTTATTCTATAAGTTAGACATCTTTTTCTTCCCACCCCCCTCCACCCCCACCCCCCCCCCCCCCCCCCCATTCCCCCCTTTCCCCATAGGCGCTCTCTCTCCCTCTTTCTCTCTCTCTCTCTCTCTCTCTCTCTCTCTCTCTCTCTCTCTCTCTCCTCCCCTCTCTCTTTTCCATCTCCATGATCTCCCTCCTCCTTCAGTCAAATGACTTCCGAATTAACTTCTGCTATTAACTGATTTGATTTTTTTTTTAAAGAGTCTTTTACTTTTTCAGAAGTTGTCATTAGCAAATTTTGGTAATTTCACATACCGGTAAAAGTCACAATTTTTGTTATCTCTCTAGACTCTCGTCCGCAAACGGATCTTATGACTAATCCAATTTTATACACCGTCGCTCATAAAGGTGGAATATTTTAGTTTTATCCCAATTTATGGGATTATTCTAAAAATTATTTAAAAATAATAGATCTAGATAATAGTTTACATTTCCAGATTTTATTGAATAATAATTTGCCAATGTGTGCTTTACGTGACTGCTAAAGCATATGTATGCTACTATGCTTATCAACTAGAGGACCTATGCCCTTAAGTCATAAATGACAGTAATGAGGATTAATGCCCCACAAAAGGGCACTAATATAGCACATCAACACGGTTTTGATCCTGGGGCCTCACAGTTACGAGGCCATTGTTTTGTCACTGAACCATGACTATACGCAGCGGGGACTAGGGTAGGCTGCAGTTTCCATAAATTAAAAAAAACCCAGAAAATTCAATAAATTTTCAATAATTTATTGCATTTTACCCCGGTTCCCAACATAAAAAAATCTTCTGTGTACCCATGCCTTGAGCCATAATGCATGGCCTTCCAGAGAATTTTTTTTTATGTTGGGGACCGGGGTAAAATGCAATAAATTATTGAAAATTTATTGCATTTTCTGTGTTTTTTTTAATTTATGGAAACTGCCGCCTACCCTATTATAGTCCCCGATGCGTATAGTCATGGTTCAGTGACAAAACAATGGCCTCGTAACCGTGAGGCCCCAGGATCAAAACCGTGTCGATGTGCTATATTAGTGCCCTTTTGTGGGGCATTAATCCTCATTACTGTCATTTATGACTTAAGGGCATAGGTCCCCTAGTTGATAAGCATAGTAGCATACATATGCTTTAGCAGTCGCGTAAAGCACACATTGGCAAATTATTGTTCAATCAAATCTGAGAATGTATACTATTATTTAGATCTATTATTTTTAAATTATTTTTAAAATAATTCCATAAATTGGGATTACAAAAAAATATTCCACCTTTATGAGCGACAGTGTAGTTACAGGTGGAAAGATCGATTCCATTTGTCGATGTCATTTAAAGATTTTTAACAAGTATCCTAAAAATATCCTCCTTGATACAGTTCCTGTGAGTTGAAAAGGCCTGTTTGCTTGAGTGGATCTATTCATTTAATGAGGTAAAGTGCTTCTTACACACTATCTTCTCATAATATATGTTTGAAAATGACGAGATCCACCGAACTAACGAGGACAACAGTCAAACAGGTATTCCATCAAAATAGGCAGACAAGGTATATCCCCTAAGTGAATAAAAAATAGGCCTACCCACCTCAGTCAAAATTATCCGAGATTGTCTGAGGGAGGAGACTACCGAAATTATTAGCAATTGATGGGGAATTAGAAGGGGCTATTTTGTCCCTATGTATATCTGCTAACTATAATCCATACCTATAGGTTCAACATTTGCATTATTATAATAAATAAATTAGGCCTATATTCAAAATGAATGTGAGTATAAAATGATGTGCGAAATTGTGCCTATTGGTACATCGATGTCGCAGTGTGGGTCCCGAATGTTATAGGTGTCGGTATAGGAAAGGTACATCGGAGGCACAGAGAAAAGGGGGGTGCACAGTGCACTTCAGGGGCCCTGCCCCAACAAAAGATCCAATAACAGAAGAAGAAAAAAAAAGGGGGGGGGGGACGCAGAAAGGAAGGGAAAGGGAGAGAAAGGAAGGAAGGAAGAGCAAAAGTAAGGCATCATTTTTGTTACTTATTTACTTTTGCTACTTTCTTTCACAATCATATCTGGTTTCATCAAGTAATTATATACCGTCAAACCAAGTTATAAGTTTCGTTTTCATAGGGCGTTATGTTTTGTCTTTTGGGGTCTAACTTCTTAAGTCCATGCCCTCTAAAAGGGTACCCTAGATAAGGCCTAGAAACGTGCATTTTTATTACTACAGGAGGTCGTCTATTAATTGGCTGAATGTTTAGAAATACTTTTGCAATATATTCTTCCCGACTCAATCCATTCAATTTGATTAGCTTTAATGTGCCACGCAGGGAGGGGGTGCATGATCATGTCAGATGTAGAGAGATGGTCGTAGACATTTTGAGCAGTATGTTCTAAAAATACATATATACATAATTATCAATATGTGTGTGTAATGTAGACTAGTGGTTGTGGTATAATATTATTTATATCACCTATATCAGTGATATGTACGGTGAAAGTTAGATAAGGATTTATGTGTAATTTATTTGTAATTAAGAAGAGTCTGGCAGCCCCCATATATAGGCTTACGTTGGGTTCTAGGACAATCACCCCTGGCCAATTACCAACGGGACAATTACTCCGGCAAGGGCAACCACCCTCCGAGGACAATTACCCCCCGGAAAATTACCCCCTAAGGACAATAACCCCGAGGACAATCACCTATCTGAAAATTACCCCCGTTGGAGAATCACACCGGCTCTCCGAGGACAATATTACCCCAAGCCCTGAAAATTTCCCTCTTGTAAAATCACCCCTCCACCCTATAGATTACCCCCGAAATGTTTTTTTAAAACCGACTTATTATACAGGGGTAATTGTCCTGGGGGTTGTCGTCCTTTGCTGTCCTTGGGGGTGGGGGGGGGGGGGGAATTATCCTATAGGCTCTAATTTACAGAGGTGGGGGGGGGGGGGGGGATTTCCGGGGGTTCAAGTCGTCTCCGTTATTGTCCGTGGGGTATTATTGTCCTGATTTGTTTTCCTAGTTCTTCCCGTTTAAAATCGGGGATTTCATTTTTATTTCAACGAAATGTTTGATATTCTCTCTCTCTCTCTCTCTCTCTCTCTCTCTCTCTCGCTCTCTCTCTCTCTCTCTCTCTCTCTCTCTCTCTCTCTCTCTCTCTCTCTATCTGTATACTCACGAGTAGCTTGCCCTGTGTTCGATCCTTTATGCTAATCTGACTCTTGACAGCTTTTCACAATTCTCTCTTCTTTTTCATTAATGTCTCTTTTTCGTATACTGTATAGAGTATTGTGTAGTTACATATAAATATAATTATAAAATAGCAATTGAAAAAATATATAGAATATCATAAATTAGGGGGAAATTATGTCATGTACCGTACCCTAAAGAAATGTTTCCTTGCTATTGCATTGTCCGAAGCTCCGACATAATTATGCGCAATCCCCAGTACATACAGACATTAATCCTGCTGCAGAGGGGCATCAAGGTAAATTAGAAAAAAAAAGAAGTTTGAAGGATCGAGAAAAAGATTAGGCGGGAGGGACTGCACAAAAAGGAAAATCGCCTTGTTGTCTTTTGATCCTGCAACTTTTTAACATTCTAGCTTATTTACGCATTGACTGAAACTATGTTCTTAAACAAAATAATTAACTTTTGACCGCTCCCACCCCCTCCCCTCTAGAACTTCTCCTGTAAAATAGATTTTTTTTTCATGATCATGCGGCACCACAGTACCCCTTTCAACGAACAAAGATACATTTTGACTATTGTCAAGAAGGCATCTTTCTATTTTTCTTCACTTCCGTTGCAGGCGAAATGGTTTACAGTGGTTACGCGATCTTTGCCTTGGACGAATTATTTCAAATATATCTGATTTAAATTGTTGTTATACGATGGTTTAATTATTTCTCCATCATTTCTACAGTAGAGAATATCATTGGTATTATGAAAGACTAGAAGGTAAGTTGATATATTACGTATTTATTGTACGTAAATGTTGTTTTTTGTAGTGGTCTTCGATCGTGTCGAAGTTGAAAACGGTATTGACAGTGCAGTGGGCGGTGCACGATCGTAGCAAGCTCCACTGGCGAGGTGCGCCTAGTGTTCTCCCATAGATCAAAGTTAGGATTCGCTCGCGATGTGGAAGTTGATCCAGAACAATTGTCTACTCGATCTCGAGACTCTTGTATCGTTGTACATGCGCACTTAAGTCCACTTGTAGACCCTATTTAAACAAATTATAATTCTATTAATTTGTGATATCGACTTTATTTCATTTATGCCATTCCAAAGAGGTAATCTTATCAAACATTAATCTGTTGGTCATGTTAGATCTCTAGTATTGTTGTGCCAACTATTTTGTTGTTGTATTTGTAAAACATGTTCAATTTCATGATCATCCAAAATTACCCCCAAAACACCAGTTTGGATGTTACATTAAGCGTTAAATTAAAGATTTTTCGCTAATTAGGATGTTTCACATTTTGTAATTGTATTTGTTCATGTAAAAACTTTTATGCTACATCATTGGTGTGACCAAAGTTCGCGCGTGACCTAAGTTCACTATCTCAATAAATCAGAAAGATTTCAAAAATCTTAGTTATATCACCAATGGAAAGAGGCAAATTTTGCAATCTTTTGCGTCCGTTCCCAAAAATTATCAACTTCGATAATGGTCTGAAAATCTTCAATTTGAGAGCAGATCTTCTCAAAATTGTAAGTAAAAAGTGGTACCAACTAATTGTATGATATCTTGCCTTGCAAATTATGATATTACCTTATTTTTGATGGATCACATTTTTTGATAAATCAACTGTAAATCCTGTGCGTGAAGTTAGGCCTTGTTGTTTTTATGACTTTTTAAATGCAGCGCGCATGCACGATCGGACATCAAATTTTGAGATCGCGATAGCTCTGAAATCCTTTGATGATAAATTTTCTAGTTGAACCAATCTGTAGTAAAAAACTTTGCCGTTCATTTGGTAATAATTGAATTTGATTAGAATATGAGAAATCATAGATTGAATATCACATTTTGTAATATGTTCTAAAATGTCCGCGAACTTTGGTCACCCCTTCATATAAATTTGCGCACTGGGCACGCGCTAAATGTATACATCGCTCGTGCTAAAGCCGTCTTGTCTGGCCAGGCTGTTCATGCACGTACCTCATTCTATCACATGCAAGAAATGTTTGGAGTCAATGGAGATGGGCACTTGCATGCTTCATTCTGTCACACCAAGGAGCTATTCTTGGTCACACACAACTTATGTTTAGAGTCAATGGAGTAACATTGAGGAAACCAATGTGTGTGAAAGAATGAGGCACGTACTGTGGCGGTGCAAAAGCATACTAGCGACAAAACTTTAATACCAAGCAGTAAACCATATGTTTTTATTATTTCACTGACATCTCTTTGACTAATTTGTCTCTATTTTACTCTGTAATTCTCAGTCAATCTCACTATGTCTTTCTACCTACCCTTTTGATCTGTCTTTGTAGAGGCCTACCTTCTAACTTGGCTGTTTTCTTGTATTAATGCATGATTCTTATAGTCTGAAATCATCAATCACAGAATGACATTTATAAATGTTATGCAATTGTAACCTTTTGTTTTTCAATAATTTTTCAATCTTAGATTGGGTTGCTGCATGCCACTGTTTCATATTTCTCTCAAGTCATCCCTTTTGCAAAATATCACCATTGATCATCATTGATAAAATACATGAAATGTAGATGATTCTATGAAAATTTAGTTTTCAGTCTTTAAAATATTTAGAAGGGACTTCTTAAAATGCATTTTCCCAAACTTGCCATTTTAAAACAAACCATCCTATTTGTTTGGCCTGCCAAGGGGATACAGTATTTAGAAATGTTATTATGCAGATCAGCTTATACACCTAAGCAATACAAAATGTTCCAAGTATTCCAACAATGTTTTTTGTTGTTTTCGTCATTTAATAGCTGACTGATCTTCCAAGATCATGGCCTCTGTAGGGTCAGGCCAAGGTGCCAGTCACTTTGAGAAGGGGCGCATCCATGCTCTACAAGAGGAACGCATTGCCATTCAAAAGAAGACTTTCACTAAATGGATCAACTCACATTTGGCAAAGGTATGTACATCACATGTATGTATGTCTGTTTGTAAAAATGCTTCTCTAATTTTCATGGTCATACCATATTTTCTACAGGGGTGTTGTAAAGCACAAGTGCTTTTTTTCCTCCATGATGTCATTTTTTTTGTTATTAGAAATATTACAAGTTTTACAACAGGCATTTTATTATTAATATTATTATTTTGTTATTGTTGTTGTTGTAGTTGTTGATGTAGATTTATTTAGAGTGTGGTGTATTCCTCACTGTTATTAGATAACACACTTTAATACACCTGTCAGAAAATATGATTTATAATAATTTGTTAATTAAACATGTAACTAGTTATTTCTCATTAGTCTTACACCACACTTTATTCAAGGCCAGTTATTATTTTAGTTAATATTAGGATTCAATGTTTCTGGCTAGTTTCATCACACTATAGAATACTCCTCACTTCCCCCCACCTTGCAGGCAAACCTTCACATTCAGAACCTATTTGAGGACCTCCATGATGGTAAGGCTCTGATGCGTCTCCTGGAGGTCATCTCTGGTGAGTCAGTAGGTCGACCCAACCATGGCAAGCTTAGAGTACAGAAGATGGAGAACATCAACAAGGCACTCAAGTTCCTCTCATCAAAGGTTAGTCAGGACTGTCAACTTGATTCATTGAAATTGAATTTGCTTTGACATTGGTAGAGATAAACTAAAATATCACATTGATAAAAGAAAAACTGTAATGCCTATGTCATTATTACTAATTTTGAGATAAAACCAGATTAAAATTCAATTTATTATTGTTTCACGTGATTAAGGCAGTTCACGTTTTGATTGATGAACACAGATTGATTGAAAATTGACTCCAGGACTTTCAATAATATGTTGCTCTCATGAAGATGCCCCGATTGTAGGCAAACATCTATCACAATTTGGTTTTAAAAATCTTTAACAATCACTCTATTAGCCTGATGATAGTAGTTTATTGGAGTAAAAAAGTATATTATGTTAATGTCAAAAAGAGAGAGGGAGTGGACTAATTGTTAGCTATTGTTTGTGTACTTTGTGAAGAGGATGCATCGTCTCTTGTTCTACATTTATTGTTTTGCATAACCATAATATACGTAGCAAAGAACTGTGCAATAATCATTTGCATTTATAACGTAAGAAACACAGTACATGTACATGTGCAGTGTGTGATTTTATGCTGGTTCAAATCAGAAAGGAACTTTGCAACAATAAATCCAGTACTCTTGTCTTGATAATGGATTGATAATTGATTGATAATGGGAGTCCAGAGTACAGTTTTGGCTTACTTATCTGAGCTGCGCATAAAATAAAATTATGTGGCTCCATTTAACTACTTAGATTTGATGGTTGCTTTGTGGAATCACAAATCCTCAAGAAACAGTCAATGTTGTTGAAATTAAGTCAGTTTATTAAATGTGTATTCAGTTGATAAAACTTAATTGTTTAGGAATAAGTTTTTGTTTGTTTTTTGGCTTCTTATAAAAAATATATTCTTGCAAACTGTGTACCTACCGGTATTCAAAAGCTAATTTAGCAGATGCAATACTTTCTTTACTGAAGAAATATCTTATGAAATAAAATTTCAAACTTCTTTACACTGTAAAATGTTAAGGTGTTAACGGAGAAAATTCTGTGCAATTAGGGAACAAGATATCTGTGTTGATAACATTTAGGCCTATGATTTACACTTCATATGTGTATGGTGTGTAGTCCAACCCTTGTCCCTGTGATTCTTTACTTTGGAGCATTTGTAAACATAACTACAAAGCTTGTAAAATAGGAGTGATTTGCTATGCAAATATCAAGACTCAAGAGCAATTAACAGCAGCACGAAAAACAAAGAGAGCGCTGTGCAGTCACACTACATTGGTGCAACTAACCTTATTGATCTTAAGTCTCCAGAAACATGTGTTACTAGGTACACAAAGTTTGTTGACATTGTGGTCCTAAGGTGGAAATCAGGAGATATTGATTTTTTTTTAAAGTTTAATTATTTCCTGTACTGCATGGCTCATTAGTCTCTTTTAACCCGATGAATACGGTTCCATTTAGGTATCACCTATGTTTACCATATGACCCCACATGGAGTTAATTGGCTCTAGCTGTTGTCATTGTTAAGATTCATCCTTTTTAAAATCTTTCTTTATGTTTGTTTTAGTAGGTAAGGGAGAGTTTTACATTTAAATTTAAATTTGGAATATACATGTAAATATGAAATGAAATGAAAATATAAGTTTTGGGTAAGCCATTTAAGAAACTTGTGTCCAATATTATCTTATATACTACTTACATAATCTTTCCATTTTGATTCTAAACAGCATGAATATGACATATTATCATGTTCATTCAAACTTTGCTATACTCTAATAATATACTTATATATTACTGCCTTAAGAGCGTTAATAATACACACTTTAGTTTTTGAAAGGATTTTAACTATGGATATGTCTCTACATAATTATGCTACTTGCAAATATGATAATTGTTGCTTTTTAGTATTTTTGTGCATATATACAATGTCAACATGTCTGTTTTCATGCATTGATTTAATTGTCACTTGTGTTCTTGCAGAAAGTACGTCTTGAGAGTATTGGTGCTGAGGACATTGCTGATGGCAACACTCGTCTCATATTAGGGTTGATCTGGACTGTTATTCTTAGATTTCAGATTCAAGATATCCAAGTAGAAGTGAGTATTATATTGTCACCAAATAGAGATGATAAGTGATATTTATGCACGTTTTTACAATGTTGGAAGAAAATCTTGAAATTCAACTTATTCATTAAAGATTTTGAGGTCATTTTAAAGTTTTCTTTTTGGATATGAAGAAAGTTGATTCCAATCAGAGTGTTGTGGAATATATTATGTGTGTCAAATTTAACTTTTAAAACCAAAAGATAGAAAGAAATGCTTCTCTACATGTGTATTTCTGTTTCTGTTGAAATAACAAATGTACACTAATATAATCCGCAAGATGAAGTCCAATAATGGATCAGAAAATGAAGAGAAAAAAAGAGAGAGAAAGAAAGAGAGAGAGAGAGAGAGGGGGGGGGGGGGGTGGGAAGGGGAGTAAAGGCTCATATGTACATATACTCTTTGTGTTGGCAAGACATATTTAATACACGTATATAATTTTCAGAGCGAATATGTTTTGGTAAAGAAGAAATGATTCTTCACAACACTTTCTTTTTCTGAATGTTGTAACTTGTAATGAAAATCTTATGCATGTATTTCCTTTCTTCTTTAAAAAAAACCCAACAAACTCTTTTAGGATGATGGCTCAACAGAAACCAAATCAGCCAAGGAAGCTTTGTTGCTGTGGTGTCAGAGGAAGACAGCTGGGTAAATATTGTACCTTACTCTGAGCTTGAACAAAATCACAATTATGAAAAATATTTTGTTTCCATGTAAATTATCAATGCAAATGGCTATCAAAATTTGAAGAAATGTGAGAAGTCAAATTTCAAGTTTAATTCTTAACAATGGGAACAATGGTCTAGGAGGGGTGAATGTTATGACAGTTTTGAAATGTGTTCCAATCAATGCTATATCTTTTATGAGAATTTGCCTGTTACTCCTAAAGTATTATCATTTTCAATCGTTCAGGTATCCTGGTGTGGATGTTCGTAACTTCACCAGCAGCTGGCGATCTGGTTTGGCATTCAATGCACTTATTCATGCTCACAGGTAAGAATGAATGGATATATTATACTTGATTAATCACATGAGGATACATACAAATTGGTAGAAAGTCAATTTTTCAGATTGTGCAAAAACATGTCTATATACCAAAGTTGTAGCTAATAATTACAGTAACTGTTCAATTATTTTTACACAATAGTTGAAAATTTCATCTGAATTTACCTTTGTAAAGATTTCAGTGCAATTGATTTTATGACCACCGGTCAACCTTCTCCATTGTTGAAAATTTTATTTTTTAAAGTAACTTAATATGAACAGAAATGAAGTATAGAGAGGAATTATTGGACAGCATATTATCATTAAATAGTAATAGTACCGGAGTGTTGGCTCAGTCAGTAGAGCGTCTGCCTCACAACCGGGAGGTCGTGGGTTCGAACCCCAGCCGCGTCATACCAAAAGACGTTAAAAGATGGGAGTTGTTGCTACCTTGTTTGGCGTTCAACAATAAGGGATAGAGCAACGTCAATCTGGCGATGCTCAGTGGCTGCCGGGCTCATGATCAATTGGGCAAAAAGAATTTCCGTTTCGGTTTAATAAAATTTGGAGTGGACTATTAGGCTATTATTATTAGTAGTAGTAGTAGTAGTACAAAGAAATGGGGAGTGCATGGTAGTAATGTAACCTACATGTACAGTTAATGTTAACTCATTTATGTTTTTCATTTATTTGTATCTGTATAGACCAGAGCTATTGAACTTTGAGGTGTTGAAGCATCAGAGCAATATAGATAATCTCAACAATGCTTTCAAGGTGGCTCATGAGAAGCTTGGTATAGCCAGGCTACTTGATGCTGAAGGTGATTTTATACTTAGCCAGTACTAGTGTTGTATGGCATGCGCTTACTGTACAAATCAAATTACATGTATATGTAGGGTGAACTTACTATTTATGCAGTTTAGGCGCAAAAGAAACAATTTTGCTTTTTAATGCAGAAGTACTCAATTAACATGTGAGTTGAATGTAGATAGGAATCTCTCCATGTACTCTGGAGAAAAAAAATTGCTGTGTTAGATGAAAAATGATTTTGACTTACATTATATAAGGCGGAGAGGCTATTAGAAGTTGTGATCCAACAAATAGTTATATTAATAATATTACAAAAATAACATTGCCTCCAAGCCTTATATAATTCTGTTATAATACTATTATAATAATATAATATTGTTATTATTATTGCATTACATAAGGCTTAGAGGCAACAAAAATTGTGATCTAGCAAGTACTACAGCTAGGGCTTGTTTCATCAAAGATTTAGGATAAGAGTTTTGGTCGTATTTGTGTTTTTTGTTAGTGTTTTATTTAGGGTTGAAGTGAGGACTGAAGTTTAAGTTGAATGTGGAGCAATTGTCATAGGAACAATCATGAAAAGAGTTGCAAATATAAATGTCTGTTCCTTTTCTCTAAAATAGATTTGGATGTTGACCGACCTGATGATAAGTCGGTGATGACATATGTTGCTGCCTACTATCACTACTTTGCTAAGATGAAGACGGAGAAGACAGGTGGCAAAAGAATAGCAAAGGTATGATTGTATTTTACAACATGCAGACACATAGTTTGAAATTGAAAAATTATATATACGTATCATGTTTTGGAACATGCTTGAGAATTGTGAGGAGTGAATGTAGAATTAAATGTTATAGTGGATTAGAAATATGTGTATCTGCAAACATAGACCAACTATTCTGAGACATACAATTTGATACCTTATATCAGAGTAATATGCATGTTGAAAGGGTATATCTAATTTAATAATAATAATAATTTTCCGCTTATAGAGCGCTTAATACAATGTTTTTAAGCGCTTTACAGATATACTATTACCCCGGTCATTGGATTTAGTGCTTGCCCGCACACACCGTGTGCACAATCTCCACTTCCTGGGGAGCATTCCAGCCAGGCGTTACTTGACGCTCAAAAACTGTTTGACCAACAATTTTCCGTCTAATTTGTAGATCATCAGTCAAATCAAGCAGATAGACACCCTTCAGGATGAGTATGAGAGACTTGTGACTGATCTGTTGGAATGGATCACTAGTACCACTAGGAAGATGAATGATAGAGATCTTCCCAACCTCCTGGCTGGTATCCAGGAGGAGATGGCCAGGTTCAAGACATACAGGATGGCGGAGAAACCTCCCAAGTAAGTTAGCTTTGGCCAGGATGGATTAGACCTCTCTGCATGGTCACCAACAGGTTGTTTTCTCATCAAATCAGCTCTCAGTTAACATAAGAAAAAGGGGACCATGGGGGACCAATGGTCACCTATTAGGCATCATTTGCTATATAGAGTGTGCAAGTAGCTATAAGTAGTGCAGTGGGGCTTTACCTAATGTGGCTTGAGAAGCATTATATTGACCCCATTCATTTGGTGACAAGTATTGCTGAAGGAGCTTGTATTAATTCTAGACAAAAAACTAAGTATCATCTAACATAAGGGTTTTGTGTCTTTTATTAGACCAGGGCCCTGTATTATAGATAGTTGCACTTGATTCAAACCAGCATGAACATCACAATCAACATTACCATTATCACCACCATCATTATCCAAACCACTACCTATCTCCACAATCACCATAGCAGAGCTGCCAACCATTACGTTTTTCCCGGAATTATTTTGTTTTTCCCCTCAAAATTCACTAGTATGATTTGTAAATAAACTAGAGGTCCTAATATGGAAATAACAGCATGAAATCCTTTTTTTGCTTGAAATTCCTTTTTTTTTGCCATCATGGTTCCTGTTTTTGGTTGCACAAGGTTGGCAGCTCTGCCAAAGATGCTTGTTATCATACTTACCCTTCTGAATTTCCCAGGTATGCTGAGAGGGGAAACATAGAAGCCACATTGTTCAGTATCCAGACCAAGATCAGGGCGTGCCGTCGGAAGATGTATGTGCCGCCAGAAGGCAAACTCATCAACGACATTGAGAAGAAATGGGCCCTCTTGGAAGAAGCAGAACACAAGAGGAAGACTGCACTCCGAGAGGAGCTAGCTCGGCAAGAAAAACTGGAGAGACTGGCTGAGAAGTTTGAGAGAAAGGTAGGGTGAAATCTTGAATCCTCTGATGCTGATACAGTTGCTTGTTCCCAAAATAACTTGAATATTAATTACAAAAGGAGAGTTAACTTTCTTGTCTTGACCATAGATTGTGTGTATATTTTTAATAGAATCTTGTGCTCATATGTAGTCATTGGATGATTTGGATTTATGAAACTAGTTTCTTAAGCAGTTGGTATGTAGATAATTATCCTTTTTACAGATTCACTGCCACATTGAACTATACCATTCTGTACTTCTCATTTCTGCACTTGGTGCAACTTTATCCAAGTCTTCATGATGACTATGTTTATTGTGATAATGACAGAGAAGTAGTACTGGTACTAGTGTACTTTATTGAAGGTCTATGAATGAAAGTATTCACATACTAAACACATATTAAATATAATTTTCTAAAAGTGAATTAGTCTGTGGTAGAGGAATTCAGAATATTGTTGCAGATGGTCATGTTCTAGATCATCTTGTTCCTCATCACATGTTTAATCTTTTATACATTCCTTTAAATCATCATAAGAGAGTATGCTTTCTTTTTATGTAACTATTCCAAGTTTTTATATGTATTACTCAAATAAACAACTTTCTTCCATAATCGCCTCTTTTTGTCCAGGTGCTCTTGAGAGAATCTTGGCTAGAGGATATGATGAGTGTATTGACGGAGAGTGTCGTCCCTAGCAGTGATGTCCATGCTGTGGACGCAGCTACAAAGAGACATGAAGCTATAACAGCAGATGTCATGGCAAGGGTATGTATTGATGTCCTTGAAATTTCAGCTTGGAATTAATCCTCAGGAGTGTATTATTTATTATCCGGGAATCTAAGAAAAAATGTCCTCTTGTAGCCATGGATGGTTTGTGATGGTTAAGGGAACAGCACTTAAAAAAATATTTTTTCTACCTTAAATCCAAAATTTTGTTGAAAACTAGCACAGACTTTTTGTCACTAGAAAAAATCTCCATTTCAACATTATTTTTTCAATGTCTTTTGTAGCAAGTAGCTTTAGATGAATTTAATTTTTAGCAAACTTTATAGATTGAATCTTGAAAATTGAGATAATGACATGAAGGTTGCATCTACGTTGTGTTGTCTTCAACCCAATTGTGGCTTTGGAATTTCCTGTGTACAGAAAGAAAGATTTGCTGACTTGGAATCCATGGCACTGGAGCTCGCCAAAGAGGGCTACCACCGAGAAAGAGAGGTCACTCAAAAATCGCAGGAGGTCAGTCGGAAATGGAAGGAGCTTCTGAGGCTGTTGGAGAAGAGACAGGAGGTACTGAAAGGGATCAATGAGCTGATGGGCATGTTCCGAGAGGTGGATGGCATCATGGCGGAGATGAAAGAAATACAGGTTTGTTATTGCTTTGTTTTATTTTATATCTTGTACATACCTCTTACCATTACTGTCGTATTTATGGCTGGTTTATCGAGTATTCTGTTCCAAACGTATCTGATATGCTAATTTTTATTCCTCATTTTTTTTCTCCTTGATTCCTGAGAAATTTTGCGAGTGGAGAAATCAAGAATATACACAAATCCAAGCAAACATGAAGTATGGGTAGTAATTGTCCGATCTCTATTTATACAACTTACTGGTTTTGCAACAATTTGCAAAGATATAAAAATGAACACAATTGAGAATATGTGGCAGTGTCCAGATTGATGAAAGGCATTTTAAAATTAAAAGTGAATAATTAGAAATAGAATGCAATGTATTTCCTTAAAATTTTAAAAGGAGGAGGGGTCAAATCAGTCCTGTCATAGCCATGTGTAGATAGCTTGATCTTGGAAAAACTAGAAATTAAATGAAAAATATCTTGCTTTTTGCAGGTGACCTTACAGTCTGATGAGAGAGGGAAGCATCTGCAGGCTGTGGAGGACCTGCTTCAGAAGCAGAGCCTAGTGGACACCCAGATCCTGACCCAGGGAGAGAGAATCAATCAAGTCAACGTGATCGCTGACAGGTGTCTCAAACAAGACCATCCAGAGAGCTCTACCATCAAGCGCAGAACAGTGGACCTCAATGTCACTTACAATGCGTGAGTATATAGCCATTTTGGATGTGCCGCCATTTTTATTAGATAACCTGTTGTCTGTATCCAGCATTTTGTACAGCTTACATCCATTTCTAGCATTCTGTTTTTTATTGAGAGCAAATAAATTGTACTGTTCTTGTACTTTTTTATCTGCATATTGAAAACAAAGTGGGCAGGTAAAAAAACAACTGATAGAAGTGATCTGAATCATACTTGCAGTAATGCTAACATCAAATAAGTCACTCTTTAAAAAGTTACCCTATCACCCATAACCAGTATTAATTTAAACAAATTGCCTTGGTACTATGAAATAACTTACAGAATATTGGGGGTCAGGCCATAACAAAATTTAATTGAAAAGTCCATGTAAATTAATATCTGGCCTTCATTATTTAGACAGTTAAGTATTGGCTATGTAGACTTATCTAGTATCTGGTTGTCTGTTTCCTATCTTTTCTTGTAGAATCAAAGAGATGAGTCATTTGAGAAAGTCTTGCCTTGAGGATTCCTTGAAGTTCTTCCAGTTCATGAGAGACAGCGAAGAGGAGGAGTCTTGGTTGATGGAGAAGCAACGTATTGCCAAGTCAGCAGTCACAGGTCGTGATCTGCGCAGTGTGCTCAGCATGAAACAGAAGCATGCAGTAAGTAGACCATGAATAGATGAATGAATGAGTGAATGGATGAACCTTTATAGCAATGAAGTGATGATACATTTTTCAAAATTGTAAGGATCGCCTGATGTAATTATTTAGAATTAGTTGGGGACTCTTTATTGATAGAAAAAAAAGATTTATGTGATGTGGAGCCATAGACTTTTGTTGTTTCCAAAATGTTAGTTCACAAATATTTCCTTTATCAAATATCAAACAATTATTTTATGAGGGAACAACCATTCAAATTAGAACCATGATAATCTAGATGAATTTGCACACAATAATAACAAGTGATAAGTTCAGGATTTAATGAAAATTTATCAGTTATTGATCTAATTATGTATACTACTGCATAAGTTAATGTGTATTGGTGTAGGAACAAAAATAGACTTGCTACATGAATGTTTCCTTTCAGAACAGCATACAATAACATTTTATCCTCACTGATTCTTTTTACAATTTTTCTGTTCAAATTTCATTTATCTATTCCTTAATGTATTTCATTTCCAGAGTAGTGAGGTTACAAAGAGAGACCCTACCCATAACAATAATGTGCCTTATCTCATTCCTAGGTGCTTGAAGCAGAGGTGACAGCCAGACAGCGGACAGTCCAGGGGGTACTGGACACTGGTCAAGAGCTGATAGATACCGGTCATCCATCTAAGAGGAAGATCAAGACCAGGATGGAGAGTGTAGGAGAGAAGATGGATAAGCTGAGGGAGTATGTGGAGGGAAGGAAATTGAGGCTACAGATGGCTGTAGAGTCTCATGAGGTATGTGTGATAAGTAATGAAGATCTTTGCAAGGTCTGAGATAAGAATGCAAGTTTTCATTTATCGGAACCATGTTTGTACTATGTTTCACAAGCATTGAGAAGTTTATAGCTTATCTTGTCTTGAATAGCAGTTGCAAAAGAAAGATAAGATGATTAACACACAGAAAGTTCAAAACCTTTTAATAGAAAAAAGCATTAGCTTATTTTTTGAATAACATTTTACTGGAAAGGTAATTACAGTCACCTATGCTCGTGATTACAATAAAAATGATATTTACACATTTAACACTGAGCCATAGGAACAGGCTAGTTCCAACTTATTTTTAAGTTGCTACTTTTCTATCACTAATGCACGTAACTTCAGTGACACATTGTATTGGCACCTTGAACTCTGGGCCAGCAAACCTGCATCTTCAAACTATTGGTATGTGTGTTATATAAGAATAAAACCATATTCACTAGATTAAAAGTGATTCTTTGATATTTGATCCTAGTACTACATTGATGCCAACGAGGCTGAGTCCTGGATGAGAGAGAAGATGCCTTTGGTGTGCAGCGATGACTACGGGAAGGACGCAGACTCGGCCAAGGTCATGCTCCAGAAACACACAGTACTTCATGAGCAGATCCAAGCGTATGAGAATGAGGTCGTTCAACTCAGAGACAATGGGCAGAAGATGATGGCTACCATCAAATCTAATCAGGTATATTGTCTTGTCGAGAAAAAAAAGGAAGGATGAATGAAAAGGATTCCAGTAATGGCAAATTTGGATACCTACTAATTTTTCATCTATTTTTATTTTTCTTTGATGAAAATTTTGATCATAACAATTCAATGGAATATTTCCAACAACAAAGCCTTCTTGGCCATGGTTGGACAAATAGGTTTGTTGTAGATTTTCGTTCACTTGCAGTAAAAGCTTGATAACATTGGTTTCTTTATGTAATTCCTTTGTTAAATTCCTTATGTAGAAGTACACAGATGGGGATCTAGGGACTGTGCATTTTTTGGATAACCTTTCAGTTGAGAGCTGACATTAATGTTTCTAAAGATTTATTTGGTCAATGCAACATTTTACATTGTACCCTTTACCAGGCAAAGATGCAAGACAGGTCATCACCTCCGACTGATGAGGAATCCTTCACGACAGAGACAGTGGATGTACCTTACGAGGTCGAGGAGGAGGAGATCGTCGAGCGAGAGGTCATCAAGGAAGTGATTGAGGAGAGGAAGTACCCTCAGGTCAAGGCCCTGTATAACTACAAAGGAGAAGACATGCAAATAGCCAAGGGAGAGGTAAGATATGAGAGCCCCAGGGTTACTATTAACCCCTTAAGTGCCACTGAGTATACATTCTGGAGTCAAATGTTTAAATTTAATCCCTTGTTTCAGATGTTCTCAGGAAAAAGTTTCACAATGCATGTACCTGTTCCTTGTTTCACTAAGAAAGGCAAATTTTCTTAACCCCAAAATAGAGCACAAAATGGCAGCGTGGTGTGGGGGTAGGGGCACCCGTGTACATTTCTACTCTGCTGGGTATAAAGGTATGATAAATTTGTCTTTGCCATGTGGTACAATTCCACCCCTTCCACCTTTATCCCATACTGCTGTAATTTAGGGAAGTCTACATTTTCCCATTGATTTCCATACATATTGATTACTTAATACAGTATCTGAGATGTAATATCTGCTTTCTTGCTAAATACCTCCTGAATTTAATAGAATTGCATTCTCTCTTTGCACAGATCATGATATTAATAGATAAGACCAACAATGATTGGTGGAGTGTGAGGAGAGGTAACGCCCAGGAAGGCTTCATCCCAGCAAACTACATCAAAGAGGTCAGCCCCAAGGTCGTCAAGAAGAAGGTCAAGAGAAAGGTCAAAGTTCCTGAAAAGGTCATGGTCAAGAAGACCAAGATCAGACAGGAGGTGATCAAGAAGAGGATTAAACCGAAGGATAGGAAGAGTATGCTGTCAAGATCAGGGAGTGGTAAGAGCTTTCCTACAAAAGCTTCTATGTTAGGAGGAAGGGCATGTTGTCTTTTAAAGTAATGTTATCAAGGGGAAATAAGATGATGTTATAGAAGCAACACAATCTCAGGTAATACAATTTCTAGAAATGTCAGCATTCATTATTTTTTTTTACAAAGTACAAATTTGTCAACAGAATAAATATATCAGTACATGGAAGGAATGGTTGTAACAGAAACCTGATATTTGATTATTAAGCAATGTTTTGTTTTATCACTTATGAAGTGTAAATCCAGCTGTCCTTTGAAGATCTTCAGCCTGTCAACTCTGCCTTTTAACTCAAAAAAGTGTTTAAATAACATGAAAGTATCAACAGCATCAATCACCTTTTGGTAAAAAACTGGAAACAAGCGAACCCCCTCCTCTCTGTGAAAGTTTAGAAGAGCTCCAAATCAGTATTTTTGTCTCAAGAAGAGCAAGTTCTCAGTTAGTCTTTCCTATCACTTCCTTTCTGTACACAATAGTGCGAAGACAGAGTCATCACTTTGATGAGGACAACATTGAATTAAAACTAGCCGCTATCAACAGCACCTACAAGAGACTACGCAAGCTGAGTGAGGCCAGGTCTAGGTACTTAGAGGATGCCATCAAGCTCTTTACATTCTACCATGATTGTGATGAGTTTCAGGATTGGATGAAAGAGAAGGTCAGTACTGCCTCAAGGTTACCAGAGCATATAATTTAGACTCACATTTAGTTATGAATATTATACTGAATACTTGTTTCCTTTTTGTATCATGCTCTGTAAGATGTCATCAAAAGATGTGAAAATTCAGACAATAAGGACTCCCTTAATTTACATGTAGCAGTAACAGGTTTTCCTGTTTTTCAGCTAAAAGAAAAAAGAAATTGACTATTTTGTATAAAGTAATTTCAGACATTTTGTCCTTGTTTCATGTCAGTAGACCTCATACAGATATTTCTCTTTCCTTGATAAGAGCCTTTGGAGCACACTCTGAAAAAGGAAACCTTAATGATACCTGAGGAAATTTTATGTGAAAAGTTGTCTCGGTTATGTATTTACCTATATGATGTCCTTTTTCCTCGTTCATACATAGGAGAAAGCCCTCAAGAAGAAGGAGAGCTTCTCAGAACACGTCGAGGCAACAAGGAGAAAGTTTGAGAACCTTCTCATTGACCTGGTGGCAAACCAAGGCAGGGTTGAGAGGATCAACAAGATGGCCGACAGGTTTGTTGAGACGGGTCACAGCAAGCAGGGAGAAGTAAGGAGCAGACAGAAGGAGGTCAAGGAGCAGTGGAAGAGGCTCCTGGAGCTCAAAGCTGAGAAGGAGAAGATGCTGGAAGGAGCCTCCAGGTATGACCTTCCAAGTGTTGGCAGAAAACTTTATTCTGGTTATATACATAAGGATAGAAGCATTTCAGTCAGAAGTTATAAATGCATTGTCTAATGTTATTTGTTTATGTTTTTGTTTTGTTTAGCTTTGAATGTATCATGACCTATTGTGATGTATTATTTACACCAAAGCTTCATATGACTGTGTTTGAAATTATTTTCTTACAGAAAACATAAAAAAGTAAAATATATATTTTGGTAAAATTAAATGTTCTTAATCTGGCATTAACAGGTTTTATGATAAAAGACATTGAATAATTAAGAGAATCCATCATACCATTCACTATTCAATCATCTCCATGTCAGTAAATTTGATCAGATATCAATCTTTGTGCTTCAAACTTTTATTGTAGCATTGAGCTGTACAATCATTCCTGGGGTGAGACCAAGGAATGGATCATGGATAAGTTCAAAGCTCTGACGTCCGATGATCCAGGCAAACAACCCCTGCCAGCAGAGGCTCTACAGCGCAAATATGAGAACCTACAGAGGGAGCTCACACCTGTCATGGACAAACTACGCAAACTGGGACTCCTCGCTAAGGCGTAAGTATATTTGATTCAGATGATATTTGGAAAATATATTCCTTACTAATGAGGACGCTGCTCAAGGGTAACCAATTTCTAGTCATTATTAATTTTGTTGGAAAATTATTAAGGTAGCAAGATATACATCAGTATGATTAAGGACAATGTCTTACTTGAAGAAATGATGTTGAATGAATTCCATGACTTGGAGACCTTTTCTTTACATTTAGTATTGTTATATATTTCTTTGACTTGTTCAAAGGTAAAAAGAGGCTAACTTTGCCCTACTTGACTCCATCTACATTGTATGTTATCATGCAATTGGTCCACACTATTGGTCTAGGTCACATTTGTTTTAAAGGTGATAATGTAATTGATCACCCTCTGTCTTCCCCATGTTCTTTGATGTGATTTATACTATTTTTACTGTATCTACATGATTTTTAGTACTTTTAGAGTTAAGCCATTCTACCCTGATGAAGGTGACCATATCAGCAATCATCAGGATGACATCTGTAAGCCTTAGGATAGTCGAGATAAACAAGGCTACTTTGTTTATTTTGTTTACCATATTCCTATGTTTCTTCTGTAACTTGCAGAGTGAAAACCTCCTACCCAGATGAGGGTGATCACATCAGCAATCGTCAAGACGACATCCACAAGCTTTGGGATAATCTGGAGGATAAGGCTACAGAGAGGAAGACCCAGCTGGCTCAGTCTAGGGATATCACTACATTCCATAATGAATCCAAAGAATTGGTGAGTAAAGAATGTTTTTGGCACTATGTTTTGTACTATTATCTCATGTATTTAATCATAAATGCTTCAGATGATATTTTAGGGTTTCTACACTGCATTTTGAAAATAAGGGCTGAAATGGGGATGTTATCTGCAGGATAATTGTTGGAATGTGCTAATCGTGGGGGGGGGGGGGGTGGGGGGCATATGCAAGAGAAAGTGTGATACCATCATAACTGTACCCAAGGAATGATTAATTCCAAATGATTGTAAATTGAAGAATTAACATTTTGCAGTCATAGTCATTTGATCAGTATTCGAATACAGCCAACCCCTGTCTATAGAAGCCACTTAAAGGAACAAAAAAGTGGCGATAGTAAAAAGGTGTCCTTTCAAGACAGGTTAAATATATATCTTCAGATAGAGAGACTAAGAGAGAGAGAGAGAGAGAGAGAGAGAGAGAGAGGAGAGAGAGAGAAAGGGAGGGAGGGTGAAATATATATGTAAGGAGACACTGTTGACCAGTGACCTCTATGTAGAGGTGGCCACAAGGGTTTGACTGGTCTCAATAAGCTGTAGAATAAATGTGTAGATTCAGTGAGAATATGCTTGTTAGAGATGGTATCACTGTTTCCCTGTCTGTCCTGTAGATTGCATGGTGTAATGAGATGAATGGTAAACTCCTAGACACTGAGCTGGCTAAAGACGTGGCAGGCTCAGAAGACTTGCTCAAGAGGCATGGTGATCTACTTCAGGACATTCAAGCTCATGGAGACAAGTAAGTTTGAGGAATCGGCCTTTTGATTTGAAGTAATGTGGTCCTTATTAAAGACATGGAATGTAATTTATTTTCTGTTTTTGTCATTTAGGAAAAAGATGTCAAAATATCAACATTACCCCATTCCACAAATTTCATTCTGATTCATGATAAAAGCGATAAAGTCTCTTCACTCACACATTGTTGCACCTACATGTATTCTATGAATGTTTGAATCAACATGGGTTTCAAAATTGGCATTCAAATATTCTTTAAAGAGTAATTGAAAATTCTTTAATAAAAAATTATTTTGATTAATTTAGGCATTACCAAAAAATGATAACATAAAAATATATCCACTTATATCCACAGTTCGGTTATATTGACACTGAACACAGTTCCATATTTAATTCAGTACTCATTTCTCAACAAGATAGATTTTGATTACTGGGCTCAGTAATTTACTTGTCTCTAATGGTATTACTAGCCTGTAAGAAGTATTGATAGCTTATTTTCTTATAACTTTCATGCATAGGTTCACCAAACTGACCAAATTGGGAGGGCAGCTGCTGAAGACCTTACCTGATTCACTGACCATTGCACACAAGGTAGAGAAGCTATCAGCCATGAAGGAAGGTCTGGGAACCAGATGGGATAAGAGGAACACACACCTGGAAGATGCTCTGGACTTAGCTGTAAGTTCACAGTTTTCTTGACCACAGAGTGATGACCTTCCCTGCAATCCACAAATTATTGGCTTCCCCGCCGTGGTCTTTTGTTTAAATTTATCAGAGCTCAGTCAAGAAGGTTGATTAATTACAACGGTTTGATATTTGTTTCAGAAGTTTTCTTCAGAGCCGTTGGGGGAATAGTGTGATACTTTCATTGTGAACATGCTTCAATAGATTCTTTATCATTTATTATGTATGGAGAGCAATATGGTTATTGTTAATTTAAAAAAATTGAGTTATTCATTGTAAAATTCTACCTTCTGTCTGATTATAAAGGAAACAGCACATCAAAATGTTTCTATCAATATGAATGTTAGTAATGAATCACAATATAACTGTTTCTAATGATAATGTACCATTGATTTAGTCAGATACATTAGTTGTACCATGAATTTCACCATACTGCCAATGAATGCATTAGTCCAGGTATTGATTTAATTCCATTTCTTGATGTTGTATGACAGATGTTCAATCGAGAGGCAGATCAGATTGATGTAACCACCAGTGGTCATGAAGACTTCCTGGACTTTCGTGATCTAGGGGTAAGTTTACTCTCTATCGTCAAAAGTGTTTCTTTTTGTATGCCTTTTAAAAAAGCTCAATTAAACTCAATTAAAATCATTGAAATCATTTATTTGAAGAAATGAATATTAGAGAGTCCCCAGCTTATAAAATGTGCTTTTAAAGTTGAAAGTGATTTAATTCTGTTTTGTAGTTATTTAATATATATGTTCTGTAGAATCCCAAAATGTCTCTGCATTTCCAGAGGCTACACTTGTAATTTTGTTCTGTTGGGCATGTAAATGTATGTAGTGTAGTTGGAAATATGCACAAATTATCATTAAAAAAACCAATATCATCATTTTACCTACTCAGTGATTTGTAGATATTATGTTTCAGTTCTGTATTTTTGTTAAATCATTGCAGTATTGAATTTCCAAATATGTATTTCATATTATACAGAGCACAGTGGAGAGTGTCATTTCACTGCTGAAGAGACATGGGGATTTCATGAAGAAATTTGACCTCCAAGAAGAGAAGGTCAAGGGCTTGCAGGATATGGCTGAATCACTCATTGCCAAACAACACTACGCAAAGAACTTGTGAGTATATGAACATTGCCGCACCAGAAAAGAAGATGCTAGTAATGGATATTGTGTTAAAGCAGCAATATCAAGACGTTGTAGGCAAAGTGGTGGTATACCGATTCAATGAATGTAAATATTTCATGTCAATTGTACATTGAATTTACATACAGAAAGAATATATTCAGTGGAGAGAATGGCAAATATCAAAATGAGATGTGGCAATAATTGTTAATCTTAGAAATGAGCCTCCCCCTCTGATATACAGAATATTTGTATGGAGTTGATTTGAGTTCAATAGTGATAGCTAAGACTCTAAAAATTCATGCTTGTTCATCTATCAAAAAATTAAAAACAACAAACCATTAACCTTAATTCAGTTAAGTTTTTGCTCCTTTCCAGTGTTGGTTCTCGGAGAGATGAAGTGATAGAGCGAAGGAATAAAGTGAAGGAGAGGAGCGAGCAGAGATGCAAAGCCTTGAAGGAATCTCAAGAACATCTAGAGTTTGTTAGAGATGCTGATGAGGTAAGATTATTATGTAGAGAATTGACTGTGGATAGGGATGCATGGTCTTCAATTTAATAGACACCTTAGAAACCACAATTCTTATTCATTTGTGGAGTTTGGAATATCAATATTGCCAACCATAACCATTCATGCACACACTTGCAGAAGAACAGCCATTAGCTGAAGCAAGTGTCTCCATGCTGAAATAAAATGAAATGAATACTTCACTCAAAAGTTTTCAGACAATGCATTAAGCAGATAAACATCTAAAAGTTGTTATTGTGCCATACGTCCAAATATTGAAACTGACAGAAGTGTAGCTGTGAAATGTATGTCATTGGCAGTCGTATCAAGATACTGTAATTCACGAGTACTGTGAAACAAAAATATAATCTTTCACAATTTTTAAAGATTTAGAAATCTGTAAAATATGATAATGGGCATATTTTCAGTGTATTTTTCTTAGAGAATGTAGTTGCCATGTCTGGTTGCATTGTATGTATTTAATTTTCCATTCCATTCTGATCTTTTGGAACAGATATCATCGTGGCTTGCTGAAAAGTTTGAAATCGCTGATGATGAGTCCTACAGAGAACTCACCAACCTCCCAGGCAAAGTGAAGAAACATCAAGCTTTTGAAGCAGAGATAACAGCCAACAAGGAGAGACTAGATAAACTCAATGAGGTAGGCCAGTGGTACACCCCAAAATATCTGTATGATTGTCAAAATTACTAAACTTACATTATGTACAACTAACAAGGAGTAGGAAGTAAAACAGGAAATAAAAATGACTGTAAGAATCAATACTGTATGAGCATGCAAAGACATATCACCTTTTTACATTGATTAATAATTGAATGCTAGTTGTATATGGCTTTCAGAAAACAACCTGCTTATTAAATACAGGCATTATAATATGGCAATCCATGTGAGGCACAGCAATAGGGTAATATTTGATTAAACTCAATAAAATTACAAATTTTGGGTTCATATTCTATGTTTTCTGTTCAAACTCTCTCTGCTCATTCTCTTTACATTAGACTGGCGCCGCTATCGTTAAGTCCGACAATGCCAACTCGGAGGAGATCCAGGTCTTACTGAAAGCCATCAACTCGCGCTGGACGGATCTGACCGACAGGTTCAAGGAGAGAGGGAAGAAGCTCCAGCAGGCTGTGGAGGAGCAGCAGCTGATACGGGGTATGGAGGATGCTGCGGGTAACATCCAGGAGATAGAGGTTGCCATGGCATCGCAGGATGTGGGTCATGACCTTCGAAGCGTCAAGAGTCTTCTCAAAAGGCAGCAGGTAATTTCATGAATGATATTTGCCCTTATTTATCTTCCTGATAGCAAAACAGCTTTCTGTCTTGAGGAATTGTCTGCTATCTTGGAATTTGAGGAATTTATGTTCAGCTTTGAAACATATGTAAATCTATGAGTGAATTGAGGGGCTTCAGTAACGTTTCATACAATTATAGTAGTTCTATATTTGATTAGCTTTTACGCAGATATTGCCCTAGGCCATCTGAAGCAGTCCACTGCTAGGAGATGTTCCATGATATATATGTAACACCTCAATCATCATAAAGCTAGAGAGAGAACTTCCATTGATTGATTACAAGGCATACTTCTTAGTGAGCATACATGCTGTGACACTGCATCACATATTTTTATTCTCTTTTGTAGGTGTTGGATACAGAGATGTCTCTGCAGGCCGAGAGGATGCAGAAACTATCCCAGGATTCCAAGGAGCTTGCAGACCAAGGTCACTTTGACACGGACAAGATTAAATCTGAGACAGCTTACGTCACACAAAGGTATAATTGTGAAGACTTGATACCTGTATTTGTTTGGATTGATTATTCATAGAAAGTGTTTCATGTTGACACCAAGAGAAGTGTCATAGATGAAGATAAAATGTTATGTTAATTTGATGGTTTGATATGATATAATGTTTTAAAGGACAAGTGTAATAAGGACTGTTCATTAATGGCTGAAAGAGTAGCCTTTGACTAGACAATTAAAATCTGCATAACCCACAAAAGAATGAGTTGCCTGTTGCAAGAGTGCTCGTAGATATTACCTGGAGTACGTACATCACAATGCCTGTTAGTTAGTTAGTTACATGGGTTCTTTCACATTTTACATGGTCTTCATTTCTATCCTAGTTGTAGAGCCTCAATATTGATGATTATCAACTAGACAGCTGAGCCTCAGTTACAACTCAACCAGCTCATTAACACAGTGGTGGTTGAAATTCTGCTAATCACAACACCGGCATGAGATACAGACATTACTTCATTACTTAAAGCCTCACTGTACTACTTGTAGTTACTTGCTCCCTCTATATAGAAAACAATGCCAAAGCGGTGCCCGTTGGTCCCCCATTATCCTCTTTTTCTTATGTTAATTGAGAGCTGAGTTAATGAGATCTGTCAGTGACCTTGCTGGGTGGTCTAATTCCTCCTGGCCAATCTAGTACAGACAGGCTTTAAAGGTTATTACCATATGACCTCATTCCTCTGTGTTCTCCTAGATTCAAAGAGTTGCAGGCTCCGGCTGAGAAGAGGCGCAAGAAGCTTGAGGAATCCCTCAGGGTACAGCAGTTCTACCATGATGTCGACAATGAGCTTCAGTGGATCAAAGACCACTCTCCTGCAGCCAGCTCTACCAACTATGGAAGGGACTTCACTTCTACTCAGAGCATGGTCAAGAAACATCAGGTATGCATGAGAATATTATTTACCATAAATAGATCTTGTATAACATTTTAAGCCATGATGTAACGTAATCATTTGATTCATTCTTTTTAAGTTGACATACTTGCTTTTTCATGAAACAAAGAAGTTTGATTGTGCTTTCTCTCAGGTTTCAGATTTGCTGTGGAATACAGTAATATGAATCAGTTCTTTAGAAATATTATGAATTTGTATATACATGTAATTTTGTTTTTTCAAATGCATACAATTTGAATATTCTAAAAAATAGTCTAATTCATATACTTTTGTAGGAAATTATATTTATTTGAAACACCACAGGACTTTTGATAAATAATATTGGATAAGTAATAACATGCAGTAAGTAAGTAACTAATATAAGTAATATAGATGATGATGATAATAATAATAAAAATAATAATAATAATAACAATGATAATGATGATAATAATAATAGAAATAATAATAATAATAAGCCCACTATGTTGATAACCTTTCTGATGGAATTGATTGTAAGAATAACGATTTAACTCAATTATTTTGTATATGTTATGTATGCATTTTGTCTCATTATGTGTATGTTTATATTGTATTACTTGTACCTACCAGTGGAAATTGAATTTCCTAATATGGACAATAAATTATATACTTAAAACTACTTATAGTAACTTATACGTAATCATTTTGATGATTTTGCCCTCAGAAACTTGAAGCTGAGATATCTGGTCACCAGCCTGTTATTGACAAGGATCTGAGCACCGGTCAGCATCTCATTGACTCTGGTCACTTTGCCTTGCATGAAGTCCAGGAACGATGTCAGGACCTGTCCCTGTCATGGGACCAGTTACTAGACCAGGCCTTGGCCAGGAAGAAGCAACTGGATATGGCATTTGAAGCCCAGAAAGTAAGCAGTGCTCTGAGAATTGAGAAGAATTAACAATCTGTATTTGCAGCAGTAGAGTTATGTGAGAATTTAGAAGAAATCTTATTTAATAAATAGTGATGCAGTACAAGCGAAAACTTGCCTAGATTACTTTGTTATCGAAATAGATAACCTTACATTCGGATATTTTCATTTGGGTGAAGTTCAGAATAACATACTGCAACAATATATTTCTTAGTATCAAAACATGTAGTTTCATGAGATGTGTTGTATAGATCCAACAAATTCATAGAGATTTCATTGAAAGTAAGGTTTGGATTTCATAGCCGGATATTTTAGATGTTGTAATTTAGATCTATCTTCATCAGTTTATGTCAAAGTACTGTTTCCTCTCATTAAACATGAAGGTATTTACTTTCTTTTTGTTGTGAAAGACAACAATACATGTATATGCCTTTCTCCATCTGAAATTGATGTCTCTTGCATTCATGATTGTTTCAGTACTACTCCGAGGCTGCTGAAGCTGAATCCTGGATGATTGAGAAACTGTCCTTGGCGATGATCACTGACTATGGCAAAGATGAGGATGCTACGGAAAAGATGCTTGCAAAGAATAAGGTGCTAACCCAGGGTTTTTTGCCCGTTATGTTCCCCTTTTCCTTTACTCTTCAGAGGTGTTGCTCACTTTGAATCGTTAATGTATTATATATATATATATATCTGCTTTAAAATGAATATCATGTTTTCAAGTGTTCTGAAGGCAGTAAAACATTGAAAGGATATAGTTGCATGCATATGTATATACATTAGAAATGCTTTTGCTCTAACTTTTCAAATGTTAAAGTCTATGAAACTTGACTAATTTATGATGATGGAACAAACACCTTGTTTATCGATGTAAGAACCACTTCCCATACGATGCATTTCAGTAAAGGGGAATCTTGGGGCTAAGTTTGAGTATCCAGTAGAGTAAGATGTCAACTTTTCAACAACAAAATTATCCTCATAAGGTCTGGGAAATTGTGAATATTGTGGTGTTTTCATGCAGTGAAGCTGTGAGACATTCACTACCCTCATAAGACTTGACCTAATTTGTGTGTCTTGTGTTTATCCAGGCCCTAGAACTGAACATAGAGCACTATAACAGTGTGATCAGGGCACTAGGAGATAGGAAGGACCAGATGGTTTCATCAGGGAACCCTGAGGCCGAAGGCATCTCTGAAAGACAGGTAAGTCTATTCTTGAGTTTCTTCTCAGGGGTTTAAGAACCCATTTACTTTTATTTTCTTGTTCTTTCGTGACTTAAACTAGATTGATATGGAATGGGGATGTCAAGTGAAACATGAGACTGAATATACAAATTGATTTGTCTGGATGTATTTAAATTTGTGCATAAACTTTGATTCCTTCCCATCTTTATCAGTAGTCTTTCCTTCTATACCAAATCAACATTCACCTCCAGTATTTTTTTCATCCTGTCTCATCTCTAGTATTATTGTTATTTTGTTATGTATATCTGTCTTCTTATATTATTGTCTGTCTCCTTTTAATTTTCATCTCTCCCTCTTTTTTTTTAAATCTCTCAATATCTCTGCCTTTTCTCAACGATGATATTTTTTCAGGTCGAGATGAAGGCAAAACAATGAATAAAATGTATTTCAATAAACCAAATATAATCACATGGAAATGAGTAACTCTGTAAGTTTGGTTTTGTTCACCAATACTTGATTTTATCATGTTTTTTCAGGATGAGCTTCTTCAGCAGTACAAGAACGTGATGGACCAGGGTACCCACCGGACCTTCAAGCTAGAACAGACCAAGCTGATGCATCAGTATGTGAGGGAGAGCGATGAGCTTGGTGAATGGATTGAAGAACAGTATCAGGTGGCCAGCTCAGGGGAGTATGGTCAGGACTATGAACATCTGGAGGTAAACAATGTGTGCATGGTGTATTTTGTTTTTGATGGAGAAAATGAATATTCCCTCCAAATTATGTAATGAATATATCGTCCTTGTTTTCACGAAGTGACGGTAGTGAGGAAAATCGTAACGCAAAGTGAATGCAATTTTTTTCACTACCGTCACTTCGTGAAAACAGCGACGATATCTGCAAATGATGTTTTAGATGTAAATTTCTCTAGCATGATGATCGGCAATAGAATGTAGATATTACTGAACTGACTTCAGAAAAACTTCGAAGATAAGTGAGGAATTACTGTGTGGTATCAGATAAGTTATAATTAAAGTGATGAATTCATAGCTGATATTATTATTTAGATTTAAGACCAAATTTCACATCATGCAATCAATATCATTGAATATAATATTAAATTAATTGGTATAGATGAGCTGATGTATATATTGTTATATGCTTCTACTAAAAAGCAAAGAAATTAATAAGAATTATGCAGTTGTGAAGGATGCAAAAAAAAAAAAAAAAATATTTTTGTGTGGTTTTTCACTATAGGAGCTGAGCAAGAAGTTTGATGAGTTTTGTCGCCATGTAGAGACAGGCATGGATCAGTTCAAGAGATGTGATAAGCAGGTCCAGAGCCTTGTCGCAGAGAGATATGAGCAGAGTGACTCATTGATAGAGAAACAGGATAGCTTGCAGTAAGTAACGAACATGGCCCTGTTTCACAAAGCCTTTTTTCACTGAATAATGACAAAAATCAGTGACAAATCTGCTGATAACCCATCAGAAGCAAAGATTTCAGTAGCTTATAACAAAAACTGTCATTTATAATTGTCACTGATGACAAGTTTTATGAAACGGGGCCTTTTTGGCCTCGATCACCACCAAATAAGGTGCTAGAGGTATCATTTTCGGAACGATTGAGCACTTTAACCAATGTTGTCTAATAACTTTGTCTGAGGATGGAATAATGAACTGATTAGATTATTGGAACAAGAGGTGGAAATTTAGAGGTTTATGAAAAATCATTTTTTTAGAGAAAATATCTTTCTTTTGAATGATATATGTTACACTTTTCCTTGCAACCTTGATGAGTTGAGGTTAAATTGATATTCTTGATGTCATTTGACCTTATATGGTTTGAGAGAGAACTGGGTCATGTCAGGTAATATACCTTTGTTTGGCATTAAACAGGAAATACTTGAGTGAAATACACATGAGCAGTTGTGTAACTGACAAGCTTGACCATTCAGAGGTTGCAATCTACTAGAAATCTACAAGAAACCAACTAGTGATGAATTTCTAGGTCAAAATTTGTAAACAAGGAGGAATGCATAATTTACGATCCACCAGCTATGGATGTAAAGCTTGTCCAAATGAAGCTTTTCGCATTTGCAAGCCAGGTTTTTTTATGTAGTGTGTGAGATAAATTCAAGTTTATTGGAGGGATATTTCATGACACAATGCCAAGACTATTATTATGTCTGATTTGAGGGATGAAAGTTGTTTGAGTATGAGTGAGATTATTTGGGCTAGGGATTCACAAAGTGAATTCTGCTCCACTCATATCAAATCTGCACTTGAGTACCATTCCATCTTAATTGCCACTATAAGGTAAATTCAAATAATCATATTGTACTTAATAACTTGCATCAACAGTAATTTCATATCATCCCATTTATTTCAGACAAGCACTGGATATGTTGATGGATAGGTTAAACAGTAGGAGAGAGAAGCTAGAAGCAGCAAGACAGATCCACCAGTTTAACAGAGACTATGAGGAAGCTATGTCTAGGATACAGGTAAGCTCAGGACCCCCCTTCCCCCTTCCCCCTCCCCCTCCCCCTCCCCCTCCCCTTTTAATAAACAGATTATGATCTTTCTTAATGCAGTCATTTGTCAGTCACTTTATGTTTGCGTAGTTTACATTATTTTTCTGTTTGTGCATGTAGTGACTAAAACATTTCTTCCTGATTTAATAAGCATGTAAATAACAGTTGCAGTCTCATACATGATCAGTGTGCCAGCTAGGCTGGATACTTATTTAGCTGTTTGAAATTCAATTGTATAACTATGATCTAATGTAAAATGGTGATTCCATGCCCATGTTCCCTATATTTTGAAAGTGATTAGATGAGCAACAAACATGTTACAACTAGTTAGCAGTGTATGCTGCAACATATGTGTAGTCATCCAGTAACTGTACAAAAGATGTAAGTGATGCAAAAAACCAAAAACATTTATGTTCTTTTTGTTGTGTAACAGGAGAAATATGCCATTATACCTGAAGAGCTTGGTAAGGATGTGAACGCTGTACAGTCACTGGTCAGGAAACATGAGGCCTTTGAAAGTGACCTGGTAGCTCTTGAAGGACAGGTAAGTTTATTCTATGTCTACCATTATTTATAGTCGAGACTCTTTTTGATTGATATTCTTTTGCTGGTGAGACAGTTGTGCCCAACAATTTGTAGCTGTTGCTTATTCCCAGAGTATTACAGTCCCTGTGGAAAGAAATTTTCTGTTTATCATTCACTGATAACGAATAAGAAAATAAATAAAAAAAGAATAGTAAGGACATACAGATTGTAGTGATGCAGTGATTATATACCACCTCTTTGTCTGTACATCACCACAGTTGTAAAATACATGTTCATGTATAATGAAAGGTGTTTCCATTTCATTGGTTGTATATTCCTGAATAAAAAGATGTCATATCCTGTGTATAGCCTCCCAGTTGCAATTATTTCAAGAACAAAGCATGATGGCTCAGGATGACTAACCCTAATGGTCAGGAAAGCAGTGCTAACACTTTCAATGTGGCTCACAGTACAGTACCATATGGAATACCCTTTCAAAGCCCCTCTGCACTAGTTAAGCATGGACCTCCATGCAAGGTCACTGGTTATCTCATCAAATCAGCTCTCAATTAACATAATAAAATGGGCATCATGGGGGATCAACGGGTACCGCTTAAGCATTGTTGGCTGTATAGAGGGCACAAGTAGCTATAAGTAGTGCAGTGGGGCTTTAAATGATCATTGGTTGGAAAATGGCAGCTCACACCTCTTATCCCTTAACCATACGCTCCATACAGTTGCAGACCCTTGTCAACGAGGCCGTTCGTCTTCAGGAGGAGTATCCAGGAGAGAACGCCATGCAGCTTGATGAGCAGCAGAGTGTGATGGTAGCCGACTGGAATCTCCTTCAGGAGAGAGCCACAGAGAGGAGATCAAGTCTTCAAGCAGCAAATGACTTCCACAGACTCATGGCTACCGTAAGCCCCTTACCGTTTGCATGCTCATCCATAGTACAGTCAAACCTGTCTATAGCGACCGCCCAATTAGGGAAACACAAAAAGTGGTCTTTGTAGACAGGTTTCTTTAGTACATGTTTCAAACAGAAACCATTTTTAAGGGAAACAAGAAATGTAGTCTTTGTAGAGAGGTGGTCACTAAAGCAGGTTTGACTGTAGTTGGAAGCCCACTTGCATTTGATTATTAAGCAAATCACTTGTTAGCAAATCACAGTGGGATCCTTACTTCTGGTTGGCTATTGAAAAAGATTTGAGTAAATCCTAATAGTTTGATATAATATAAAATTGATTCAGGATACTAAGAAAGCAAGTACATACTTGTAGGTTAGCAGACAGGGGACCTACAGCTTTACATATAAGTCCTATCTGAAGTACCATATAAATGTAATTAATCCTGAGGGTCAGTGTCTGTTTAAGAGATGAGACAATGTGAATGTAGAGGTATAAGCTGATGAACTATTCTGAGGAATTTCACCTATTCAACCTTTACTGACTAAGTTCTTAAATGAAAAACTTGTATATCCATCATGGGTCTTTATCAGAATTATCATATGTGTACATTTTTAACGGAGGTTGTGTGTGTAGTCTCTTTTCTTTGCCCTAATCATACCATATTGGAATAGGCTACCTTTAATACTCAGACAATCACCATCTGTCTCTTTATTCAAAAAGGGAATTCAAACATTTTTTTTTTATAAACCAGATTTTTAAGATTCTGTAAGTCTTCATTTTCATTTTTGTAGGATTCTTCTTGTTGTAAGCACTTTGGGCCGCTCTGTGAAAAGCACAGTATATAAATAATAATAATGATAAAATTAAATAATAATGATAATATTTGTGTTCTCCTATATTCTGTCCTCAGTGTAAGGACCTGATCAAGTGGTCAGACAATGCGAATGCAGAGATACAAGCTGAGGAACCTGTTAAGGATGTGTACACTACTATGAGTATGATTAACAACCATGTACAACTCAGGTCAGAGATTGAGGCCAGAGAAGACAACTTTAGCTCCTTGGTACAGGCAGGAGAGATCCTCATTCAACAGGGGCACTTTGCCAGTGAAGAGGTAGGGATTGTAAACTTTATGTGAACTTTAAAACTTGCTGAAAGCTGTGCTACATGAATCGATATTAATACAAGGCTAGAATTGATATTTTATTTAAAAACATGCTAACTATTTGGTGGTTAGATTCACTTCTGAGTCCTCTGACAATAGAGAAGGAGGATTGATTTATAGCATATGTACCATATATGCTTATTTTACTTTTGTCAAAATGATGACTAGTTGATATTAATCACTGTCGGGAGGTTCTGTATCCCTCAAACATGATACGTATTTGGTTGAGAATTTTATGAGAAATGTATTCATGTAGGTGGGTGCATATTCATCTAACTTCAGCCCCCTTTAACAAATTAAGATGGAAATAGAATTACTTTAAAGAACTCAAAGCTGCAATTTTCTGTATATTTTGATGACACCCATGGATAGACTAGTATTTGAACATAGGTAAATCTGTTATTGTTGTAGATCCAGGAGAGAATTGAAGCAGTCTTACAGGCCAGAGAGGACCTTCACGGAGGCTGGCAGACCAAGAAGGAGAAACTAGACCAGGCTCATCAACAGCAACAGTTCTACAGAGAGGCCAAGATCCTAGAAACCCTTAGCAGCCAACAAGAGGTAGGCCATTTTTTCTTCAGGCAATGCGTTACAGCTTAATGGTCCTATGTTGATTTTTTTTTGCAAAAGATTAATGAGTCTACTCAGGATTAGGTATATATTTCTCTCTGTTGTCACTCAAATCCCATTGGGATAAGCAACTCTGATTTTATACAGTACTTACAAAGGTAAGAGTGGATAACGCTAGGTCTTTGCATGAATTAATTTGATATTGAAAAGCTAATGATGAAATCAAGAAATATGAAAGCTAACAGATACTTATTGATTATTGATGAAATAATTAAATGTTGGATACTCTTTTCTTTTGTAACCCCAGGTCTATCTGCAAAGCAGTGACATGGGAGCAACAGTGGAAGAAGTCGAAGCACAGATCAAGAAGCATGAAGCTTTTGAGAAAATTCTTGCAACTCAAGAAGAGAAGGTGGGTACAAACACTGCCATTTAATGCAGCATTGTCTGAAAAGTCAAAGAATTTAGAATATTTTGAATTTAAAACTTGTCAGATGAATTAAGATCCCTATTGTGAAATTTGGTGGTAAGTAGAAACCCTGATCAATAGCGTATGTTCCATTATAAATTTGATTAGGCACTAGTTTTGTGGAGCTCTAAATAATTTATATTAATTTAATGTCATTTTCAATGCAATTATGTTATTTTTCTTTTGTAGACAAATACACTTCAGGTATTTGGTAGTCAACTGATGGAAGAAGGTCATTTTGATGCACCTGGTATTCAAGAGAAACTGAAAGAAGTTACAAAAAGGTAAGAACCTTTTAATTTCTCCCTCTTTCTATCTCTTTCTATGCACCCCTTCTCTAACCCATTGATTCTTTTTCCTTCTCTCTTGTATAATCTTTTGTCTGATTGGAAATAAAGATGGTGTTTAATATTTCCTTTCCTTTATCCAGGTTCTTTATCCAGGTCTTTTTCTTCCTTTTTTCTTTCTTTATCTATTCTTCCCTCTCTGGTTGTTGGTGTTGGATTTTTGTTGTCAGTTAACACCACTTCTCATTTCTCTTGTAGGCGAGCAAGGCTTCGAGATCTGAGTGCAGAGAGGAGACAGAAATTATCATCTGCTAAGCTATATGCTCAGTTCAGCAGAGACATTGCAGAAGTAAGTATTACCTGTATTTGTTCTGATGAAACTCACATATACCTGTATTTTCTTTAATAAGTGCTTGTGATTACTCTTCTCATAATAGCAAAATAGATTGATGACAATTGCTGTATTTGTCTAAAGTGGCTCATTACATGTATATTTATGTGGACTTTTTGCAACAACTTTTTTTTTTTAATTCTAAAGATACATTTCATATTCCTTAATATATTGATGATTAGTCATAACATGTTTGTAAATTATCGTTAGTCCACTAAAAGTAATGTATCTATTTCTGGCATTTTTTTCTTTGATGCCAATATTAGTTTCTCCTGACTACTTTTTTTGTTCTTTGACACATTTCTATGTTTTCTATTAAAAAAAAAGAGTTTTATTCAATTTCAGTTCATTCATTAACTAGTAATCTCATCATTTTATGTTATCTTTGTTTCAGGCTCAGGCATGGATCGGTGAGAAGTGGAAGACCTTTGGAGATGATGACCTGGAATCCCTCAGTAACCTGAAGGAGAAGATGAAGAGACTGCAGAAACATCAAGCCTTTGAGGCTGAGATCAAAGCCAATGAGAAGCTCATCTCTGATGTCAAACAGGTAATAGTTATCCCCATCTGAAATGAACTAGCTTTAAGATTAACAAATTGCAATATTGACCGTCAATGGCAAACTCCATCTCTATGTCCATTTAATAAAGGGCGATTTTTCACCTAGGTTGCCAGATTTCTCACTATGCATTAAATTTAGAACTCATTGCCTTACTAGGTCTTTGAAATAACCCCTCCCCCCCCCCCATTTCATGGGTATACAAAGAGATGTTGTGGAAATAACCCCCTCCCCCCACGAACACAAACACACACACATCTTTTAACAAAAACATTGTGCAGGTGATCTTTGTTTTGTATTGATGTTTAAGATATGCTAACAAAGATTCTCAAATTAAAAAAAAAGAAGGTTTGTGTGACTTTTTGCTAAAAGTGTACTGCTATTTGTTTTTACCTTTGTCAGGAAGGGGAATCGCTTTTGAAGCAGCATCATCCTGACTCTACAAACATCAATCAAAGAATGTCCGAAATGATGAAATCATGGAATGACCTGAGACAGGCATCCATCAAGAGAGGGCAGCATTTAGAAGAGGTCAGGGACTTGCTGGAGTACAACCAAATGGCAGAGAAGATCGAAAAGTGGACGAGAGAGAAGGTGGGTAGAATTCAGATTTCAGAATCAATATCACTCCTTAATGTAAATATCTTCACTTTTAAACTTCTGGATAAGTGGATATTAATATTGATCTTATCAAATACTAGATGACATGAATCTTATCATCATTTTGCTATGAAAACCGTATGATATCTATGATTTTTCCTACATTTGAGAGATTTGAATTGCATATTTGTGTAACCCGCAGGAAGTGATGGTGTCTGCACATGACGTTGGGAATGACTATGAACACTGTATGGAACTACAAAAGAAACTCAATGATATTGGTTCAGTAAGTACACAAACATTACATTACCTTTCATATACATGTATTAGCTCCAACAACCCACTTGACTGCAAATACAATTGTTGGGTAAAGAACAATGCCAAAGTAGGTAAAACAAGCAGTCAGTTTAGAGTTTGATGTTGATCTAGTTTTCCTTCAGTTTCTCTCTTTTAATTTCTCTTTCACCAAAATATGTTGTACATGTCACACATAGCATTTTTAACAATAAATGCTACTACCGATAATGTTGTATTGACTAATATAGCTTTTGATTAAAAGAAATTGAAGGAAAAGTGTGTATATCAGAGAATTTCAACAGCTGAGAAGACATTTGGGTATTAACTATGAAGTAAGATCAGAATAGCTCATCCAATTTGAAATTCTCCATGTCTCTTTTACAGGATCTATCCGTGGATGACGCCTTTGTGAAGCGTATGTGTGAGATGGGTGAGAGACTGATGAAAGAAGGCAACCCAGATCAGACGAACAACATCAGAAAGAGAACCAAGGATATCAAAACAAGGTGACAATTAAATCTTGATGCCTCTTCAGTGCTCATTGGACAAATTGTGGAAATCTTGTTTTGGGTGTCAAGTCTGTCACATGTCATAAGAAAAGTGAATCTTGTTGTTGTTTTGGTTTAATTGTACATTGTAAAACAATTATCAACCAGGGGGGTGATTCACAAAGATTTGAAGTCGAAATTAATTCTAAATTGGACTTAAATATTATGGAGAGCCAAACATGTAGCCTTATTTTGAAATATATTCAAAAGCAAAAATTCAAGTATTTCAGACTTTTCGTAAATTCCACATCAACAACATGAAATCTCCCATGATAATAGAAAATATGAATGATTTGAATCAACATTTTATGCCTTTTGAAATAACTTTTACAAAATATTTTCAAAGATGCTAATGGCTTTCCATAATTGTTAAGTCCAACTTAGAGATAAATTCAATTTAGGATCTTTCTGAAACACCCCCCAGGTATCTAAAGCTTTATTATTCTTTTTTCCTTGGGACCTAAAAATATATGGAACTTCTTAATTATTATGTCCATACTTATGTTTAATGTGGGGAGAAAAGTGATGAAACTATTCTTTTAACAGACTAGAACTCAAATAAGCATCCCCAATTTAGTTGGAATGACACCTTAATCGTTTTTTCTAGACTATTCGGTTCAAAAGTTAAGCGTGTTTGTACATTAGACCATGCGGACTGACGGCCATTTTGGATTTGAACTCTTAGGGTCATCAGAGGTCAAATCTGACTTCCCTTCACATCTGAAAATAAATCTTATGGTGAAAGCTAAATATGCTAGAAGTTTCATGCTTTTCTCAAAAAGTGCACAATTTTCTTGCGAAGCCGCTGCATTACATAGCAATAATGTAAATAATGTAAACATTGATACAATTTGATTCCGTTAGCTGGCAAGGTCTTCAGTCTGGACTCACCAAGTATCGCAAGGAGCTCACCAATGCTGCTGAGATCCATGCCTTCAATAGGGACATGGATGATGTCATGGAAAGGATTAGTGAAAAGGTATTAAATCAAAATCTGAAGTATAATAGCTGTTTGCTTTTGTCTTTCACACTACAGTAATAATGATACCCTTATTTGTCTAACTGTATAACCGTTATTGTTTTCAAGTGGTATCTACATATTTCAAGGAAGTCCTATTTATGGTTAGTTTATTTGTTTGTAGAATTGTCATGTAATTTGTAGAGAAACTGTGATATTTTCCTTGTTTTCTTGGTTCATCCTAAGGAATATCAGGAAACAGCTAGGTTCATATGGCTTGGGTTTTTTGTTTCCTAAGGCTATCATCAAATGCCTTTTACAAATTGGTAATTATTTGCCATTATATATTTTTTTGTAGAATTTTACCTTACCTTTTGATGTTCACTGTTCAAGATGGAAGCTAAGACATTAATGTGTTAATAATAACTGAATGTATTTTTTTTTTTCAATGTCAGAGAAACGCTATGGACATTGAGGAAGTAGGTAAAGATGTGAATTCTGCTGAGTCACTTCAGAGAAGACATGGTGAGCTTGTCAGGGATTCTACAGCTATAGAGACTAGACTCAAGGTGAGTTGTTGGATATATTTGATTGATTTAGTTTTATATTTCATTTTAGTGTTAATATTGCGAGAGATCTAAAAGAATATATATATATATATATATATACATATATATGTATATGTATATATATATGTCCCTATTGAAGGCATATATATATGTATATATATATATGAGGGAGGGGGATTCTTGAAACACTTTCTTCATGTTCCTCACAAATTTGTTTGAGTCCTTGAAGAAACATCCCCCCCCCCCGAATGCTACTGAATGATTTGAAAGGATTAGAGAGTGTATTTTGCATGATTTGGTTTCAAACCTAATATCTTACAATAACCCCAACTCATCTACATTTTTTACAAATAAGCTCATGAAAAATATGTAGAATAAGAATCAGGTTTGATAAAGAACCCCTGTCAATGAATTTACCTATTAAGGCATTTATGATGTACTAGAGAAAGTCTAGCAAAGGGTAAAGATGAAGGATATAGATTTACAAACTTTTAAATGTTTCATTATTTTTCTTCATTTAGGAGCTAAAGAAGACTGCTGCAGAGCTCAGCAAGAGGCAACCTTCTGCAAAAGCCTCAGTCCTAGCCACAGAACAGGAAGCAGAGAAGCAATGGGGCGCCCTCTGTGAACTGAGTCAGCAGCGACAGGAGAAGCTTGACAACTCCCTCAATCTGCAAAAGTTCTACAAGGACTACAGAGAAATGGTGAGGAAAACTTGCACATTTGCAGTAGCTCATTAATTTGTCATGATGATTATGACCTGGATATGAAGGTTCTCTAAAAATGTCAATTGTTTTAGATCGATGAGAAATCTGTAGTTTCCCTTCATTGTTTGTGCCTTTTTATAAAAGTTCTAGTCCTGTAGTTGGAATTAAATGTGCATGAATAATTGATGAGGATTGAGTTTTGTGACATCAAATAGTTACTGATTCTGCCCCATAAAAAATATTGCCTGTAACAGGTTAATTACCAATTCTGGGAGCAATTATTGCATGGTGTACAATTTTCATTTTTTCCAGTCAAATCATGTTTGTAATTCACAAGAATTTATTATATTGTTTTTCTTTGCTCTTTGTGACAGATGGGTTGGACTGGTCAGGTGATCAATCACATGACTTCCGGGGAGCTCGCCAAAACATCTAGTGAAGTGGAGAATTTGTGTGAGCTTCACAAGGAGAGAAAGGTATGTTGGTCAAATTGATGTGTCAGATTTGCTATCTGATCATGTCAAGTTTCATTAAAGGGATGATAGTCCCTGAAAAATGATTAACTGTATTCATTTCAGACAGTGCATTATTTAACAAATGAAAAAGATGTCTTCTTTTCCAAAAAAAATAGTATTGAATTTTTATCCAGAGGTAAATCAGAATGAGAGCCATTGAAATATATGCTCAATGGAAATGAGTCCCTCAAACTGATTTATAATGGTTTTAGTCTTCAATCAGCATAATAGTACATGTTCACATCATACATTTATGGACACGTGTATGGATAAATTGACCTTAATTTCATTTCTGTTTTCCTAGGCTGAAATTGATGGTCGCAATGCCAAGTTTGAGTCCCTCTATGAGACAAGCTCCTCCATGGTGGACCAGGGTCACTATGCCTCTGAGGACATCAAGCAGTGCCTTGACCAGCTGACCGAGGCTAAGGCCCAGGTGGAGACTGGCTGGGAGGAGCGTAAGACACTCCTGGCTCAGTGCTTTGATCTTCAAGTCTTCCAGGAGTTCACGGAGCAGGCAGAGAGCTGGCTGGCATCCAAGGAGGCCTTTATCACCCAGGAGGATGCGGGGGTAAGTACTCCTGGGGGGTGTTTCACAACACTTGTCATCAGTGACAAATGAAAGTTGTTGTTATAAGCTACTGAAATCCTTGCTTCTGATTGGTTATTAGATTTGTCACTGATTTTTTTTCATTTGTCATTGAAAAAAGGCTTTGTGAAACGGGTCCCTGTTGAGGATGGTGATGAGGGGGAATAATGAAATGAAGTATGATACAAAGATGTTATTGATGATGAGCTGGAGCAGGAGGAGGAAGATAAGCATTGTGATGAATGCAAATATGATTTGGAGCATGAAAATGAAAGATAGTCATAATAAGGATTTTTTATGGATTCTGGGGGGACTACTGCTATTGATGTTGATGATGAATATGATAATGATGATGCAGATAATGATGATGAAGAGGGGGAAGAGGATGTGATGATTAGCATTACAAAAAATAAAAAGATGATTTGAGGATGATAATGATGATTTTGATGATCCAACTCTACCCATTTTTAGTGTAGTAGTGTAAAGCGGGTATCGTCTACAACAAATACAAATTCACACCATCGAGATATGAGAAGATTATTCATGCATGTCAGGATTCATTCACAGTGTACCGTAAATTGTCTTTCAGGATTCCCTCACCACGGTGGAATCTCTGGCCAGAAAACATGACGGTTTTGAGAAGACGCTAGAGAGCCAGGTTGAGAAGATTGATGAGCTCCAGGTATTTGCTTCCCAGCTGGTGTCCGGAGGCCATTACGATGCTGGATGGGTAGAGTCGAAATGCCAGGCCATCGCAGACAGGTCAGTGTCAAAGATCATATTGACAGAATGAATTACATGCATGAACCAGCGTATGTTAATGGACAGAAACAGAAACTCTATGATAACAAAACTATGGCTCACACATTGTTTTTCAAGAGATGATGATATTATAAACCTTATGTCATTTGTTAATCTTTGAGTAAGTAGGCATAAATGGGTGTGGTTTTGGCACACTGAACATAGCAATGATGTCAGGAACAGAGTATCCAAGGTTCAAGACCAAGCCAGTACTCTAGTTTCCTTGGATGAGGCATTCATCCTCAATGTCTCATTCTCCTGCAGTGATAGGTCTTGTACAGCATACTTTACAAAGGACATCAACCCTGAGAACTTGGGTCACAGAAACCATTTTATAAGTCCTTCCATGCTCGCTTTTCTGTGTATGTTGTGTAAAACACTGGGGTTCAAGCAATTTGCTAGAATAGAGAAAACTATTATTCTTTCATGTCTACCATGCGTAGGAGAGACAAGCTATATCAAGAGACAGAGGCAAGGAGGAAGCGTTTAGCTGAGTCCCTTGAGATGCACCAGTTTCTACAGGACATTTATGAGGTGGGCTCCTGGATCAGCGAAAAGACCCAGATCGCTTCTGATGAATCCTTCCGTGATGAGAGTAACCTCACCCACAAGCTTCAGAAGCATCAGGCCTTTGAAGCAGAGCTGCTCTCCAACAGGGGCAGGGTGGATTCAGTTCAACAGGTTTGTAGATTTTCTTTCTACTCTTTCACCAGCATCTTTAACAAGAATATGTATTTTTAAAGAGAGTGTTGCAAAACTTTGCAGTGAAATCTTGTTCGTTTGGTAGGTACTCATTTTAGTCAGAATATTCTGATACTCTTGGGAAAGAGTGGTCTGAACTAATCCTCCTTGAATGTCTTTCACTTCATCACTAATTCACCATGCAGACTTTCAGTCTCAGGTTTCATCTTGAAATTTTGACAAAATATTTGTTAAATAATAATAATAGTAATAATAATGGGTTCTTGTATAGCGCTCATGTCAGTCAGATTTGACCCTCCTGGCACTCCCGAAGATACCAAAGACAATATTTATTTTTCATATATAACTACATCTGTCAAGGTCACAAATCTAGTGCTCTCCATCCCGCTACTGTAATGTCTATAACAAAGTCCAAAACATTACATAAATAATAATGCCTATGATATAGAATATGGATTATTTTATCATTGGAAGGAAAATTTTGTGAATGATGATGGCGATAATAAAAGTATTTGCTTTCGACAGCGTGGCAAAGCTATGATTGAACAGGAGCATCATGCATCAGCTGACATCAAGGAGAAACTTCTCGAGCTAGAACAGAGATGGCAACATCTTATGGATCGGTGTGCCTGGAAACAAGATCATCTACAGCAGGCATACAAGGTAGGAATCTTATTACAAGTATTGTCTACTTATCATTGGCAGAAGGTTGCAAATGGATGGTCAGCCAGCAATTTTATATTTCTAGAAATAGACATGAGTTAGTATGTTGAGACCCTATACAAAACGGAACATGGAAGAGTTTTGAATATGTATTGTAACCTGTGCAATGTTGGACAAGATCAGTTTAGTAGAAATTAGCTATATTTATGAACTATAAAGGTAAAATGTAGAGGTAAAGGATAGATCCATGATATATATTTTTTAGAATTAGAAAAACTTGGGATTTATTTCAAGAAAATGTAACTCTATATATCCTTTGAATTATTACCATTTAAATTGTATTACATGTGTGACTCCAGTTACATTACACGACCATGACCAGAAAAACTTGGGATTTATTTCAAGAAAATGTAAAGATACCCTTTTAATTATTACCATTCAAATTGTTATTACATGTGTGAATCAAGTATCATTTAATCATGCGAGTTGACTTTACATGTTTCACGACAAGAGCCTTTCTCTCACACAAAGTTGTTGTTCTTTGATCATCCAAGGCCCATGTCCTCCAGCGTACTATAGATGATATGAGTGGATGGTTGAGCGAGGTAGAGAGCCATCTTCAGTCCAGTGATGTAGGCAAGGACATGGCCAGTGTCAAGCATCTCATTAAGAAACATCAGGTAGGAACAATCAAACTTTTCTTCAGTGTTCATCTCTATAAAATAGTTTCTTTGGTTGAATCAAACATTATTGCAAGGAAAAGTGAAACTAGATGTGCAGGTACAGGGGTGTACACATTTAAGAATGGTCATTGCTTATAGACTTATGGTATGTCAGGAATAAGCATTGATTTAAAAAAAATGAACATCTTGGTTTGAAAGGTCGTCTAATAGAAAGGTTCCATAGCTTGAGAGAGATAGAATTCAATTTTGATGTGAAAAACCTGTTGTAATTGTCTTTTATCTAAGATCACTTTCTGTATGAAATTGTCATTGATATGAATCTATTTAACTGATAATGCAAACCTATTTATATTTGTGAACCATGCAAGCAAGAGAAGTCCCTCGATACTGAAATGTATTATTTTGGAGTGAATTTAGCGGTGATATGATTTTAACCCTTATTTTCCCTTTTCTTTATTACTAGGCTCTAAACCTTGATATTGAATCATATGAAGAGAAAGTGATTGAAATCAAGCAGACAGCAGGGACACTCAAAGAAGAAGAGAACTTCCTAGCAGATGACATGATCAACAAAACAGATTCGGTTTATGAAAGGTAAGGCTACAGTCTTCCATTCCTTTAACCCATTAGCAACTACACCGCCCGAAATCGTCCCTCCTTTTACTCACTGAACCGCCCGAAACCGCCCGTCCGTTTTCAACGCGCTATAGTATCTGTTCTAGGGTCTACCGTGATAATGTTAATTGTGCGTTATCCTAACGATGTCTACAGTAGGATTCTGCATAGAAACATAACGCATGTTTCATTTTGTTCAGAACAATGTCAAAATAAGAGCAATATTGCAACATCTTCCAGTGAGTAATAGGCCATTTTTACAAAATCTCTAGTTGCTAATGGGTTAAGAAATGAAATTCCTTATCCATGACATTGTATCTGCTTGTAGAAGAGAGACATTTATAGAAAATGTAATGGACTTCATCCACTTTTCCAATTCACTGTTTTTCACTTTTTTTAATATAAATACATTCTTTTTATTTTATATGGACCTATACTGGTATATATATATGTGGTAGTGGTTAATTTACCTGACTGCTAAGAAAGCATAAATGCTTGTTAGTAAGCAACCAGATGGCTGACGGCTTTACATCCTCTCCGATGGACCTGGTAATGAGGATTAATGCCTTACCAAAGGGCACTAGCGCATCGACTTGGCTTTGAACCAGGTCACCGGATTACGAGACCACTGCTCTACCAACTGAGCTTTCGCGCCTCCTTATATATGTCTATGAATTTGTTAATGTATGATGAGAGAAAAAGGACATGATATTTTCATTCCCTTCAGTTGTAACCCTCATTAATCTCTCTCTTTCTGTATTGCAAGGTATGATGCAGTCACCGAGTTGGCTGTACAGAGACAGAATCAGTTGGATGATGCCTTCACCCTCTACAAGTTCTCAAGAGATGTTGATGATGAGTTGTCATGGATACAGGAGAAAATGAACCTAGCATCCTCCAATGAATATGGCAACTCCCTGACTGCAGTTCAAAACCTAGTCAAGAGACATCAAGTAAGTGATCACTTTTTTTCTGTTGTTCATATACAAATGAATTTAAAAAGAATATATAAGATAATTAGTTACCAAGCTGATTTTGAGTCTTTATTTTATTTTGTCCACTTTATTACCCCCTGCCTTAAATTGTTCACTCTTTGAATAATGATGGTGTCATTTTTGGAATGTTCATTCCCCTTTTTAAATGTTTTCACATTGTATCCCATGTGGGCTATTTATTGAGATAATTTTTTGCTTTCATCATAGTTCAACAAATTGGAGACGACTTGTGACGTTAATACATTCTAATACATTCTTTAAACCTGTTTAAAAACTTTTATTTTCCTCACTAGATGCTGGAGAGTGAGATAACAGCCCATGAGCAGTTGATCGGTGCAGTGTCCAACACTGCTCATCAGCTGCTGGATATGGGTCACTATGGCAACAGTGAGATCAAAGACCAAGAGATGAATCTGAACTCAAGATGGAGTCAACTCAAGGAGGCTGCTTCTGAAAGGAAAAGGAAACTCTCCTCTGCACTTGATATTCAGAAGGTAGGAATGGAAACATATAATTGCTTTAAGTCCATCTATTAGTGCAATAAATTGAGTAAATATGAAAGATGACCAACAGTCTTTTTCAAGACTACACCAACAGTCCTTTTCAGGACTACACAAACTCAAGAAAGAAAGATTATCAAGAGTCCTTTTCAAGACTTCCTAATCCCCTCTCTTTCTCACATGGTGCAACCGCAAGCCTACTGTATAAATATATATTGTAATCAATCAAACAGGATTCACAGTGTTTTGTGTAAAAGGGCACTTCCTGTGGTGAAAGGACCTGTACCTTTTTCATTCCATAGTGTTTTCTATGTACAATTTATCAATGTATGGTAAGGTTTGGAATCCAGCAGTTGATAATTGTTTGCATCACATTAGAAAAGTAATATAAACTTGGCGTGATGTCAGTACTGCAGATCAGGGTGTTCCTCAAGTGGATCACTATTTTTTTTTGTAATGAATGTTCGATATTGAAGATACATGATATGAAATGGTCTAAGCAGGAAAAAACATTTTGTTCATTGCACTTCTTGTTACTTTGCCTTCAGTTCCTCTCTGACCTGATGGAAGCCGAGTCCTGGATGAATGACAAGCGCCCTCTAGTGACGAGCACAGACTGCGGCAAGAACGAGGACTCTGTAGTGTCCTTACTGAAGAAGCTGGATGGTTTGGAGCTAGATCTAGAAGGCTACTCTGGAACTCTGCAAGCTTTAGCAACGACAGCCAGTAACCTGTCTGATCCATCTAACCCTCTTATGAAGGATGTACAGGAAAGACAGGTTCGTAGATAATTCCATTGTATCTTTTTCATGGAGGTCACTATTTAACACATATTTTGCAGTAGATATTTTGAAAAGGATGAATATTTGTTTTGTCAATAATTGATATGTCTGAGATTGACATAGGAAGAGAATTAGAAAAAAGGATTTGAATTTTTGACAGTTCCATTCACCAATCTCATTCAGGGATGATGGCAAATATTTTGATAGGAATTTATTTTATTTTTTCAAAATGTGTTGTTATTTGACAAAAACATTAAAAAACATATTTTTGTGAACTGGAACAATCATCTAGTTCTCAAAGCAATACAGGCCCTTTTTTGTCAAAAACTTTGGTCTTACCTGTAATTTCATAAATCATGAGGATATGAATTCTATGACGTCTTTTTTTGTTGCTCAAGTTATCAAGAAGTCTGAACTATGAAAATGAAAGCAGTCAACTTTAAATTATCTTTATCTTCTTTTATTGTTTGTTGGTTAATGCTAGAATGAAATAGAGACTCAGTACCAGGATGTCCTGGACCTACTGGAGGCTAGGAAACATGTCCTGATGGGCCATCTCAAACAGTTTGAGTTCCTGAGAGAGATGGATGAGATGGTGGATTGGATCCAGGAGAAAGAGGTCCTGGCCCTATCAGAGGACTATGGCAAGGACCTGGAACATGTTGAGGTAAGGGATAGGAGGCAAGGATGTCAGCTTTGTTTTTTCCTCTACATTATGTTCCCCGGAATTGTACTTGATGCAGGGCGAAAATTGGAAAATCAATGAATTACTTTGATTGGTATTTTAGGTAGCACCTGTAAATGAGTTAGTAGAAATAGACAAAATGTCACCTGCAGTTCATGTTTGACCAGTGAAGGTTACTTAGAAAAAGGAAATACCGATATGCCTTATTCTGACTCTGGAACATAACTAGATAGATAAAGGGGCTTAACAAAAGAATGTAATATAAAGTGCAATATGTTTTCAATGAAGATTCATTAAAAGAGACCACCAAACTGTCTTCAGTATCAAAAGTGTGATGTTCCTTCAAAATCATGTACATGTAGTTCATGTGCTTTAGTATGTTACATACACAGACATAGATTTTCCTTTTTTCCTTTTTGTCAAATCATTTAGAAAAAAGTCGATATTTCCTATTCAAGTTTTTCTTATTGTATAGGGATGTTTTAATTGTTGTCATCATTTGTCCTATCTTGCATTTATCAGATCTTGCAGGCAAGATTCAACAGTTTCACCAAAGACATTCTCACCAACGAGGGTCGTATCAGGGCTATCGGGAACAAGGCCAACACCCTTATCAAGAGTGGCATCGATGAAGACGATACCATAGCAACCAAATGTCAGGAGCTTGAAGTCAGATGGGATGAACTGAAGGAGGCTACAAATGCTAGGACACAGGTGAGATCTAAAATAGCAAAGACTAGAAGCAAAGACTAAAACCTAATACTAGACGCAAAGACTGAAAACTTATACTAGATGCAAACTCTGAAACCTTATACTAGAAGCAAAGACTGAAAACTTATACTAGACACAAAGACCGAAACCTTACACTAGAAGCAAAGACTGAAACCTTATACTAGAAGCAAAGACCGAAACCTTATACTAGATGCAAAGACTGAAACCTTATACTAGACGCAAAACCTTATACTATACACAAAGACCGAAACCTTATACTAGATGCAAAGACTGAAACCTTATACTAGAAGCAAAGACCGAAACCTTATACTAGACGCAAAACCTTATACTAGACACAAAGACCGAAACCTTATACTAGAAGCAGAGACTGAAACCTTATACTAAATGCAAAACCTTATACTAGACACAAAGACCTAAACCTTATACTAGAAGCAAAGACTGAAACCTTATACTAGACGCAACCTTATACTAGACGCAAAGAAGCAAAGACTGAAACCTTTTACTAGACGCAAAGACTGAAACCTTATACAAGACACAAAGATCAAAACCTTATACTAGACTGAAACCTTATACTAGAAGCAAACTCTAAAACCTTATACTAGAAGCAAAGACCGAAAACTTATACTAGAAGCAAAGACTGAAACCTTATACTAGAAGCAAAGACCGAAACCTTATACTAGACGCAAAACCTTATACTAGACACAAAGACCGAAACCTTATACTAGAAGCAGAGACTGAAACCTTATACTAAATGCAAAACCTTATACTAGACACAAAGACCTAAACCTTATACTAGAAGCAAAGACTGAAACCTTATACTAGACGCAACCTTATACTAGACGCAAAGAAGCAAAGACTGAAACCTTTTACTAGACGCAAAGACTGAAACCTTATACAAGACACAAAGATCAAAACCTTATACTAGACTGAAACCTTATACTAGAAGCAAACTCTAAAACCTTATACTAGAAGCAAAGACCGAAAACTTATACTAGAAGCAAAGACTGAAACCTTATACTAGAAGCAAAGACCGAAACCTTATACTAGACGCAAAACCTTATACTAGACACAAAGACCGAAACCTTATACTAGAAGCAGAGACTGAAACCTTATACTAAATGCAAAACCTTATACTAGACACAAAGACCTAAACCTTATACTAGAAGCAAAGACTGAAACCTTATACTAGACGCAACCTTATACTAGACGCAAAGAAGCAAAGACTGAAACCTTTTACTAGACGCAAAGACTGAAACCTTATACAAGACACAAAGATCAAAACCTTATACTAGACTGAAACCTTATACTAGAAGCAAACTCTAAAACCTTATACTAGAAGCAAAGACCGAAACTTATACTAGAAGCAAAGAGTGAAACCTTATACTAGAAGCAAAGACTGAAACCTTATACTAGACGCAAAACCTTATACTAGACACAAAGACCGAAACCTTATACTAGATGCAAAGACTAAAACCTTATACTAGACCCAAAGACCGAAACCTTATACTAGATGCAAAGACTGAAACCTTATACTAGAAGCAAAGACCGAAACCTTATACTAGACACAAAGGCCAAAACCTTATACTAGAAGCAAAGACCGAAACCTTATACTAGACGCAAAACCTTATACTAGACACAAAGGCCAAAACCTTATACTAGATACAAAGACTGAAACCTTATACGAGACCTGAAACTAGACACAAAGACTGAAACCTTATCCTAGACGCAAAACCTTATACTAGACACAAAGACCGAAACCTTATACTAGAAGCAAAGACTGAAACCTTATACTAGAAGCAAAGACCAAAAATTTATACTAGAAGCAAAGACTGAAACCTTGAACTAGAAGCAAAGACTGAAACCTCATACTAGAAGCAAAGACTGAAACCTCATACTAGAATAAACCATTACAGACCAAGTCACTGTCAAGAACACTAATATTTGAATATACTACTACTGGGGTCCTCCAATATATATGTATTGAGTGAAGTTATTTTTGTTCAGTATTCCAGAAGGCCATTCATGTATATTGCAAATGCAGATAGTATTGCACCAAAACCTGGTGGGCTATATAGATAGTGGAGGCATTCAAATTCTTGAAATTGACGTTTAAAAATGGACCATCTTGTGACTATCTGTGATTCAAGCATAGCATGTGATTATTTTAAGTACCTTGAATTTACACAAACCTGGATGTCTTAATTGTAGGTTCACATGTGAAGAATATTATTCACTCAATTCCGTAAAGAATTAAAATTGTTTGAAAGGCATTGACAAAATTGCCTGCTGATTTTATTTTATGATATGATAACTTTTGATACGTAGGCTCTAGCTGATGTGCGAGTAGTGCATGCCTTTGATCGAGATATTGCTGAGACCTTAGCATGGATCCAGGAGAAGGATACAGCAGTGTCCAGTGAGGATTACGGCCATGATCTACCCAGTGTCCAAGCCCTGGTCAGAAGACATACAGGCTTTGAGGTGAATATAGACTGACCATTGCAACTTCTCTGTGGTTATCTTTTTCTCCAGACATGATTCACTTTTACATCATAGACATATGTCAACACTATCATACAGAGATAGAAGCAGATACCAAAGTACATTTTCACTCGTGATTAAACATGTGGTTTATACATTTTTTAGGAAGAATGTTGATTTTACTCCCATTAAAAGGGAGTTGCAGAAGAATGTTGTTGAAGAATGTTACAACAAATTTTAATGATGGAAAAGAGTTGATGAAGGGGTAAGAAATCACAGATATCATGTTGTATTTCTTTGATGTTCTTGGTGCTCAAAAAAGAAGTGAAAAAATGGAAGGGATGGCAATTGAAATACTAGTCATAAAATCACACATCCAACTTACTCTTGTTGAATTGCAGAGGGATCTAGCTGCTGTCGAGGAGAAGGTAGAGTCCACCTCAACCCAAGCAGCTCAGCTGGTAGAAGAGTACACTGATGCCTATCAGCATATCAGCGATGAGAATGATTCTATGGTGAGTGCGTGGAACATGTTACTGGAGAGAGCAGCCCTGAGGAAAGACAGACTGATGCAGGCAGAACAGCTTCAGCTCTACTTCAATGAATTCAGGGAACTGAGGTAAGGACATTGATTGCAGAACTGTTCTTCCTCATTGTATTTATCGTATGACTGTGCCTTATTGGCAGGTTGGGTGTGTTCTATGTAGAGAATTTGTTTGGAACTCTGTGATATGTGTTGTGCTGGCTTTTTTTCTTTGTGCAAATTTTACCCCAGACGTGAAAAAGGGAAAGGCTCTCTTGACCTACCATATGAAAGCTCTTATACCTTTGGTGAATTGTCAGAATATGGTGCAATCATGACCCAACATTTGAGGAACTTCAATTTGTAGATCTTCACTTCTGTTTCTGTTGAATAAAAGTTTGAATAGAGGAAATGTCACTGTAGAAAATATTTAAACCCAAAGAAAAGGGTTGAAAGTTGCATTGGAAAATTAACATACAGGTAGTGTTTTTGCTCTATATATCATTGCAATTACTCACCATTTTTCTTGAGCCCATCAAATCACTGAACAGAAGAATTAGTGTACAAGAGTAAGATTTAATTAACATTTTAACCAACTAATTGTCTACACCTCTTGCACCTACAGCACATGGATCAACGAGATGAATGCTCTGCTTTCATCAGATGAGACCCCCCATGATGTGACCAGCGCTGAAGCTCTCATCAACAAACATTCTGAACATCAGCTAGAGATGTCCCTCCATGCTACCAACATTGCTGACTTCATTGAGACTGGCAAGAAGCTCATTGACGAGGATCACTTTTTAGCCAAGGAGGTAAGTTGCTTGGCATTTACAGAAAAATGTGATTATTTCCTGACTAAGAGATAAAAAAAAGTCAAAGTGTTTATCTAGTGAAATTTGATTTACATTGAATATTACATATGACTGTTATTTACATAGGAATTTGACATTAAGTGGTGAATGGCTGTATGATTGATACATAAGACTGATGAGTTAGTATTCTCTTTATGTGGAAGGAAATTGTACTTGTGAATGTCATGAAACAAGTCCCAGGAAATGTTGAGTCACTGTAATTAATTTGTGGGAAAGCGTATGAAATTTCTCAAGCAAAATGAATATTAGGTGAGTGCCTAGATTATAATTATTTTTTTTGTAGTTATACTCTTATTCCATATCTGTTTGAAGATATTATAAGCATATGATATTCTGTATGAACTTGCTGTTCTAATCTAATGTTTATATTTTGGCATGAAAAATATTTGACTTGATGTGTCTTTTGTTGATGGAACAGGGAATATCTTTACCCCGTATTTTCCTGAAAACTAAATTCCTTTATCTCAATGATTGTTATCCTAAGGTTGAGGCTAAAGTGCGGCAGCTGGACCAGGCGTGGGTCAACCTGAATGCCAAGTGTGAAGAGAGGCAGAACTACTTTGAGGCCAAACTAGATACCTTCCTGTTGCAGAGAGACCTTGAAGTGGCAGATTCCTGGCTCAATGATAAGGACCCTATCCTTGTAGACCAGTCATTCCTGGTAAGTTGCACAGGTCTCATTACAGGGAGGGAGAGGGGTGGGAGTGGTCCTTGAAGGAGCCAGGTCCTGGCTCAATGATAACGATTCTATCAAAAAGGGTCAGTCATCCCTGATATGTAGTCCAGGCCTCATTTACAGGGAAGGGGATCTTGAAGGCTTGTTTTTATAAAAAAACGTGTTTAATGGACATTTGATGTACAGATTCAAGAGACACGTTTTGTTCGTTGTTGAAATTGTGTATTACTGGTAATTTTGAAACCTGTATACATTATACATTTTGAAAAGTATGTATTACCAATCTACCAATAGTGCCAATACTTTTGAATTACCATAAGAAGGTTTAAGAAGTGCTGAAAGTAGAGACTAATCTCTTGGTCTCTCTCTCTCTCTCTCTCTATCTCACTTCTCTCCATACTACATCTCCCTACTACATCTCCCTTTGCCAGCTCTCTTTTCTTTTTTATCCTCCTCTTAGTGTATTTCTTTTATCCTGTCGTTCTCTTCCTGTCAGTCACTAGCTCACCCCATCGCCCCCTTCCCCTCTCTCTCTCTCTCTATCTCCTCCCTTTCTATTGTTCCCAATACGCTTTTCTTCCCATTTTTATGACCAAAAGGATAGAAATCAGGATGTTGGAACAGTATGCAATATCCGAGGATTTTAGAAAATTTGCTTTTTTTCTTCAAGATAGAGCAAGGTCTTTAAATACGGTACCATACATAAGATTAATCCAAAGAAAGAGTTACTGAGAGAGTGGGGAAAGCGAAGAGCAAGGAGATTTAAAATAACTCAATAGAATAAATGATGAGGCAAGTTTTTCAAGCTGGGGTTTTCTTTAAGCTAGGGGAAAAGAGACAAAACTTTTCATTTGTAACTTTCTGACAAAGAAATCTTTATTGAAAGATTTCATGGTCCAGTGATTCTAAGAAGGATTTACAGAAGCCGTAGAAGATTTCAAATTGAAAAGAGACATGGGAGCCCATTGTTTATTGTGTTTACACCTGGTATATAAATACTGTCTCAAAGACCTGAGTGTTGAAATCTGTCAAAAGCTACTGAGGGTCCTTATTGTACCACTTGAAGAGCTAACAACCCGCTGAATTTTACAATGAGGACAAAGCCTCTTTGAATACCAAATGTATAATGAGTTTGTGTACAAGTGACTTCTTGTATTCCCGATTGCTTCTTCATCTAGCAGTTATCAAGCGTATAAAGCTACATGAACATGTTTCTGTTCTTGTGGTGTTATTTGATGTGATTCTGATTATTTTTTGTACAGGATGATTCTTGCGATATTGAGGAGCTATTGAAGAAACAGGAGGACTTTGAGAAGATGATCGAAGCACAGGAGGAAAGGTTTGCTGCCCTCACAAGGCTGACCAAGGTAATTAGTTTGGGTGTGGTCTTCATGCACTCAAAACCACATGTTTCTTGTGATTTCTTGCTTGATATGACAAATTAACCAGTTCTTAAAATTATTTAAACAAATATGCATATCTTGAAGAGTTCTTTGTGACAATGGAAACCTTGCCTGAGGCTTCACAGTACAGCAATATATACAATGTAGATTCCATTCATAGACACATTTGAAAGGTGATAATTTGTATTGAAGACCTCATTTTATTTTGTGAGGACATCTGTGTGTTTTAGCCGTCCCTTCTTGTACTTGTATGCAAATGATTGGCCCAACCTACAAAAGAGGATTATCCATTGACTGTTATTATATTTTTACATGGATTAACATGATATTTCAAGGGGTTATTAAGTCCAAAAATTTCATTTATCTTTTCTAAACATTCAGGCTGAGGCAAAGCGTGATGCTGGCCATACAACTCTAGATGATGTCCTACGAGAATTTGACAAAGTGGAGAAGATGGGAGCACCCCCTAATGGCAGAGGTCTTCTTAACAAACAGTTCACAATAGAGGAAGAAGATGAAGAAGCAGAGGAAGAAGAGAGAAAGAAAGTAAGTTTTTTGAAAAAGTGGTAGCTCCTTCTGTTTCTTGATAAACCTGTTACAGAAGACAACATCTTGTGCTTCCTTAATTTTTTGCAGTTATGTTCATGGTGATCTACTAAGTCGAACAGATTTTGGCTATTAGATTGCTAAATGTATGCCTGATGAATAGACATCACAGCTATTTTGAATATTCAGAGTCTCATTTTTCTTTCAACTTTTACACCTCAAATAAAGCATTGTACAATTTTGCAACAAATGTTATAATTTGCTGGCTGTGTACATATTTTATTGCAATATTCTATATCGACCCAAGTTTCATCCTTATTAACACATTTACTTGCCTTAATCTTTAAATTATTGTTGATTTTTGTTTCTTTCTTTTTTATTAAGACTCTTCAAGATGAAAATATAAGCAACATGCTTGATGATATGGCTGGCATGTCACCAAAGAATGCAGGCATTCATAACACAGACAACTTGTTTGATCAGACTGACTTAGTATCATCTAAACAAACTTCCAGTCAGGAGGCTGCCATTCCCTCATCTGTTGCTAAGCAACAAGAGGAAGCCTCTCCACGTCGGCATGTACCAAAGTCCTTCAGACCACCACTCACATCCTCAAAAATATCATCAAGGACCGGTGGGAGCGAGATGCGATCCGATAAAATTGATGATGATGATGAAGGGAAAGAGGAGGAGGAAAAGAGGAAGGAAGGAGGACAGGAGGAGGCTGCAGAAGCACTGGACCGATCAAGAAGACGGATGTTGATCCCCAGGATAAGCATCACCATGTTTGATGATGAGCTTCCAGAGACCTTTGGTGTTCCTGAGGATGCTGATATCAAGAAGGATGAAGCAGACCAGATTGAGCAGATTATCAGACAGAACTCTATAGAGGAGGAAGCAGGAGACAATGATGGTGAGATGATGAAGATGTTAAACATGGATCACTCGATGTTATATGCAATGATCATAGAAATGACTTCATTAAAAGCAGGACTGCACTACTTGTAGCTTCTTGCACCCTCTTTATAGAAAACAATGCCTAAGCGGTACCCGTTGGTACTCCATGGTCCCCTTTTTCTTGTGTTAATTGAGAGCTGATTTGATGAGATAACCACCTGTCAGTGACCACGCAGGGAGGTCTAATCCCTCCTGGCCAAACTAGTGCACATAGGCTGTAACATGTACAATACACAAATCAATATTTGGTGAGGTTTTCAAGGAAATGTCTGATATCATTACCTTGGTTTAAACTCAGCTGCACTTTAACCGTCCTACAGTTTTGATGAAGAATTTTGGTTGAAGAGTGGCAAATATTTAAAAGTTTGTGCCAAGGGCTGTTATACTCTCCATTCTAAAGTGTGAAACTAACATTAGCTGGAGTGATAACCTTTCCCATATGTTACATCTTACTATACCTACTGCTCGATCCAACAGTGTAAAGTTAAAAAGTGTTATATTTACCATTTGAAATATATGACTCCCTTTGCCCTTATGAATCTAGATTTTACAAATTCAAGTGTAGTGTTACTCCTGGAATTCAAACATAGTCATGATATTGTTTGAAGGATACATATGCTTAAATAAGTGCAAATCTGCATGTACTTATATAGATAATTTTCATCATGTTAAGATGTCCTCCAATTGAAGTTTTTGTTGTTGTTTTGCACTTTAATAGATGATCTCCTGGATGAAGACTATCCCCTTGATGATGATGATCTTGCTTTTCAGGACAGTGATGAAAGTGGTCCTGTTGATGACCCAGACTTTGATGATGCTGATGATTTACTGGGTAAAACAACTCTCAGCTCATTCTTTCTTTCCATTAACTGTTTCATACTCCTGAAAGGGTTTATGTGGGAGTTATCCTATCGGCGGGTGATCGGTATTAAAGTCCATTGTAAAAAATTTGTGGTGCAAATTAATTCCTTGGTTTTAATGGGATTCCATTGAAAGCATTTAAACTTGGTTGCAATGAAGTGTAGATGTATGGGATACATGTATCTGTCTCCTTTATATTCCTATTCTTCCTTTTTTGTTGCAGGGTTCGGGGTTGGGGTTAAGTCATTGTCATGGCACTCCATCTCATCTTCCTTTATGCCTCCACTTTTCTCAAATTACACTGCAAATACTCAAGATTGCCTTACATGTGTTTAATGTGTAGAAAATTACATTTTCCATTCCCTTTCTTCTTAGTTCCATTACAAAACAATATTTACATTTTAGGCATCTTGCTCATGTCACTTGTATCCTTTGTTCCACTTATTACACTTCATTACATTTCATTTCATATCATATGTTAGATCCACCTGACACAGCACCATCTGTAGGCTCAGTGAAAATTAAGGTAAGTCCAAGTTGATAGCGGAAATGTCATTAATAATGCCATAATGAATACAGCCCAGAGCCACAGGGCTAATCCCCATTCATTGTGCCAAGCCTCAAATCCCCCTGTGCCAAGTTAATTTTGAGATAATCGGATTAACGCGATGGTACTATCAATAGCGCATGCGAAACACTAGGCACAGTGCAATGGGCATGAACAATAACTGCTATTACGAATGCGAGCATGCATGCACAAAGCAGATAAGCAGTAGCTCGCTCGCTCGCATGAATGAAGCAACCAATCGATAGCGTGCTTGCGTGTACAAAGCACTATAACGATAGTGTGCAAGTAGCCTTATGGCAGGATATGAGTTAAAGTGGATTTAGTAACAAATGGATGTTTTCTTTTGATACATAAAAAACTACTGAAAGTTGCAATTCTTTGTAAAAAATAATTTCTGTATACCCCCAGTGGTTACACTATAGTTGTACTGTATCCAAAAATTTCTTTCAAACTACATACAACGTTAGTTCTTTTACGTGATCGATCATTCACCGCCTGTACATCGAGATTGTGAAATGGTCTTCCCCAAATCCTTCGCTCTTGTCACCAGTTATCCACTTTCAGAACTTAACTAAAGACATACCTATTTCAGATTGCTTACAATTAGTCACTGTTTTTTTGTGTCTTTCCCGGTTAGAATCATGAACAGACATTTTTGGTAGTTTTTCAGTCTCATTAGCGCCTTTGATTAGGCAACGAGATATTGGGGCTTTATAAATTCCTGGATTGGATTGGATTGGATAGGGATCTAAGGTTATACTAGTATAATGAGGAATTAAGTCCATATCGGCACATGTTTCTCATCACTTCATTTCATTGCATTTCATATTCACATTTAATTGCTGTATGTTCCCCATGACATGAACATGAAGTAGAACTATGCTGATTGCGTGACAAATAACCAGTTGACATTTGAATTAATTTTTAAAAATACAAGTAATTTTCCCCCCCAAAAAATATCAATGTAATCAGAGCCTGGGAATATTTTTTGCAAGGAACCCTTACCAATGAATTTGTGAGAATTAAATTTTTATGACCTGTTATAGATTGAGTTGAAATCAAATCTATCTATCTCTAATTATCTCCTCAGCCTGAGACTAAACCACCTCCTCCATCTAGCAAAAAGCCGGAGATTACCAGACGCCCAGCAGGACCAAGAACCCAAACGTTGCCCCCCTCTCCCCAAACCTCAGACCCCCAACTGCAAACGTTGCCCCCTTCTCCCCCAACTTCACACTCCTCATCAAGCATCTCATCTTCCAGTCACACAAATGGAGCTTCAAGCCACCAAGGAAACAGTGGAGATCAAAGGTCACCAAGGTTATCCCAAGATGCAACGACTCCAAAGCCGAGGGTGGGGCGGGTCACGGCGGAACCCCCGCCTCCGATACAGGTGGTGGACCTGAAGGGGCGTTCCCCTCCATCTGATGGCAAAGAGAAGAAGATCTCCATCAGTAGCATCTTCAAAAAGAAAAAGTGATTACAGTCACTTGAGGTAAAGTGTGGAAGATCATCAATGACAGCATCTTTTGTTTTAAAGCCTATCTGCACGAGATTGGCCAGGAGGGATTAGACCTCCCTGTGTGGTCACTGACAGGTGGTTATCCCATCAAATCAGCTCCCATTTAACATAAGAAAAGGGGGACCATGGGGACCAACAGGTACCCTTTAGGCATTGTTGGCTATATAGATGGTGCAAGTAGCTACAAGTAGTGCAGTCCAGCTTTAAGTTATGGATCTTTTATGGAATTGCAGCCGATGGTTGAGAGAAGACTGTATAAATACAGTAGGAGTATCTTCATGAAACGAAAAGTATTAAAGAGTCTTCAACCATCATCTTTCTTTGAAGTATAATGATAATAGAATGTTTTATGCAGTAGATCTAGAGTTATGAGAGAGGCCTAGCCGATATCATTCACATTCCATTGAAAACCCATTTTCACAAAGAAACAGAAATTCCATATTTTTTGCTTAATAGTTTATTTCTTCATTGATTGTGTGTATGAGATTTCTTTATAAATTCAAACCAAACAGTACAAAGATCTACTTAACTTTTTAGTATGTATATATATTCTTCTGTATTATGACAGCAAAAAACGTTCTGCTTATATTATCTGCCTTTTCTACAAGCGCTTTCTCATTTTGTACTGAAATATTTGTAATATAACATTTCCAAATTGTTATCTTTTGACCTATATGGCAGCAAATAATTTGTGGTTAATTGTTTATCATTGTTATTGGTATATTTCATAATGTTTTTCATACTGGCGTTATCACTTCTTGGGTATTCACACTTTTCACTCGATTGTGGCTTTTCCCCAAAATTCCCTTAATGTTTGTTTTTCATCCTGAATCTAAATGTTTACAACACATTTGTACATTTAATTTAAAATTATGATTATTTTCCTCATTGTATATATTACATTTTAACCTCTTTCTCCATTTCAACATTGATGTACATAATTATATGATAAGATGTTGGCTCTGTTATCTCCTCAGGAAAATTTGAATTAAAAAAAACTAATCAAATCTAATCATAGAACTGAAATAATTAAAGAAGTGGTGCAGATTTGATCATGTTAATCAGTCAATCAATGACTTTGTAAAGCTTTGTGTATATAATTCAGTTCTTTTGTCTCTTAATTAATATCATCTCAATACTGTGTGTGAATAATAGTACTTTTTAAAAATTCTGATAATCATTGAGTCATTTTTGTTTTTCTTGTGACATTTTCTTCTTAGTTAGGAAATTATTTTGTGTAAAGGTACAAGTCAAATCATTTTGAGCTATGATACAAAATTGATCCAAAATGAAGAAACAAAGCCACTACTCTTTTAAGAAAAAACTGGTTACATCTTTCATAACTTCAATCATTATGTTCTCTATGATTATTCAAAGATAGGGAATACACATTTTAAAGTTAGTTGCTGCATAGCGTACGTGATCAATATCGGAACAAACATTACAAATCAAATATTCATGGGTAATTTTGATCTAATTTCTTGTTTTTTTTATATTACCATAGTCAAGTGAGAGACAATTATTTATCAAAATTGTTCAAATGTCAGCTACTTGTATGCTGTTTTGTTAAATTATCATCAGGATTCTTTGCAATCGAAATTAAGTCAATCAATTTTGAGATTTTTCAGTTGTCATATAGAAGAATATTGTTACAAATACACTGTATTAGCTAGCGGCCCATGCTGTTTTGTTTAGTTATCAAAACTGCTTGCAATAACAAATTTATTCTGTCAACTTTGAGAATTTTCAATGATCTCGAGGAGGAAATTTGTATTGTTACAAATACATGCTATTAATTGATAATTATCCAGTGGTGTGTATGTATATTGCCTTTATTAGAAAATAATTGTAATGAAATTTCCTCAACATGTGACATGAAATAATAACTATAACTTTCCTGCATATCATCTTCTAGTTGCAATATATATAAAGATATTTGTGAATATTGCTTTTTTATCAATTTTCAATTGACATTTCATTTTCTATTGACTGTCTCTTAAATTTGTAATTGTGCAGTGAAATTTGGTTAAAGTTATATGGGAAATATTTAGCTATTAGTTTGTGGTGGTGAAGTTTATAAATTGTTTTGTGTGTCTGTATATATAGCAATCATTATTTGTAAAATTTGGTTTGTTTAATTTATCAAGGAATAATCAAGGTAGCTCTAAGCATTTATGTGACTCAGAATATAATTATATTTCAAAATAACTGTGTTATAAATTTGTAGAAATAATTTAATGGAAATTAATCAACCATTCAATTGAATGCTTCTTACTGATTGTGTGCTTATTAGACAATGCTTAATAATATTGCTTGTAATTGCACTGTGGCATGTTATATATGATTATGGAAGTAATAATTAACAGTACATTATAGTGGGCATAGCAAGTAGACGCAATGTAGTGAGTGTGCTAAGCTTTGGGAAACCCAGCCATCTCATCTCAATCATGATATATATATCTGTTTGTAGATTCTATTTTAGTGTGTATGAGTTCATGTGATCAATAGTTTAAAAATGAATTGTGTTCAGCTGGCAATCTAACATGTATATTTATTCTGTAAATCCGGGCTAACTCTTAATTCCCCAGGGCTTAATCGGTACCCATTGAAGCAAGGAAGTTTATCGGGAGGGGTGACTCTGTCACAGATATGTGCGTAATTTTGCATAGAGTGAAGGGTACTTATACACCCATTTCGTGTTCATTTGATAGAAATGTTTAAAGTAGTGTCTCAAGAGGGAATGATGACAATGTTAAAAAAGTAAAGTTTTTACCAAAAACAAGCAATTTAGTACTATGTAGCGAAATTAGCATTCTATTGTGGAAGTTAGCTTTTTTAGCGTCTGGAAACTTAATTGCCACTGACATGTTGCTGAGTTATCCCCTAGATCTAGTAAGCTCGATGCCTATTGTACCAAACATGTTCATGTGTGCCTGGCGAGAGCAAAGCTATCTGCTACAGTGAAATGTACATATACCTTGTGCAAGTATCATTCACTTTTCGCAGTAGGATAGGTTTGCGCAAATGTAAGTGCCAAAAGAAAAATAATTTGGTCCAAAATGTAAACACCTTGAAAAGTTTGTCAAAGCTCTTCCGTCCAGTAAATTATTGACATGTTTTCCAGCTGTATATATTCCTCTCTATGGTCACTCATGTAGCAATTATCAAATATTATTGAGAAGAAGCTCCAAGAAAATAAGTATGTTCTCATTGTTTTTACATTTTGTACAAGGATGTGAAGTTGATAAAACCATGCTTTTATGTAATGATTAGAAAGATAATAATGTATTGATTGATTAATTGGCAATTGCAAATGGTATTCTATATTGTGAACCTGTCTTTGCCTGAGTATTTACCCCTTACAAGATACAACTGTTTTTTTTAAAGGAGAGAACAAAATTGGAGGTGAGCAACTTATTCAAAGAGTAAAGTTTATTGTACTGCAAAAAGGTTGTCTAAAAATATATTTACATTTATATGATAGTAATTTGTAATTTATTTAATAGTATCCAATTAAAAATGATTATATGCTTGCTATCTAACTAACAATGAAAATCTATTTCAGATACATGTACATCAAAGAAAAGGTACTCATACACAAGATTTTGAACTCAATGTTTTTATTCCTGAGGCAAAGTTTTACTTTGATGTAATATACAAAATGGAGTATAATAAACAATATATTCTCCTTTGATTTAAATACAGGGATTGTTTACAGTTTGTACAGTTAGCGAATCAAGCACTCACACACTCTCTCTCTCTCTCTCTCTCTATCTTTGTCTTGGTCTTGTTTTATTAGCTGTACAAACCAATTCCATATCTCATTGGATACATTGCTTTGGTATTCATCAAAAATGCATAATGCTTAAATGTGTGTGTTTTATTTATATGTTTATCATATGACTTCAAACAAGTAAAATTCTGATTAAACAAAAACAATACGTTTTAATCCTTTTTGAGTTTTCTTCAAAGTTTTAATTTTGTTTTTCTATGATTCTTAGATTTTTCTTTTATTAAAGTCATATCCTGAGGTATACTACTTGGGATTCATCCATATAGTTTTGCTTGAAATACTTTTCGAAATGACACAGTAGAAGATGATATGAAGAGAAGGAGGAAGAGATAGCAATAGAGAGATGCATAATCAGAGATAGAGAATGGAAAGAAAAGAATGAGAGACAGAGAGAGGAGGGTTGGCAAGATTTAGACGGATAGAGAGGGAGAGAAAGAAATAAAGAGTATTAATAGCAAAAAAATAGACTTAAACTGCTGAAAAGGGTTTTAGAAAGTTAAACCTAATTATTTCCTTGCTAATTTATATAAATAATACATATTTTTTTAATTCATAGTGCATTTAATACATAGAGATATAATTATTAAGTATATATCTCTATGGTTTTATATCAAGAAATATATGTTAATAAAAAAGTAAATGTTCAAATTAAAATGAGAATTTCTCTTTTTATTATGTTAACAAAGGGCAGTAGATATATTCTTTCTCTTTTCTAACTATCATAGAAATTTCTTTTTCACACTCATCTCGATTCCATCAGTTTTATATCTCATAATCTATCGGAAGATATGCCTGATCATATGGAAAGAAAATTCATGGAGGTAAGGGGTTAAGATGGCATGTGAACATTTCTGCCCAAATCGATATTGAGAAGCGCCATCTCCGTCTCTCGACAAACAACAATCATCTTTTAGCTTCCGACAAACGGTATGACTTGCCCGAAAAGTCGGCTATTACAGGTCACTTTTAACCAAAACTAGAATATGTATTTACAACTGAGGAATCAAGAATAAATCTACTGTAAATTATTGAGCACACGAAGTTGATACCGCATTTGTAGCTGAACTGTGGGCAAAATGGTCGCTTCCGTTCGACGAGCTTGGAGACGGGCGCAGAGTATATCATCGCACTGGGTGGTTTGGGCCCGGAACACTGCGGTGAAGGTCGTGCTGCTCACCGCTCTAACGACTTTTCAGCTGTGGCTGGCATTCTTCTTGTATGGGACTTTTTATTATGCTTACATGCCAACAGAATTGCATACAAAACCAGTTTATCTTGATTATGGGTAAGCAAGTGTTTCTCTTGATAATTATATAAGATTTAAATAATGTATGGAAAGTATATAAACGCAGTAGCAAAGTCAAAGAAGTTTGTAATCGTATGAATATAAATTGAAAAAATGATGGTGTTTTACTTTTAACAAAAGCAAATCTGCAAATCAGTAAGTTCAGAATTCAGTGGTTAAATTAAAGTCGGACCACGTGGAACTTTAGCTTACTTTTAGTGCATGCGCATAACCTTCATCTGATCTCGACGAATTGCAGCCTCATTTTACTAAATTGGCGCCGACGAGCCCTTCTTATTGCTATTGCCTATTCACTATTCAATTGGCTATCGCTGGCTTCACTCAATCTTATAAGATATTGGTGCGAGGAGAAAGCTTGCGATTTTCTGTTTGATCTGATACCAAAATGCTGAAAAACCGTATCGAATAGATCTAGAAGGTTTGACTAAAATATGATTTTTGTAACAGATCAAACAGAAAATTGCAAGCTTTCTCCTCGCACCAATATCTTTTATAACATTGAGTGAATGGCAGCCAGCGATAGCCAATCAGAAGGGCACTTGTAGGCGCCAATGTAGGAAAATGAGGCTGAGACTAGATCATTGTAATGCGCATGCGCTAGAATCGGCTAGCTGTAAGCTAAAGTTCTACCTGTACAGTGGCTTCAGAAGTTCAGAGTGCGCTAGTGCCAAGAGGACTGTTCTTTCTTCTTCTCATGAAAAGCACTTTGAAATTGGTCAAGAAATTAATATAAAATGTGAGATTTAGCTATTGGAGTGGTAGCGATAAATTTGCTTACCTTCCACATGTTCCAGATGATAATTAGTGAAGGTGCTATTGATATTACAAAAACGCTGACCTCTTAAGGGACTTTGCGATGTTAGTTGCAGGCAGAAATGCGAAGACACAAGGTAAAAATTATAAAAAAATGTTTTTGCCGATTAGATACTCACTTTACAATAATAGTGGTAATCGCTCTTCTCTACAAGCAAAAAAAAAAGGGTCATTAACATTTTGCGGGCATGTTTTTATTTATTTATAAATTCTACTAAGTACTGCCTCGCCCTCTCTCACAATGCGTATTTATGCCTAGACCAAAGGTTTAAAGCCCCACTGCACTACTTATAGCTACTTGTGCCCTCTATTTAGCAGACAATGCCTAATCGGTGACCATTGGTCCCCCATGATCCTCCTTTTCTTATGTTAATTGAGAGCTGATTTGATGAGATAACGACCTGTCAGTGACCTTGCCGGGTGGTCTAATCCCTCCTGTAAACTAGTGCAGATGGGCTTTAAATCTTTGATGTCAACAGTTGTTCAAATGGGGATATGACAATAATTAGAAATTCATTAAATACATTTTGACTCAACTTGATTGAAACTCAAAGCATTCCTCAGGCAGGGGGATATGAAATTGTTCTAAACTCTAAAGGGCTACTGAGCTGACCCCTCCAGGGAAGGGAGCTTGGAAAGTTGAGAGAAGCAACTCACCCCCCCCCCCCCCCCCAATAAAAAAGCCCACTGGTTTACAATTTCCACTTCTCTTAAATGCAAGGCCAGATTGAACCAAACTTGGTAGGGATCATTCTTAGGCAAAGGTGATTGAAAAACAATTAAAATGGGGTACATATCCCCAAGGGGGGCCTGGGGCAGCTCCCCAAAAAGTTTCCCGGTGGCAGTACATGAACATTTGTTTTTATGCCTCCGTTACGAAGTAGCCGGAGGCATTATGTTTTCGGGTTGTCCGTCCGTACGTACGTCCGTACGTCCCGTTCTCGTGATCGCGTTATCTGAAGAACCGATTGATGGATTCCTGCCAAACTTTGGTCATGTATGTATCTTGCAAAGCCGATGAACTGATTAGATTTTGGGGTCACGAGGTAAAAGGTCAAAGGTCACAGGGCTCATTATGTATGCAAAAACAGCTCGTGATCGCGTTATCTGAAGAACCGATTGATGGATTCCTGCCAAACTTAGGTCATGTATGTATCTTGCAGAGCCGATGAACTGATTAGATTTTGGGGTCACGAGGTCAAAGGTCAAAGGTCACAGGGCTCATTATGTATGCTGAAACAGCTTGTGATCGCGTTATCTCAAGAACCGATTGATGGATTCCTGCCAAACTTAGGTCATGTATGTTACTTGCAGAGCCGATGAACTGATTAAATTTTGGGGTCATGAGGTCAAGGTCAAAGGTCATGCGGCTCATTATGCATGCAAAAATAGCTTGTGATCACATTATCATTAGAACAGATTGATGGATTCCTCCCAAACTTAGATCATGTATGTATCTTGCAGAGCCAATGAACTGAGTAGATTCTTGGGTCATGAGGTCAAAGGTCAAAGGACATGGGCTCATTATGTATGCAAAAATAGCTTGTGAACGCATTCTCATTAGAACTGACAGATGGATTACTATTTAACTCGGGACATCTTGCAGAGCCAATGAACTGAGTAGATGTTAGGGTCATGTGGTCAAAGATCAAAGGGTCATATATGTATATGAGAAATTGCTTGTAATCACAATATTCTGAGAACCTGTTAATGGATTACAATTGAACTTGAATTTGAACAATTTCTTCTGTTTTGGTTTGTAAAATTGCTCTATGACGGAGGCATCATTTCGACTGCGCGCAGTCGAAGTTCCATCTAGTTTCTTCTTGAAAACCCATGGCTGGATTCTAAACAAAATTTGTAGGAATCGCCATGGGGTACCTGCCTCCAAAGGGGACTCGGGGCAGCCCTCAATATCTACCATCCAAACAGCAATCATTTTTATGTGCAGAAGACCTGAATTTGTATGAATGGGCAACGTGCCCCTGCAGGCTACTTTGAAGTAGCACCTCTGAATTGCCCTATACTGTTCCAATAAATCCTATGTTCCTGGTGCAAAGAAGATGGGAGCTAATGTGAGGCCCCTTCTTTCATCTGCTCAGGCCCCCCCCCCCTCCTCTCCGAGAACGGACGGACCCCATGCGTGTTACCAAAATGTCCGGCTCGTAACAAAAGAAAAAGGTCGACCCGTATTGACTTTACACACCGAACTTTTGCTGAAAAGGGGGGGGGGGGGGGTGCTGAAAAAGGCTGGTATAACAAAAGAAAAAGGTTGACCCGTATTGACTTTACACACCAGACTTTTGCTGAAAAGGGGGGGTCGCTTGGAACACGCATATATATGCATACCCTAAATAACACTGAGTGGGGGGGGGGGGGGGGGGGCTGGGATTCATGAGCAGATTAAGGTCATTGGAGACCCAATCGTGAAATACACAGAGACAAAATACTGGATACGTGCTCATGAAAGTTATGTAATCATTATTCATTTATGCACAAGCAGTGCACTCCATGAGACCATGATACACAGGTGGAAGAATTCTTTGAAAAGGGGAAAACAAGGCCTATTTACATTTTGTAGGTGGCACCTCCCACTATGAATATGACTGACAAAGAAAGCGGACAAAATATACAGTTCCTCAGGTAGACAAAGGAACATCCCTTCACTGCTATTATGTAAAAAGGTGAATATGCATGTGACACCTGTTCTACACATTTTTTACATAATAGCAGTGAAGGGATGTTCCTTTGTCTCCCTGAGGAACTGTATATTTTGTCCGCTTTCTTTGTCAGTCATATTCATAGTGTCCATCGCTATAGGAGTGATTATTTCAAAGTGTACAGAGTGGGACCTCTTCATGTTTTGAAGATCTGTGGATATTCGGGGTGACTTAGGACATTTTACTAACAGTGAACTGGTCTATTTAGAGAGTGTCAAATCCCTGATGTTAGTTGCAGTTATGTTGTGGAATGTTTTTACAAATAGGCTCAACAACACCCCCCCCCCCCCCCCAAAAAAAAAAAAAAAAAAAAAAAAAAAAAAAAATAGGTCTACAGTATAATGAATTCAGCTCCATAATATTCTGTCCTACTTAACATTCAATTAAAAGAAAACTTATCTGCCATTTTGATGTACCTGGTATGACAATCACCTGTTATTGTATTCAATAGCAAGAATGGAGATTACATACATTAGTTGTTGCTAGATGGGGGGACAAGCATTAAAGCTTGTCTTACATAATGACCATTAAAATACAATTATCTGTAACAGGTGAATAGTTTGTCACTAGGCCTAGAGCTACATTCCTCTCATGATTGAATTTTTTAATTGAATCATAGAGTACAAACACAATTCTTTGCATTTTTGAACAAAGAGAGGTCAACCGGTAGTGTCAATGGGGAATTCTCATTATTAGGTCACTTTGTTTTTTAAGATTGGAATTCCTCACAGTAGCCTCTTATATATTACAGTACCGGTACCTAATAGAAGGGATTATAGCCTTAAAAACCTGTAACTTTCACAAATTCCATCCATGAATAGGAGTCTAGTGCCTGCATAATAATGGCTCCTGTAGTTTAAACTTTAGGCTTTATGTCTAGTGCAGCTGATTAAAATATTTCACTAAATTACATGTACAATTTGCGTAAGTACTATGAAGGGGGTAGTCTGTGACTGCATGTGCATGTAGGCCTGTATGTACATCATCTATGTACTGGTGTACAGGAGGGTGTGGTAAGGTGGGAGTTTAGTTTAGAAATTGAAACATTATCAGCCTTAATATCTTTTTGACTATGTATGTGTAAGTCAAACTTGTCTTTGTTGCCACCTTTCTGTAAATCCCTACCATCTCTGTTGTCATTTAGACTTATTTTTGTCACATTTCTCAAGAAGGTTTTTTAACACCTACAAAAAGAAGTGCCTCAAGTCCTCATACAATGACCACTACCTGCAATCCCTTCATCCCTCCTCAGATACATGAAGGAAAAGTTGGGAAACAGTAATTTTAAGAATGTATGTATATTTACTTTTGAAAAATTATAAATTACTTCATCACTCCACTGTGGACATGACCATGTCAAATGTATCTTCAAATCCAAATATGTAGTGTGCAACCCAAAGTTACAGTCTTGGTTGAAAGATGAATCATTGCAATTTTTAACTGAGAATAATTTGTTTGCACTTTCATTGTTTGCTTTCTTTGTCATCGTTTGTTATCTTACAAAATTTGTTTCTTGTTTTACAGTTTATGCGATCGTTTTGATGGAAGTGAAGCATGCCCTTTCCCTCAGACCAACATCAGTCTAGTAAAACATCCAGGTCAAGAAAGGGTAAGTTCAATAATAACTCTGTTACATAACATTCCTCATGAACATTACATTGGCATTCTCCTGTTCAAATTGACCTGTATTCTGAATGTCATTTGTTGAGAGTTAGAAGGGTGTAAGTCTGTTTGAACAAAATATTGTTCAATGAAATTGAAGTGGTTTTAATAGTAAAATTTAATGATGGCCAGTGGCCGAACAGCAAAATCTCTTGCAGAGAAACGATACGGAAAATCTTAAAAAGGGGCTCGAAACTATAAAGCTGGATACAGATTTTGTGTGAGAGTATTGTGCATGCATTGCAATAGTACTATGCATAGTATGATATTGATAATAGTAGGAATGTTCAACTACCAATGTTTTGGCAAGTTGAACAGATGAGTAAGGTGGAATAACCATTTAAGTCAGGATGCCCTTCTTGATCACAGCAGATAGGGAATTGGCTGCCCATTTGTAAGAATGAAAAACCGTATCAGACTTTATACATCTATTCACACAAATCTCAAAAGTGAACATTTCTTTATTAATTTGTATTTTATTTTAGACGAGAATCTCCACCAGAGATTGAATAGCGAAATCACGTTCCTGGAGCTTTCACTGGAATGACCAGAATGACATCTTTCATGATTTAATTAATTTTTTTAAAACTAGAGCTCTCTTTTAGATTTCCAGACCTCAAATCAGGCCTTGCTCCTGTGTTTGTTTGTTTGATTGTTGATTTGATTGACGAAACTTGTACGAGTACATATAAGATTGCATGATTCACATTTTGCAGTGCGCACCTATTGTTTGAAGCCGTAGGCAGGGCTCAATACTAACGAGTGCCCGGGACACGTACATGTAGATGCCCAAAATACAATTCCGGGCCCCCCAAATTTTGAAAATCTCACATAGAGATTGTGTACATATACATGTAGACTCTAAGAGATTCAATCCAGACCCATTTGAGAAAAAGGTTAAGTGTGGAGCCCTGCCATACTGTACTTGTTGGTGATTACCAGCAGAGTGTTGTATGATTGATAATATCATATCTTTGTTTGTTACAGTTATTCATGCCAGGTCAGAAGTATCATGTGAGATTGGATATGGATATGCCTCAGTCTCCTGTCAATGAAAACCTAGGTGAGTTGATAAGATAGATAGATAGCTGGCACCATCTTTGTATGTGATTAAAGGTGATGTAGAAACAATATTTTGTATTTCATTCAATTGTATTTTTTTAGGTCAACCAAAGAGGATTTATTCTTTCATGAAACAAAACTGGAAAGAGTGCCCAGGGTGTCCAATTTTTTGGGCGCACTAGGGCTCATATTCATAAAACTTTACTAAGTATATTTCGTTGACGACTAGTCACTATTCACAATTAATTTTGTACGGTTTTATGAATATGGGCCCTGAACTCGACTGATCAGCAGCTCCATATTTATTCACTTGCAGATAAATTCAGTTCTCCATTATTACATTATTGTACCAGCACTGTGAGTCAGCTAGCAAATTATGAGTTAATTGTGATTTACCGATCTGAATTTGAGCTCATCCAGTCATAATAAGCCAGGAGGATGTTCACATGTAGATCTAATTTCTTTTTGTTTGTAATAGTACAATTGACTCAGTAGGAGTATTTGCATACAATATGATATCATAAAGTAATGTTTATTCAACCGACTAATAGATCATACTCTCTGATAAGTACAGGTAGTGTGAAGGTGACTTTGAGGATGGGTAAGATAATTAGTTTTTCTTAAATGATATTCCTTTCCGCTGAATATCATACAGTTGTATATATTTTAGAGGATTATTTATGCATTCTAGAAATTATCGTTCCCTTAGAAATACATATAGTGAATGCTTTAAGGTTTTTCTGTTCAGTTGAATAAAGTTGCCACAAATACAAGGAAATTTTTTATGTCTACACTGTACAGGATGGTGTATACAGAATGTACAAGGTACTTCATATATATAATTCTACCTCTATGAATTGAATGAGACTATTTATGTTTTTCTCAGTGTAAAGTACAATGTATTTAAAGATGATTTTTCGTTCTTGCTCGCACCAGAGTGACAAAACTACGATTTCCAAACTAATGATCATTTTCACTGTGCTCACTTTTGAATAGAAGCCAAGATATTTTACAACAGCAAATGAAGTTGAACCAATTTGATTAAGTCAATATGAATACTATATAGTAGAGTGCAGTGTGGCTTATTGTAGCAGTGCACAGATCTTCTGTATGTTGTGTTCATTAAATTATAGATTTTATTGGGTTTACGTATTGGCAATCATCAATTTTAATAACAGTAAAAATGAAATACAGGTTCCCTTTAAAAATGATTGCTTATCATTTTTACCTGAAATCCAAAACCATTTTGAATGTGTACCTTCAGAAATCTTATCCTTATGCTAACAATACTATGAAAGGATAATGAATGGGTGAGATAATGGAAGGTCTCCAAATGTTGCAAATAGATCAAATGGATGTTGTACAACATACATGTACATGTACAAGCTATGTGTAACCTCCACAGAGTGAAATACTTGGTGTCATGACTCGTGCTTATTCACTTCACCTAGACGCCTACCTGTATTTTTCTTTTACTAATGTGTTAATCAGGATCCTAATACACCATGCACATGATATGCAGTTCTGTTAATTTTGTAAAATGGGAAGGAAAACTGAATGGCTTTCTCTTAAATCCACAGAAGGAAGTTGAGTGAGAAATGTCATTGTCTACCTTTGTGGATAGTATAATCAGATCTTAAATGTATTACTCTTTGATATTGCTTATAATTCAAAATTGCTTAAAAATGATATCCCTTAAAAAGAGTTAACTCACTAAGGATTGTAGACCCATAGGTGTAAGTGTTAGAGTAGATTACAGTATGAACAGATGGTTCATTTCCTTTGCTGAGGATACAGACAAGATTTGTGATAGGGAATAATTCTTTTACAGATGACTACAAAAGATGGTTTGATGATTAAATCAGGGGAAATGTATCTTTATTGAACATATTTTTCAGAGATATGTTTCAGTGTTACTCTGTAGGTTCAATAGAACATATTTGTATAACATTTTCCCCCATGAAGAATGATTTCAAAGGCATGTGTACATGCATGCAGCAGGGTAGTTACACATCATTTTCAGAAGGGGGTGGCACAATTTGAAGAAAAAAAATTAAAAGGCGCAAATAAAGCTTATATTCTTGTTGGTGCTGAATCTCATGACCACCCCATCCCCCCCCCCCCCCTCAATGGGGGAGAAAATAAAGATAGGTGGATTTTATTTTGTTTTCTAACAATTATACACACAATTAATTGCATTAGAGAGAAGAGGGTGGGGATAGGCCAGCATCCCCATCTACCAGTATTTACAAGTACCAAAGAACAAGTCTTTCCTATATGAATGTTACAGATGTATCAGATTTTTGTGTTTAGGTGTACAGTGTAGGTTATCATTACATTTTGTTGCATACTGTATTTTTTGTGCATTTTCTATCAGGATAATCTAAGTTGCAAGATGCCACTAATTTGTTGATAATTATGCACCTCTACTGTACTTCTGGTGTAGCATATGATACACTATATGTGGAAGGTTCTGAAAGGCACCTTCAAATTCCCAAATATACATTGTATAGGTTTATGCTTATGATTGCTTTTTAATGATCCTGCCAGACATCAAATAAAAATAATCTCTCTTCAAGGGCAATAAAGAGTCTGGCTTGCAAACGCAAATAATCTAGGCACATGTACCCTATTTGCATTTATGCAAAGATGAGACATGCTGGTTATTCCAGAGGCTAAATCATGATAGAAACAAATGGGGATGTTTGCACAGAATTCATGATTAAAGATAGCACCTCTTGAATAAAAGCAATGGGCTTTAGTCCTTCCTGTTTCATCTGCTTTGAATTTTATTTGTGGCTCTTGTCAAATTCATTTCAATTCAAAATATACATGATGCATTCAAATTTATTTACGTTTGCCTAGCAACAAAATATTGCATCCACCTGTACCAGGTACTGTATATCAATAGCCGTACTCAGAACGCAAATTGCATATATTATCTGTTGCTAGGTGGGACAAACATGAAAGTTTGTCTGGCCTACTAACATGAAATTGCATTATGATAATATGATTACTGAATTAGAATTACTTGTAACAGTTGATTGAATGTAGCATCTGATAGTGGACCATTGAATTTGAATGAATACAATATACATTAAGTGTGTCCAGTTGCATGCAAACATTTCATTGAAGATCTTTGCATGTAACATTCTGATGCTTACAGTTTCATAGAATTGTTCACACATTCTTTCCTTTTCTCTTTATGCCTCTTTATCATTGTGTTGTTATAATGAGAGAGGATGTGTGTGCTGAAAGCTGGATCAAAATCCATGTAATCCACCACTAGAACTTGGCTTTTTGGATACAAATTTGCTTTATTCTTCATTATTGACACCAGATGCAACTATATGGGCAATTATTTTGTTCATTCTATGTATTTTGGAGAGTTTTCTTGGAGAATACATTTTGATATGCAGGCATGCCACTGGAGTGAATACCATTTCAGTCCCACTTGTGCATTTCTATGCGAGCAGTAACTTCACTACTTTTTTAGTTTGGTGTTCTCAACAAACACGATTGTGGACTGGACCTTACTACAAGATAACATCAATATCATCAGGAGTGATAAGTGTTGCTACTATCTTTGTTTCAATCAAAATCATGATTCATGCTGTTGGATGTTTTTGAGATTTTGAGTGCTTTTTCAGCCCTTGCTTTGACCTTGAAATTGAGTGAATAGGCCAGGTCTTGTATCTGTACAACATTACTTAACTGGACTGAGTGAACTTTGAATTTTTTCTGTACATAACTGTATTCAACGTGAGATGGCTACCCGCAAAGGAAACAAACCACCTTCTACTACTACTAGAATCAGACAAACTAGAGGAAGTGTGAACTTAGATGAAAAGCAGTCGACAAGCGCATCCACATCAAAAGATGATAAATGCTGTGGCTCATGTAGACTGATCGTTTTGTCTGATGATTATGCCATTGAATGTGAGTTGTGTAATTTCTGGTTCCACTGCACATGTCAAAATGTCTCAAGCAAATTATATGATATAGTCAATGAGGAACCAGAATCTGTCCACTGGTATTGTCACATCTGCAACGGAACAGCACGGAGTATGCTAAATGCAATGGCACAGCTCCAGACCCAGCAAGCAAATTTACAGAAGGAGGTAGAAGACATGAAAAGGGTGATGCAGGATTACAGAGAAGAAAGTGTAGACACCTTCCATCAAATGACAACAAAGTTGGAGGAGGTGAAGAATGGTATGATCAATGCAGAAGGTGCAGCCAATTCTTTTCAGCCTGAAGCTGTTCACATTGAGCTAAACAAACTGGTGAAAGAGAAATTTGATGAAATGGAAGAAAAGGAAAAGAGAAAGGGCAACCTTATACTCTTTGGAATTCCGGAGTCTACCAGTATCGAATCTGGCACACGAAAGGCAGATGATGAGAAAAGGTTTCGAGATATGATCGGAAGTAAGCTTACCAATGATAAGATAGAGATCAAGGCATTGTATCGACTTGGGAAGAAAGACGGCGAAAGACCAAGACCATTGAAAGCAGTTTTGAACAACCAGTCCATCAGAGATGAGGTATTAAAGACGTTTAGAGATGGAGGCTTGAATCTTATAGAATATCAGGAGAGATCGGTACAGATATCTAGAGATCGTACTAAGGCAGAAAGGGAAGAGTACAGGAAACTACGTGAAGAGTTGAAGTATCGATTGGAGAATGGAGAGGAAAACTTGGTCATTCGAAATGGAGTGATCAAGACGAAACAGTCTTTTCGCCACCCAGGCGAAGAGTCTGGATAGAAAACAGAATTCATCAAGTCACAAGGGCACCTACACAAGCACCACTAGCACCACCAGCACTGGCCACAACACCTTCTGCAGCAACATCACAGTCACAGGAGAAAGGTGCAAAAAACTTAAAGATAGTGAGGGGGGTTATCACAAAGGTGAAGCCTCCCGCAGACCAAGGACCATAACGAAGCAAACCATCACATGCACAAATGTACATAGAGCACCCTTAAAGCACTACACACATTTGGAAGAACCAAGAACTTTGATGGAAAGCCACCACGAAGAGGATCATCCAAATTATTCTGATATAACAGCACAAGAGACACATGGTAGCAAAGAAGCAGGTATAAATGTGTATAAACTGAGTACTAAGAGATCAGAATTAAGATGTAGTCTAGAGGAACCAACCACTTTGGAGGAAAGCCACCACAAAGAGGTCTCATCAAATGTTTTCAATACTAAACAAAAAGAACAATTAAGACGAAATGCAGGCCTGAAGAAATGCAACTCAAACAAAAGAAAAGGGAAAGTGAAAAACTACATAGATGAACAAGGACCTCTAACAGAAAGAAATGATGGAGGCACAACAAGTACCCACGATGACCTTAAGGATCAAGTGAAACAAGGAAAATTAAAGGATACTCACGCCAAATCCACAAATGCCAGGAAAAAGTTGATGTGCATCTTTACCAATGCACAAAGCATCACGAACAAAGTAAATGAACTGTCTGCCGTAATTGAAGCAGAAAAACCAGATCTGGTCAGTATAGTAGAAACCTGGTTGAATGACAAGACCACAAATGCAGAAATTCAAATGCCAGGATACCAAATCACAAGACTAGATAGACAAAGAGGAGCCCATGGAGGAATAATTTTATATGCAAGAGATGGCATTGAAGTGCAACCGAGAGAGAGCCAAACACTAGCTGAATATGACGAAGCACTATGGTGCGATATCTCAAGTAAGGATGCAGCCCTTGACTTACTTTTGGGCATAGTGTATAGGAGCCCAAACAATTCAAACGACCAAAATGACTGTCTGAATCGAGTTTTGATGCAATTAAATGATGAACATAAAGATATAATGATTGTCGGCGACTTCAACTACAGAGACATTGATTGGGAAAACATGCAAGCTGCTTCAAGCAAATCAGGTGCATTTCTAGAAGTTATACAGGACAATCTATGGTGTCAGCATGTGACTCAACCTACAAGGCTTGATTCAATTCTGGATCTTGTCATCACATCAAATCCTGACATGATCGATGAAGTGGAGGTTCTCGCACATCTTGGAACCAGTGATCATAACATGTTAAGATGGGAAACCAACTACTATGTCCAACCATGTGTACCTCAACCTAAGAGAGACTACAAAAATGCTGACTTTGATCAAATCAGAACAGAACTAAAAGAAATAGATTGGATAAAGGAACTTGAAAACCAGACGACTGATCAAATATGGAACACAATTGAAAGAAAGTTGAAGCAGTTAATGCATGATCATGTACCATTAAAAAGGCAATCTAGAAAGAAGAAAGCTATCTGGCTCACAAAAAGAACACAGAAAAGCATCCGTCGAAAGCATCGAGCTTGGAAAAGGTACAAATCAGATAAGACAACCAAGAACTTAGAGTACTACAAGAAATGCCAGAGGGACGCCAAACATGAAATAAAGACGGCAAAACGTGACTTCGAGAAGAAACTTGCTCAAAACATTAAAGAAGATTCGAAGAGCTTCTATGCATATGTTCGATCAAAACAAAAGGTCAGAGACACTGTAGGACCTCTTAAAAGAGAAAATGGAGAGTCAGTCCCATCAGGCCAACAAACGGCAAATATCTTAAATGAATACTTTGCAGCAGTCTTCACTGAAGAGGACCTAAATGTTCCCAATCCCCAGAATGTCTTCATAGGAACTAATGAAGAGATCCTTGCTGAGATAGAAATCACTGAAGATTGTGTGAAAAAGAAGCTTGAACACCTCGACCCATCCAAAGCAGCGGGTCCAGACGATATACCACCGGCCTTTCTAAGACCCCTGGCTGAAGAACTGAGTGTTCCATACACCATTTTGTTTGGAAAATCATTAAAGGAAGGACATGTACCAGAGGAATGGAGATCAGCCCATATAACTCCAATATTCAAGAAAGGGGCAAGATCTAAACCGGAGAACTACCGACCGATCAGCTTAACATCAGTCAGCTGTAAAGTACTAGAGAGCATTATCAAAGACAAAATAACTAACCACCTGAATAAATATGGTCTGATACAGGATACCCAGCATGGTTTTAGGAAAGGGAAATCTACAACTACCAACTTGCTAGAATACCTAGAAATCATCACCAAATCAGTAGACAATGGTACACCAGTAGATGTAGTATACCTTGACCTAGCAAAGGCCTTCGATACCGTCCCACACAAGAGACTAGTAACAAAGATCAAGGCCCATGGAATAGATGGTAACATATTACAGTGGATAACAGCCTGGCTCAACAGTCGCAAGCAGAAAGTCGTTACCCAGGGAGCCAAATCTAGCTGGAGACCTGTTACCAGCTCTGTAGTACAAGGATCAGTCCTGGGACCACTGTGCTTCTTGATATACATGAATGACCTCGAAATTGGGCTAACCGACAAATCAACAGTTAGCAAATTTGCTGATGACACCAAGCTAATCCATCCAGTGCAAATAGACAATGATAGAACAGACATGCAAAACTCCATCAACCACCTTCACAGATGGGCAAATACATGGCAGATGAGGTACAATGCAGACAAATGTGGAGTGATGCATTTTGGAACCCACAACCCACACTACACATACACAATGGGCAACTCCCAGCTGAAAGAAAGTACAGAAGAAAAAGATCTAGGGGTTCTAGTACACAAGTCCCTGAAAGTTGCCTCCCAGTGTGCTGCAGCAGCAAATAAAGGAAACAGGACACTAGGAATGATAAAACGCAACTTTACATTCAGGAGTAAGGAAGTGATCTTGAAACTATACAAGTCACTCGTCAGACCCCACCTAGATTACGCCATTCAGGCCTGGTGTCCTTACCTGGAAAAAGACAAAAAGAAGTTGGAAAAAGTTCAAGCAAGAGCCACAAAACTCATCCCAAGTATTCAACATCTACCATATGAAGAGAGACTAGCAAAACTGAAACTAACTACTTTGGAGAAAAGAAGAGAGAGAGGAGACCTACTGCAAACCTACAGGATAATGACGCAAATCGACAAATCCAACCCCGAGAATTATTTTCAGTTTGCTAACTATGAAAGAACAAGAGGCCATTCCATGAAGCTAGCCAAAACAAGAAGCCGCCTTGACATCAGGAAAAATTTCTATAGCCAGAGAGTTGTAAGCAATTGGAACAAGCTGCCACAAACTGCCATTGATGCTCCCACACTCTTAAGCTTCAAACAACAACTATCCAACCTGGGTTTTTAAATGGGTCCCATGGGACCCCCTTAACCCTGCCACACCACACTATCTACGGGATCTTTATCACCACGATGGCGAGGTGTGGACTTCAAGGTATATTCAAGGTATATCGTGTTCTATCTCTTTAACAGGAGTCTTCATGATCAAGATCCAAACATTTTCAAAATCTGGTGAAATTACTTCAAAATCATCTAGACCAGTAAGTTTGTATTTATTATTTCTTTATTGCAACCAAAACTTAAGGTTGGATTTGAAATAAAAATGAAAAAGAAATAGTTACATAACGATGGTAGAAATAATTTACAACAGTAAAAAAAAAAAAAAAAAAAAAAGGAAAAGAAGAAAATTGTAGAGTCTGATTCATGAATATATGAATAACAGTGTGCTACAATAAAATTATTACACAACACATTATCAAATGAGATATTTTAAGCACAAATCAGTAGAACTCCAATTATTGAAATATTCTTATGATCAGACAAAGTGACAGTAATAAGGAAACATGTACTTTCCAATTTTCTTGATTCAAGAACTCGAGCTTAATTCCATGAAATTGGAAGGTGTCTATGACCCCAGTTCAACTTAAATATTTTATTGCAGATAATTTCATGGAATGTGGCCCCTTTTTGAGAAAAATGGCTAGGGGTTAGCCCATAATGTTGGGCAAGAATTTGAACAGTTCCAAAAAGGCCTCTTTTCATCTGTAGAAGGTGTCTATGACCCCTGTTCATTCAAACTATGTTATTACAGATAATTCCATGGAATGTGGAAAAATGCCCTTTTTTGAGAAAAATGGCATTTTTGGCAAAAATTTGAACAGTTTGAAAAAGGCCTCTATTCATCTGTGGAAGGTGTCTATGAACGTTGTTCATCCAAAATATGTTATTGCAGATAATTTTATGACATGTGGAAAAATGGCAAGGGGTTAGCCCGTCAAAAATGCCCCTTTGTTTAATTGGGTGGTAGCTACATCATTACAGTTTAACAAATCATCCCTTACCAATGATCTGACTTAAGTATAATTCTGACCATTTTTCTGTTTTACAGGCCATGATACGATATCGCTCCCCTCTGCTCAAAATGATCAACGTTGTGTTTCTTGCACCACTCTATCTGACGGGATACACAGAAGAAAAACAGAATCTACAAGTAAACTTAATAGATGACTTTGTCGACAATGCTGTAAGTAATCAATTTTCAATCTGAATGGAATGGCTCAGTAGACAATAGATGGGGTCCTTGGGGATTTGTATTGCTTTATTTCTTTTCTGGTGTTTATTGCAAAAGAGAGCAGACATGAAAGATCTTTTGGTGAATGTGCATGGGTTTGTAGAAATATTAATTTTGCTGTAGACTATAATTGATTTCCATGAAAGGTACACAGATGTTTATTGTAGGCAAAAAGAATTTTCATTTGGGTTTAATAAAATTTGGAGTGGACTAAAAGATTATTATTATTATTATTATTATTACACTATATTTTTTGAGTCTTTTAACTTTGACTTATACTCACAGTTTATATTTAATTGTAATTCAGGAGGGAAATTTCAAATTGTTTGTATTATGAAATCTATTTTTATGTTTGTTGCTGTTGCTTTTATTGATTTGCAGTACAAACCTACTATCAAAATTGGACTGGAAGTGAGAGCCAAGAAAATTGAAACGTATGCTGCTGTACTCAAGGTCCATGCCCAGTTCACAGGATTACGGTAAGCTTTTTCGTTTTTCAAATTGTTTTTTAGATGCAACGCCATGACAGATATTAGAATGTGAAACATGTGTGATGTAGGCTACTAGGAAGTTTTTAAATTTCACCTTTTCATTGCCTATTTTGGTTAACCAGCTACCATATTTTTTTTTTTCCTGATCAGTGAGTTCAGCCTTGGTCAGTGTTATCTCTGCAAGTTCTTTTGCTTCCTGATGTTTTATCTTTTATTTACATTAATGACTATCATGTAATACCATTCTTGTTGTTTGTTTGTGCATTCAGAACACTTTTGATTGTGTTTCAAAAATCTTTAGTCTACATTATTTAGAAATCATTTAATTTCTACCACCCCTTTGTTCATTGTTTTACCTTGGTGCATAACACAGTCAAGAGAGTAGGTTGGGCATTTATTGTAACTATGTCCCTCAGAGCAGTCAATATTTGTATACTGTGCCTCTCATAGCAGTCAATATTAAGGATATATTGACTGCTTTGAGAGGCATAGTGGTTTCTATAGGGTCAAGGGAAACTCACAACCTGCTATGACCCCAAGGCGCTTGCGCCGCGGGGTCATAGCAGGTTGTGAGTTTCCCGAGACCCTATAGAAACAACTATGCCTTGAATATTAAAAGCAGTCAATATATATTTTATATACCGAAACAAAAAACCCCAGTATTTTGCTATCGAGACTACTACACAAAATGGCGATCGGTCGTCTGCGCTGCGTGGATTGGTAGATTCGTCGCCTGAATGCAGCGACCAAAATTGAATTGCACTCAAACACCGTTAACGGTATTGCGCATCGGTCATCGCACAAAAGAAACTTATACGGTAACACGTAAACCAAAATGGGGATCGCAGCAAAATGACGTCACGTTTCACAGCCATGGAAAAAGTGCTATGAAAAATGGATATAAACCGGTAGAGCCGGGAAAAATGACTATGAATTTCAATTAGCGGGCATGGTTAAGAACATGACTGTATTTTCAACCAATCAGAAGACAGGATTAGTAAAGAATCTTAAAATGAGGTATATAATCTATACTATGCCCCTCAGAGCTATCAATCTTTGAATAATGTTAGATTTTCTATTTGGTTTACCAGGTACCTCATGTTTTACTGGCCTGTGAGCTCAGTCGTGGTCAGCGTCATCTCTAACTTCTGCTTCTTGACGGTGCTGACGATGATGATGTGGCAGCAGTGCGTGGGTTACCTGATAGATGACCCTAGTCTAGAGGAGAGAGAGGTACCCACCACCTCAACGGTGCTCAGCTATGAAGAGAGACGAAGGATGGCCAGGCAGAGTATGGGACAAGAAAGATCAGGTGGGTTACATAGTGTGCGAGTTGAAAAAAAGAACACAATTCTTTACATGCCTTGTTTCATGATAGAGTTGAAAATATGAAGGAACATGAGTTGCCAAACAAAAATGGTACCAAAAGAAGCAGGTAGAGTTTGTCTTCTTGACCCCGTTTCATTGATCCAAATCAATCGGAAGTCAATCGTGAGTCAATCGTAAGTCTTCCAATCAATCGAAAGTTTGCAGTCTCCTTTCTCTTTTGTACATTAGTTGCGAATGATATCAACTCTTCATAAGATGGGGCCCATGTCAAAATATGTGATATCCACCATTCAGTCTTGTGGTCAATTTCTAAACAAATGGAATTCCTAACTTCATCCCTCGAGACAACCGTATACCTATTGCTCTAACCCCAGCCCTTAATCTTATATATAAATTAATTGCAACACCACTCTAACCTGGTATCTAAGCTTGGAGACTTGGAGCAAACGTTAGATCAAATGCCTGGCAGTCAAAATTCAGCCAAGCTCCTGTTCATGTTGGTTGGATAAAGCTTGAGAGTATGCTGTAGATTGAAATTACACAGAACGTCCAAATATTATTTTCTATTGATCAGTTGAAAAGAGTGCTGCCCATTAACCCTGTACTTTTTTTTCTCAAGTAAATTGTCAGGGCGTATATAGTAGGTATGTATGTTGTGACTATTGTATTCTTGCAATATTAAATGAATTTGCTTGGGACTGATAATCTACATTATTTGTAATTATGCAGCACTATTCCGGAATCGTCCACCCCACGTGACCATCATCGATCCATTAGACCCTGCACCTCATCATGCTCAAATCACTCCATCCACATCCACCACCAGCCAGCAGCCAGGACCCTCCTCCCACCGCCCAGCCTCCTCCTCCGGTAGTAAGAGCCCCCAGAGGAACGTCCGTAAGAGGGCATCAAGAACACCTGATGGGGGCCTTGCTCAAGATGAAGGCGGAGCTCTACCAGAAGCACCCAGCTCGGGGATCAGCAGCGACAACAGTGACTCCAATCAGAAGGGAGGGATCAAGCACAAGGTGGAAACACTCAAAGGCGATGATAGTTTATCAAGTTACTCGGATGACACCACGAGCGACGATCCACCCCCAGGGTTGGAGGATAATAAGGATGAGGTTTATTATAAGAAGGACGAGGAGGAGGAGAATATAGATGAAGTTGCAGACTTAAATGAAAATGTGGCTAGTCCACAACCAACCTCAGGGATACTAAGGAATCGCAATTTCAAAACATCTTAACACCTTTTACTATTGATAGATTTAGGAACATTCTTGTGCTTGTGTGAGTGAGGTAGAATATTAAGATTAGGTCCGAGCCATCACAGTTTCCTTTAAATCGTGGCCCAATGGCTGAGAGCCGGTCAGGCCCCGATGCAGTACAGACTTTGTATTGAATCTGAACCCACCTAAAACTTGGCTTGAGGAGGTGAGAAAGATGGCTAAAATTTCACTTTTCATACAAAAGTCAAATTTTGATAAAAAAAGATAATAGTATTCTTTCATTTAAATTTAAACAGTCCATTTTGCTTCAAAAAGTAGTGAACTTCTCTAAATTTTTCTTCTCAAACATGTAGGTTATCACGAATACAAACGTGAACACATGACCCAAAAATGTCTGAGAAATTTACTTTGTTGGAAGCAAAATATGACTCCAATGTCAGATAGTTCTGAATTGAAAGAATACTAATACTTTTTTATAGAATGAATTGTGGCATAAAATTACACCTAGTGTGAAAGTAACATATATCAAAAAGTGATATTTTAGTGATCTTTCTAACCCACAAAATGTTTGGGTAAGTACAAAGAGAACGCAAAATCTATACTGTTGTCTTACATGTGGAGATCAGTGCACCGGATGAGAGAAATCAGTTTTGTAACCAAAATGACTCGGGCCTACTTTAGATGAAATGACATGTCTGTCTTTTTAGCTGAAGAAGTGTCATGTGTGATGGACTGAATATCAGTATGCATTGGAGAGAAGAGAACAGTCGATCTTGTGATGTTTTTAACCAAAATGTAGCTGCTGCGTTTGAAGAAGGACAAAAACAGTATTGGGGTCTCATGGTTGGTATCTTATGCAATACAGCGCACAGTTTTATTCTAAAAGTTTCTGAAATTTGTTAGTAGTAGTACTGAAATCAGTATATCTCAATTATAGCTGTTGCTATTAAAGATCAGTGTGGCTAGTTGAATTCATTGCTTGCCATACCACTGCTCCATGAAATGAAGAAGTGAAGGATTGCATTGGATTACTAGGCAATGAATTGTGGATGATATGTTGGCGATAAAGTAAGAGGTGAAGAATGCAGCTAGTTGGTTGTCAAACATGGTTTATAAGGAGAGGGGGATCCTGTGATGGGATTGCAACATAAATTAATTACTCTGTGGTATATGGGCCACTCTTGTGTGCAGTCATGTGTGCCCCCTTCTGTTCAACATGGATATGAAGTCAAATTCTCACTTTATAGTATTTTTGGTTTATTGCTAAATGAGGCATAAATTATCTTACATGATAATGAACTTTGCAAAGAGGGTAACTTCTTTCGCATCAAAAAGAAGCTGTTCTTGGTCCTAACACATTCTTAGTTGGGATGTGCGACTCCACTTGTGCACAAAAGGGCAAGGAGATACACAGGAGTGACTAGTCTGATATGTCAAAGGGTCATGGAGGAGGATAGGATTTAATGTTATAAATATTGTTGATATTTCATACCAAAGAAAGGTTGTTGTGATGTTGGACCAATCCAGCCTACCGAAAATGTCACCAGTTTTTTAGTTCTCTGTTGCTCTTTGTACGCTTTCATTTTTAATTGCCTCTCCACCCAGGTTTAGTGCAGCGGGTACCTAAGCTAGGGTTACAATACATTTACAAATGTTTGATATGATTATGCTATGTTCGTTGTACTTTGGTATTAAAGTGTTAGGTTAGGAGCTTTGTTGCTTTACTGTAATCGAATAACAAACTTAAATTAAGATATATTGAAAGTTCAAATTTACTCTCTCAAAAAAACACAAAGGTGACTAATGAGTAGATGTGTATGCTTTACTTTCAATAAAATACTGGGTGAATTTTTTAGAGGTTGATTTTATACCTTCTTAGGTTTGTTTTTAAAGGCACATGTTTATATATACATGTAGTTATGATTTTAATACTTTTGTGTATGAATGCTTATTATTTTACCTAAACCAGTGTGTGATTGTAAAAAAATGTTTTTCTAGTTTCATGGCTTGTTATCTAGGCCTACTGCCTATTACGTCACACAAAAATGTGGAGAGAATGAATGTAAAAATATATGCACTAGATTGTGTTTATATGTTATGACCTGCTTTGGCAAATTGTTCTGGGTCATGCTATATGTCTGTATTATAAGATGATGACGTGGATCCTAATCAAATGATTGGTTGAGAGCGTACACGTTACCAGGCATTTATTTTGCCCAACACGTAATAAAACCTCATTTTGTTTGGGTATTAGTAAAATTACCCACACTCGGTACCTTTAAAACAGTCCAAAGGTACCTTGTGTAGGTAGTTCTTACTAATGCCCTCACTGCTGTGTATTATTTGTTTATTACTGTATTTGTGAGAAAAATAGACATTAATGGAGAGTAGATATTTTGGAGTATTGGCTGAGAAAACAATTGAATATTAATATATATGACATGAATTTTTTTTAAATCAAGCATTGTGTGCAATGAATATTGAGCAAATTGTCCCTCAAAAATCTAGGTAGCAGCATTGCATAAAGTACATTAGAAAGTGAAATTCCAGCCTTTTATTGAAATTTCTTGCCATATACTTTATTTTATGTTGGTCTTTGTACCAAGAAACATTTTCGCACCAATTCCTGCAAATGTGGAAATAATATTTGGGCAAGAACTTACAGTACGTCCCAGAACTTAATGACACATATTTGTAAAAAATTAGATCCTCCTGTTTCAAAGAAAACAAGAATTATCAATGTTTTATCATAATTAATTAATTCATCTCATATTACATACACTGTAAGTGATTAAAAACAATTTGAAGAAAAGGTACCAAAAAGTCTTTCAGCGAATGGTATTTGAATTTCAAAGAGAAAATCATATTTCCAGCCCTTTCATATGAGCCAGGAATAACAAAGTTCTGTTAAAAGTAATGCTTGCATTTCCATAATTTTATTAAATGAGTACGTTTTCACTACCTGTCATAACAACAGACTTTGCTGTTAGGGCAGGCAGTGGAACGGATTCATTTAATCCAATGATTCATGTGTCGTATGAAAGGGCAGAAGATGAACTTTCTTCAAATTGTTTTAATAATTCGTTTTGTTAGAACGTACTGTGCGTCCCAGAAAAAATGAAACCAAGAATTATCGATGTTTTATCATAACTTAATTATAATTGATAAATGACACATATTTGGAAAGCTTAGATCCTCTTCTTTCATTTGATGCAACTCGTATGATGCATATTTCACGCATGAGTGATTAAAATCAATTTGAAGAGAGGAAACCAACAAATTATTTAGTTGACGGTATCTGAATTTCAAAGTTATTCCTTGCTCATTTTTCATGAATGAGGTGTCGTATGAAAGGATTAGAAACTGAAATTTCTCTTTGAAATTCAGATACTGTCCGCCAAATGATTTTTTTGGTTCTCTTCAAATTGCTTATAATCACTCATGCGTGATCTATGCATCATACAAGTTCAAATAAAAGAGGAGGATCTAAGCTTTACAAACATGTGTCATTTATTAATTATCGTGATTAAGTTATGATTAAACATCGCTAATTCTCAGTTTCGTTGGGACGCACTGTATAAATGAATTAATAAGAAAACAGTATTTATTTGGAATATCATTTTATTCACCATTTCAAGGAATCTGAACAATAAATTGCATATTATCTATTTCCAACCGCCTTCTGCCTCATTTACTTCGTCAAGCATGTTGACCCAGGAGTGTGACAATGTATGAAATTAGAAGAAGCAAGACATTGGAAAGGTATGATTGGAACCCCCAAAGGGCAAGCCAATGAAAAGCTCATATTGCAAAATTTAAACCTTCCAATTCAGAGGACTTTTAGCTAGATGCATTCTTTGTATCACAAGTTTACTGATATTTTTTTAAACTTGCCAAGAACCCAACTAGTCTAGTAGACGGTACCATATATGCACATGACCTGGAAAAGTTTAAGTACAATTTTGTTGATTCTCGTTCTAGATCTCTGCAACCTTGGGCATTTTTTATAACTAGCCTAATTAGCATAATCATCTAATTAGCATACATGCAATATGTATTATGTTGCTTATCTTAATCCAGGAAGCCCAAAAACATGGATAATACTTCTTAAGGGTTTTTCTTTGACAAGGAATTCATTTATAACACCAGTTTTTATTTTTAAGTAATGCAATTGTCATAGCATAATGAGCTTTAGCATATGTACAATGTCATTGTCAATCTAGAAAGCCTGAAAATGTTGCAATGCAACATTGTAAATCACGTTTTAAAGACAACACATTCATTCATGAGAAGATGTAGTATGATTAGCCGAATTAGCATTTATTGATACAGGTCTAGTTTTATCCGGAAAAATCTTGAATGACAATTTTAATGTGTATTTTTTTTTTAATGACAACCAATATTTATCTCAGAGGTCAATAATGTTGAATGGAAAAATAATAAGCCTCCTAGCATAATTAAACTAATTAGCTTATTAATCAGGCAATTGCCTAATGGCATTGTGAACCTCTGTTCATTTTTGATTTTTTTTTTGTTAAGCAAAATTAACAGTGTAGACAGAGACCAGTTAGTTATTAAAGATAGAAAGATATTGTTTGTGTCGACTGAAAGATGGTTATGGTGGCAAAGTGTATTTAGAATGTTCTTTTCTTCTTTGAGTTTAGGTATTGTGGACAGAGTTAAGAGTTTCAGTTATTGTTCCAGTTATCTAGACATATTGGTAATTTGCAATCTAACAGTGCTTAAACTCAGATGCATAGGTAATGAATTAACAAATTACAATCCTTGCCTATTCAATCTAACCACCGAATTGGTGAAGCCGATTTCATGAAGCCGGAGGAGTCCCTTATCCCATACTACGCAACCAACCACCTGACAAAATTCAGATAAGTGCATTCCACCTCAAGAACAGGGATACCAACCATCAACTATACCATCAGCTGGTATGGGAAAAGGATAAAGCACACTCACAACCAAGTCTACCTAGGTATCACACTAGATTGCTCCTTTACCTACAAGAACTACATTGCCAACACAAAGGGAAAAGTTGAAGCCCGCAATAGCATCCTCAAGAAGCTAGCCATCACCAACTGGGGAACTGATGCCAGAACATTCCGGATAACAACAACCCTTGCTTTCCTTCTCTGCTGCGGAGTATGAATCACCAGTATGGAGTAGGTCTGCTCATGCGCCCAAGATTGACCCAGCTCAAAATTCATCCTGCAGAGCAATCACTGGTTGCCTTTAGCCAACTAAAGTAGAAGACCTCTACCTGCTTTGCGGTATTGCCCCACCACACATCAGACGGTTGGTCGTGTCCCAGAAAGAATAGGACAAACAAGAAAACAATCCACTCCACTCACTCTTCGAACAACAGCCAGTGGGCAAGTGGCTCAAATCCAGACAGTTTCTTGAACACTGTAGAGCCCCTTAATACCAGCCCTCACAACTGTAGGATGACCTATTGTGGTCTAACCTCAACCCCAAGGAATCCCTCGTATCCGGCTCCAGCGAGACTTGGCCTTTTTGGGCTAAGCCTCAACCGCCTAAGAAGTGATTACGGATAATGCAGAAGTGGAGTTTCAAAGACGAACAAACAGCATGTGAATGCAGCCAGGAACAGAGAATGTAACACCTGCTAGTCTGCCCAATCCTGCCAGAGCCTGTGTGGACGGCACATATGTAGTGACTAGATAAGGCTGACAAACTGCCTCCTCATGTCCATAGATGTCATCATGCTGACTGTCAACGATAGATTGTTGATTTGGCTCCCTTTCGGAGGCATCCAATCTAATCAAGGATGGGCAGGACAGCACACAGTTCAAATTCAAATATTGGAGAGAGTTCCACGTGTTTGGCCTTCATCATCTTGACAGGACTGCTTACACTGGTGTGGAATTTTTCAGACAGGTTTGAGACGAATTTGGCCTTCATCTATCTGCCGATGCTAAGTGCTTCTTCAGCATTAATTTCAGGGAGGCAATTTGTCCTGTTACAATATTGAAAAAGCAGTCACCGCGGCCATTGAGAGGATGAGAATGCTGTCATCGTGAGAGATTGTCTTGCTCTGTGTACTGCAAGTGGGAGTCAGGAGTGAACTGTTGAAATCACAACAAGTCAGAAGATGGCGGAGATGATGAAGACATTAACAAAGACTCTCAAGACGAAGAAGAATTGGAGTGAATTCCACTTTGCAACCAATGTTCCGCTGAGGTTAGATTAAATAGGCTAGGATTGTAACTTTGTAATTCATTACCTATGCATCTGAGTATAAGCACTGTTAGATTGCAAAGTACCAATATGTCTAGATTACTGAAACAATAACTGAAACTCTTAATTCTGTCCCCAATACCTAAATTCAAAAATGAAAAAGAAAAGAACATTCTAAATATACTTTGCCACCATAACCATCTTTCAGTCGACCCAAACCATTTCTCTCCATCTTTAATAACTTCCTGGCCTCTGTCATGACTATTTATTCTGCTCTTACCACTGGTACAGTGGGAAATTAAAAATGAATACCTATGTATTTTGTCTTGTCGGACAGAAATCCACAAGGGCATTAGGCAATTACCGGATTAAATATGCTAATTAGGGTTAATTATGCTAGTAAGGCTAATTATTTTTCATCTCAACATGATTGACCTGTGAAATAAATATTGGTTGTCATTTTAAAAAAAATAAAAAAAATTGTCATTCCAGATTTTTGTGGATAAAACTAGACCTGTATCAATAAATGCTAATTAGGCTTATCATACTACATCTTCTCATGAACTAATGTGTTGTCTTTAAAAAGTGATTTACAATGTTGCATTGCACCATTTCAGGCTTTCTAGATTGACAACGAAGTCCATATATCGTACATATGCTAAAGCTCATCATGCAATGACAATTGCATTACTTAAAAATAAAAATTGGGGTCATAAATGAATTCCTCGTCAAAGAGAAACCCTTGAGAAGAAGTATTATCCATGCTTTTAGGCTTCCTGGATTAAGATAAGCAACATAATTTGTTTGCATGTATGCTAAATAGATGATTATGCTAATTAGGCTACTAAAAAAATTACCCAAGGTTGCACAGATCTAGAACATGAATTAACAACATTGTACTTAAACTTTTCCAGGTCACGTACATATATGGTACCGTCTACTGGACTAGTTGGGTTCTTGGCAAGTTTAAAAAAAATATCAGTAAACCTGTGATACAAGGAATGCATCTAGCTAAAAGTCCTCTGAATTGGAAGGTTTAAATTTGGCAATATGAGCTTTTCATTGGCTTGCCCTTTGGGGGTTCCAATCATACCTTCCCAATGTCTTGCTTCTTCTAATTGTATACACTATCACACTCCTGGGGCAACATTATTGAAAAACTTCTATTCTGTAAAGTAATCAGTAAACCTGTGATAACCTGTTATATTGATTGTACTAGTAAACTAAGAATTGAGTATTCCCTCTCATTTTATGCAAAGTGCATGGACACTTCATTTCAAGCTTGTCCTGCATTTGATAGAAATTGTCAATAGACCAAAAATTACAATTGATGTAATTTGCAAAACAACTCCTTCCAATGTAATGCATCCTTTATAATATTGCCATCTTTTGAATTTTTTGATTCTCCTTGTTAATTTCAGTATGAATTTCTCTGCATAATGAGAGAGAATATAAATTATTTCTAAAAAATATACACTTATTAATTGCAACCTCAAATTAAGTTCATGATTAGACAATCCTAAATTGGTAAGAATTTATACCACTTTGAGAGGTTTGTGACAACATATCAAAGTACATAACGGGGTTATCTGATCGAATGAGTTTTATTGAATAGAATAATGGTTAATTATTGATCTGTACTACAGTTTTGAAGCCGTAAAACTGAACACATTTAGAAAATGGCACAAAGAAAATTGAGGATTTCATATATTAGCATTCAATTTTAACTTCTTTCATTCGAGCAGATTACCATGTTGTGAACTCATTGTAAAAGGCAATTAAAAACTTTAATGTATTATTTGGAATAATATTTTAAAATTATAAAAAAGCAAAATATCAAGGTTTTTTAAATCCCTGCAAGTCCAATTTACAAAATTGAAAACAAAGTTCATGATTCTCAATCATAAAATTACTTACAAAATAACATTTACAAAATAACAAATGACCAGGGACTCGTTTCACAAAGCATTTTTTCAATGACAAATGACAAAAATCAGTGACAAATCTGTTGGTAACCAATCAGAAGCAAGGATTTCAGTAGCGTATAACAACAACTGTCATTTGTCACTGATGACAAGTTTTGTGAAACGCCCCCTCCAGGAGTCTCTGTACATGCAACAAACGCTGCAAACCATGTCACCACAATCTTACGTAACTTTCTACTGGTCAGCTCTCCGTTTCAGCCAACTTAATTTCAGACTTAAATAGTTATAATAACAAATTAGTCTTCACACACATAAGCCCTGTTCACATCTACTAAAAGAACAATAGTACCGTAATATGAGGGTATTATTTATCTGAATACCCATGTAGGTAATACATTATTAATTCAAATTGCTGAACACTATATGGTGACCCAGTAAGCAAGGGACATTATTACCAGTTAAGTGGTCCAACGCTAAGCTTTCCCGCAACAAAAAATCTTTTATATTAAAAATGATAACAATTAAATCTGCCTGGTGTCGGTTAATACCAGATATTTCCTAGATCCTAGCAGGGAAAAGCAAAAAATTCACAATAAATTAATTTATATAGCACTCTTCCTCATTGAACAAAGAGCAAGATCCTGCATTATTACCTATACAAGGCATTTTGGCTGCAAAATAAAAAGCCATTTTCTGCACGCTACTCCAAAGACAAAACGAAGCAGGCAACATTTGCCATATTGCCCTCTTCTGGGTTTTCCCTGTAGTAAATAAGAGGGTAACATTTGACATATTCCACTCTTTCTTGTCAGTGCGCAGTATTGTGTACACACGGTAACAATTATTAAACGTCACAATTACATTTTCATACATTTTTATCTCTTGAAAAGATTAAGCGAAAAACATGCATACACGGTAAATACACAAGTAAAAAGCATGCTTGATATCAAAGTTGTATATCATTTGTAAAAAAATGCCTTGTATAGGTTATAACAGGGCCATCTTTCAGGGTACATCATAAGACCATCACTAAGACCATATAGAATATATAAAGAATATAATCTTAGCTTGGTCAATATTTCTTATGTACCCCTCGAGCCAAGTCAATATAATACAATTATTTTGTAGTACCCTTTAATAATATCTCCCATTAGCGTCAGTATATGCGACGATACCAACAACATTGCTAATTTACAGACGAGTGACAGGCATGAACATGGCAATAAAGAGCCTCTCCAATTTATATACCCATGTGGTTAGTAGACTTTAATGAATAAACCTTGTAGAGAGTACTGATGTCGTCAACAGTCGTAGGACAGGTTCGGTCGGAGCCACTTCTCTACGTCTTTCACTTCCATCTGCTTCCTAGCTGCATAGTCCTCAACCTAAATATATAAATAATAATAATAATAATAATAATATTCCGCTTTTATATAGCACCCAATAAATCGATACAACGATGTGTCTAAAGCGCTTTACAGGTATATTATTACAAAACCAAGGGTAATGAGGGAGAGAATGGTTTATTCCCCAGTTTAGAAAGAAATATAAAGTCAATTCAATCGTGATCTTTCTTGTACATATTCCTTTCCAGGACATTTCACTTCCTTTATACACTTTATCAATTTAAGTCTGTCCTTCTCAGGGAGAACAGTATTTAAACAAAATCTTACCCTAATAACTGCTCGGAAAGAAAGCAGAAAAATTAGTAATGCAGCAGATTGACGAGTATTTGAGCGATAAAAAAGTTATGAACTTTAGAAAACTGTTTTCACTACCGGTATACGTAAGGGAATTTCAAATTGGCTGAATGTCATTGTGAAGTAGTGGCAGACAATTCTCCCATTTGTTCCAACACACAGAATTACTAGAATGTTGATTTTTTTTAGAGGCCCTAATATACTACCTATAATAACATTTTAAAACACGCCCCGAAGTGGAGAAAAACAGAAATAAATGATAAACAACAGAAGAGTTGTCCATGACTGAATTACCAATTTGAGATTTGCACAGATTTAGTGTTTATCATATTTCAAACATTCATAACTTTTTTTATTATTGGTCTCATTTTTTCAAACTTCAGTCAGTTTTTCTTATATTTCTGCTTTCATACAAATTAACACATTACCTTTAATACTGATGAAGCTTCCATGGGTAAACAAAACATTATCATCACTTCTCCTAATTTCGTTGGTTGTAGGTTACGATAGCTCATACAAAATCAAACCTCTCCATTTAATTTCTGTGTATGTACAGAATGGTCATTGCGATAACTGAATGGGATATAACCAATTTGCCATTTTACATTCATATATTTATAGTGATCTCAGATTTTTCAAAAAAATCATAGCTTTCTCATTGTTTTTTTCTCCAAATTCTCTGTTTCCTTTCAGAGCAACTTGATGTAAGACTTCTCTTTCCCAAAACTATGAAATGTCTGAGACCTACCTGGTCTTTTGCAATCTTGCCGACACCAAAGTAGAAGGACTTGGGATGAGCGAAGTAGAGTCCTGACACAGAGGCGGCTGGGTCCATGGCCAGTGACTCGGTCAGATGAATACCTGTGCTGCTCTCAATGTCCATTAGCTTCCACATGCTCTCCTTCTCTGTATGGTCTGGCTGGGATGGGTAGCCTGCGGCTGGACGGATGCCCTATTGAATCAACATTATAAAAATAATTACTCTTGGTATAAAAAAATAAGGGCGCAGAAAACTATTTTACTGCCATTTCTTTTGGTACATCAAGGTCATTTTTACTCTAATTTTTTTTCCTGCCAAAGATGTGGCCTACAATCGTTTCTGAGCACAAACCTCTGCTTCCTCTAAATGATGGATTTTGTGTCTGTCATGCAATGACGCTCCAACAGGATTACTCCGGCCTTAGCCAAATAGCCAAATATGTAGAGTCCTAGCATATTGGGTACCCATTAGTGGCAAATTTGAGTTGTGTCTTGCCAAAGAACATTTGTGCCAGCATAGAATTCCAACTCTAAACCCTTTGATTGAGAGTCAAGTGGATGAACCCTGCGGGTGAATTCATTACACCTCTTATAACAATAATATACCACTTGATCTTACATCATAGTTGACCTTGTGTAGTTCATTGACCTCTAGGTTCTCAGTGTTACCGTAGCCCCACAGCTCCTTACGAACCCTCTCATGAAGCTCCTCAGCAAATGCCTGCAAGTGCAATAGAAACAAACAAAGTCAAGATTAAATATCTTTTAAATAATTTGATTATGTCAAATTTCATGTAAACATGTTCATCTCTGAATGCACATCATTTAATAATTATTATGGTAATAACAAATTTGTTTCATTATATGAAATGCATTAAATATATACATGACTGTCTCAACTAATAATATGAATGTCTAACTAAAATACTTCTTCAAATGACATGAAATACAAATTAGGAATATAGGATACTTCAAATTGTGACCAGCCCCATAACCAAACCTTCTATACTAATACATATACATTAATCATGGCCAATTTCTTTATACATCAATTAATTGAAAAATAGCTCAAAACACCCAAAATATCACCTACAGTGTGTTTGGGGATGTTCTACTTTGTATGGAATGGCAGGCTATCTACTCTGACATATTAGCATTGCCCTCTGAAATGCATCGCCCTCTGAAAAGCATTGCTCATAAAAACCTTACAACATCCCTACAGCCAGAACGCATTCAAGCAAAATGGCTGCACTGCACAAACATACACCATGCCTTGCCCTATCATAGTAGCAATGCACTCAGAAACACTCTACATTACAATAACAAAGACCCTGGCATGCCTTGCCCTAGATTGCTTAATACACAACCAACCTAACAATGCATTAAGAACTTAAGAAGCACTATACATTACAATGACAAAGACCTGTCATGATGCTGAATACCTAGTAATTTATTCATTTATTCAAACCCTCTCTGTCATAGTAATGAAGAAGTACCTGGCATGCAAAGCCCAAGCTGTTCCATGCCTTACAATCCAAGTAATTTATTCAGAACCTACCAGCCATAGCAATGTGAAAACACCTGGAAATGAATCACGATCATAATCCTCTTCTCCCTTTCACCCTATATTAAACACATGTATGACATTAAGGCTCACAATTGTTTTAATTTTCATCTAAAGTATGTCTGCTAGTCTATCAGCCAGAGTGCCGACAGACCCTTCTTTCTCTCTTTTCCCCTCCCTCTCTCTCTCTCTCCCTCCCTCTCTCTTTCTTTCTCCATTTCTCATTGTCTACTTTCCTCTTTTCTCTCCTACACTTTTCTCCCTTTCTCTCTCTCTTCCACAGCACACTGTGGAGACATCATAGATCAAACACATGTAGAATATATTGTCTTACATTCAAACAAAAACAATGTATCTCACCTCTGCAAGTCTATCAGCTAGAGCCTTGATCATGATGATGCTATAATCATCCATCTCCTCCTCAAACTGCCTGCACATCTCCTCTCTACCGAACCCCGCTGATACAGCAAAGCCACCCACGTAATCTGTGATGCCCGTCTCTTGGGGTGCAATGAAGTCTGACAGACAAGTGTAGTGTTCGCTCTCCTTCTCAGCCTGGACAATGGGGAAAATGGGTATATAGTTGATAAAAAATACATAAACAAGAATAATATTACTATCTGGTAAGCAGTCATAACAATAATAACAATAATATGGTAAAAAAGAATGGAATTAAGTGGGAATGGTTCTTTGTGTACTGTTTTGAGTTCTAAGTACTTCACCATCTTTGTCTAATTAATCAAATCATGTAAATCTTGAAGTGCCACGTTAGCTAAAATTTGTTTGTGTGGAGCTTAAAGGGTGTTAATCCATGTAAAAATATTTGAGCTTACACCCTTCCAACACCGGACAATTTTGCCTGTTCTTGTACCATTGATACCTATATATATATATATATATACTTTTAGTATAGGGTTGATGGCGTTTTCTAGAATCCTTCTCACGATTACAAAAAATGCATACATCATTGTGCCCCACAACTGTAGAATAATAATTTTTTTCCTCAATGCGAATTTGGTAGCAAAGAGCGATACAGGTTCGATACAGTGTGAGTTCAAGGAATACATATGGTTAGATGAGAAGGGAACCAGTGTTGAATATATCTCCTACATATTCTGAAAAAGTATTGGGTCAAGATAAAACTCTGTATCACTCTGGCAAGAAATGATAAAGACACACCTGTTGAGGAGTGTCAATGTTTTCTGTTTTCTTTTTGTCTTTTTATTCAAACTTTACTGTCATACAAGAATTAACAGTATTGCTCGTCAAGTACATAGCTGTTAGAGCTGTAAATGTCAGGTATTTAAAATCTGTTTTCAAGTCGAAAAGCAGCCCACATAGCACATCAGTGATTTATGCCAGCAGAAAAAGCTGGCATAAATACTAATAAACAAGGCCGGTAATACAGTTGAGAGTTGTAGGGTGTTTGTTATTATTGCAGGTGTAAATGTTGGTATGTAATGTCAACATTTGTTGACTGTAAAAGACTGTAGTGTATCTTGTACACTGGCCTTGTCTGCTCACTGCATCCACTAGACCACTCCGCACAGGCTGCTTATATAACCCCACCATCATGGTGTACACCTTTTTATTGGTTACTTCAAACCCATACCTGGCAACCTTTCACAGCCAAAATTAGCCACATCTCACAGCAATTAGAAATAAATGTTCTGTGTATGCCTTAACACATTAGTTTACATAAAAGGTGAGGAGTCTTAAGTTCATAAGATGAGTTTGAAGGCCCAAAATAGGAGTCTGTCCTTAATATTTGGAATGGTTAGCAGAGATGCAACCACTATACTGATGGAAGTTATGAATAAACATGTAAAAAACATGATTAAACATCAATTAGCAGAATAAATAAATATAAATGAGCAACCCAACTTGTGATGTACCCTCACTATGAACTTGACTGACAAAGAAAGCGGACAAAACATACAGATCTTCAGGTAGACAAAGGAACATCCCTTCACTGCTATTATGTAGAAATGTCAGGTGTCACATGCATATTCACCTTTTTACATTATAGCAGTGAAGGGATGTTCCTTTGTCTACCTGAGGAACTGTATATTTTGTCCGCTTTCTTTGTCAGTCATGTTCATAGTCCCTATAGACTATTTTGTAGTGGTATCTAGAGTTTTTACATCTTCATGCATCAATGCATGTTTTGAATCAGAGACAAAGAACATTTAGGGATGCATTCACCTGTTACAAGTCATTGTATTTCAAAAGTCAGAATGCAGATTACAAGCATTTATTGTTGCTATGCTGGACAAGCATCTGGCAAGCCTCTAGTAACCAATGCAGTAGATGCATACATGACATGTGCAATTATTTTGCATACATTTGTCAGCTTATTATGAATGACAGTATTTGTTATAAGTTACTGAAATCCTTGCTTCTGATTGGTTATCAGCAGATTTGTCACATCAAAAACCAATTTTGGCAGAATCGTGCTGGATATATATACACCAAATCTTGCTTTATTATTGTGATGAGTTATTTCACTTAAAGGTACTATGTCCCATTTGCAGGCCAAAAAAATGAAAAAGTTTAATTCCAACGGCAAATTGAAAGATAATAATAATTTAGAACTTTAGAACTTTAGAACTAATTTAGAATTTAGAACCTAAAAAGGGGGGGGGGGGGGTGAAAATGTCTTTAAGGTGGAAAATAACGACTATTAGTTGTCAAATCGACTTAAAGGACAAGTCCACTCGAAAAATAACTTACTTTCAATAAAAGCAGAAAAATCAGACAAAACAATCAAAACAAGTTTGAGCAAAATCGGATAACTAATAAGAAAGTTATGAATTTTTGAAAAGTATGTAAAACTATGGAACAATGAGAATCACAACACAAATTGCCAAGATGGTTATCAGTTTGTGACGTCATGTCCTCACTATTTATCAATTGCTCTATATGGTTTAATCCCATTAATTTCCCTTTTTATTCCCCAAAACTTGATTTCCAAATGCCTTTGCCCAGGTTACATGATTTGTATCATATTGCATGCATGACATTTCACAAAATCTTTTATGAACTTTAAAGAATTTATACTTTTTTCTGAATATTGTATATTCATAACTATTGATTTTTATGTAAATAGTTTATCAAAATTCACATTTTTCATGATTTAACTCAAAAAAATTACTCAACCAGTATATTAGTGCATCCACACAAAAACATATTAATATTAATCTAACTTGGATGCTGGTGTGAAGAAATAAGATTCTTAAGGAGAAAATAGGAAATTTATATCATCAATATAAAGAAAATAATTAGTGGATAGTGAGAACATGACGTCACAGATTCATGAGTGAGTTGCCAATTTGTCTAGTGATTTTTAAAGTGTTTTATGTCATTAAAAATTCATAACTTTCTTATTAGTTATCCGATTTTGCTCAGGCATTTTTTGATTGGTTAGTCTGATTTTTCTGCTTCTATTGAGTAAGTTATTTTTGGAGTGGACTTGGGCTTTAAGAGCTACAAACATGACATATTTATAATTCCTGCAAATTTCTACAGAATTTGATGTTGGCTGCAAAAGGGACATACCTGTAGTGTCTTTAACAGGTCAAAATAAGAATGAAATGAGTGAAAATAATTTTTAGGCATAACAAAACACAAAATGCACTACAATTTTGAGAGGGTGGTAATAATTACAATATTACTACTACAATACTCAACCTACTCCTCAATGGAACAGGTTTTCTAACAAAATTTAGCCTGTTTCTATCAATTTTAAGCCTTTGCAGCCATGACACCATTAGAATAAATTGCTGTAAAATTCATGTGATCCTAGTACATACTGTACCATAACACACAAAGCATAAACTATGTATAGGGGCTTTGGTTATGAACAAATATATAGGCAAATCCATGCTATCCTGTCCCATTCGTTCCCAACTATATGCAAGTTTCAAGGAACTTTATCTGATAAACTTGAATCACACAAAACATTCACACTTTCAATAATACTGTTTTTAATGTATACCTTAGACTAGCCCATTTATTTATTTTTTATCTCTAATTACCATTGTTCACACATTAAAAAGGTTTACTATTATGTCTGAACATGCCTTAAACATCTTGGCCCGAATTCACAAAGCAAGGTTTGAGCTCAGACCAAGGTTTGAGCTCAAACCTCCTTTTGTTCCGCCAAACCTCCTTTTGTTATTTACAAACCAGGTTTGTAAATAACAAAAGGAGGTTTGGCGGAACAAAAGGAGGTTTGAGCTCAAACCTTTGTCTGAGCTCAAACCTTGCTTTGTGAATTCGGGCCCACAGGTTTTCTAAACTCCCTATAAAAGTAACAATGAACTCTTTTGATAGAACATTCCATGGAAGGCTCACCTGTTGCCTGAGACCATAGAAGACTGCATCAGGTTTGCCACCGCTGGTCGTCTCACGGTCAGAGAAGACATGGATGTCATCCCCTACGCTATTGGCAGGGTAGAGACCCACAATACCGCTGGCTCGAAGCAGCTTTTGGTCCACAACCTTCTTCAGCATGTCCTGGGCATCATCATAGACCTTCTTTGCTTCCTCGCCTGTATAGAACAAACCCCCAAAATAAAAGGGTTGGTTGCATTATCACTGATGGCAATTAAATGAAATTGGTCTACGTAGATAAGGTACTGAATCTGAGAAAATATGCGCTGTAGCCTCATTAGCATAAATCACTAGGCAAGTGGATTTTTAACACTTCAAATAGTTGCCTGTGCTTCCTAGTTGGTCTTGCAAGATGAACATCATCCACTGAAAGTTTAAAGTTCATGCCATTTCAGTAAGGATCAACCAGGATTGAATGGTAAATGGTCAAAAGATGATGATAAAAATATGCCGTTCTTGCAAAGCGCATATCACATTATGATTATAACATCTCTATCAGCTTCCAAAGTACCTTGGAGATTATTAAGTTGCAACAACGGTTGGTAGAAAACCTAGGTAACCTGACTGTCAGTCAAAGACTTACCGACCAACTTATCATTGAAGATTTTGGGATAGCCTCTATTTGGATAGCGCCCCCTCAGTTGCCAGACATCAAAGAAAGGTTTCCAGTCAATATAAGGAACCAGAAGAGACAGGTCGTAGTCCTCATAAACCTTGGTTCCAATGAAAGATGGTTCAACTAAAAGCAAACAATAAATCATTGGAACCATCATGTACATGGCAAGAGTGGAAACAATCAAACAACAGAAAAATTCAAAATGTTATCATTGCATATTCTGAAAAGTGTAAATACTGTAAAAAATTGCTAATTTAGAATGCTCAAATGAATTTTGTTGTTGATTTGTTTAAACTTTAATAATGCAAAGTATAACTTCTTCTCTTTTTTTCATGCTTTTACTTACTTGCTTGAAAATAATAGAATAGAAGTCGTCACACAGATTTGTTTCATTTTATATGTCATAATAAATACTTTTTCATACTTTTTTGTAAGATGATTGATTTCATAATTAAATAAATTTCAGGAAAACTTAAAATACCCACATTTCTTAGTGAAAGACTTACCAGGCTCAAAGTTGCTCCAATCGATTTCAAACTTTCTCTTCCTGACTTCTGACAGAGAGAGATATTTCCTATCCTGTTAGATAAAAAAAGTAAAAAACAAAAAATACAAATATTCATTTTGATTTATGTCCATCTGCTAGGCATGATAACACCAACTTGGCAACAGCTTTACAGGCATAGCACACAAGATGATTAAGTTAGAAGAAATGACACACTTTAACAACAATTGTACCTGACACTCGAGGCTGATCGAAAGGTCATATGAAACATGGCCCTTGGGGCATCCTATTGATTACATAACATTCCTACACAGAGTAAATACATATCTGTGAATTTAATTCAGTCAGGACACAGCTACATTGTGCATGGCAGCCAAATTTCTAGAGCATCTGCATGAAATATTAATGACACTGGCTTGTATAATGTGGTTGGAAATGACAAGTGCAATGCACAACAGTATTATATCAACTAGTGATACACACTGATTTGGGCCTTAATTTGTCCAAAGGTGAACACTGATCAAAACTTTAAAGTACAATTTTTGAAATTCTGAAGAAAAATAAATCTTTAATTTCTCTGAAAAGATTAAACATCCTTCAAATTTTATCATACTTAAAATTCAGTCTGGTATCAGTTTTATTGTTTGAATTATCAAATATAAAATGTTAAATATCTCCATTTCCACACCTAGTTATATAAAATCACACATAGCTCCCTCATATTCTAGAACAGAGGTGACTACAGTTCAGCGTCACAAACTTTCTCTATCCTTCTTTAAAGATAAAATGCTTCTATGATCTCAATATATTCATTCTGCATTTCTCTGAACAAATGATATGGACAATGACCCAGTCTTTTCTTACCTTAAGGGAATCATAGTGATCTTCTCGGACCTCTTCATATTCTTCTTTGACTTCTTCCACATAGTCATCATACCGATCTTCATCAATCAATGATGAGCACTAGATATATTAAGTATGTGAGAAGAAGAAAGACAAATAATGCACCACTTGAGTTCAAAATTTACAAACATTTCACAGGTGAGTGTCCTACATTGCAGTTGAAATACGAGTCAGTAGGCATCTCACAAGTTGTTCTAATCTAACATCACTATTTCTAATCAAAATGGCGACTCCCTTGGGAAAATGGCTAGGAAATTAGAATCTGCAAACTTGGGAGATACTGGTTTTCCTTGCTAAATAATTAAATGCAAGTGATTTAAAGATATTTTCCGCTGACTGACATTTTTTACATTAGATTATCAGCTAATGTTTGTTCGGTTTCCTTCTCCTTTAAATAAAATGAGAAACTGCATCGTCATGGTCTACGGTACTCAGTGTTTTTTGTCCCACAAATAAAAAAGACTTTACATTGCATGGGCATTCCATTTTAGTGTTACGCACAGCTACTTTGGGTCACTTCAGTTCAGTTCATTAATTCAAAAATTCCATTAAAAATACAATTCAAACAGATAAAATGCAAATACATATACATTTACAAGTATGAGAGGGGGAAAAAAGGAGAAGAAAAGGAAAAAATGCTAAATATTATACAAAGAAATGGAGCTTAGAGGGTTGGTAGCAAAAGAACATTCAGGGTCCTGTCGAGGCACCAACCCTGAATGCTGTTACAAACAAACACCAGTTTTTAGGTAGCTTACCACCTATGAGCCATAAGATGAAAAAGAGTAGAAGTTATATTGATAAGACATACATGAAGACGCATAAATATGATTCTTATCAAACAATGGTAACATAATGTCTAGCACTCACCACCACAACACTCTTGGAAGCATCCAGAACATGGATGGTAGGTGAGGAGTAGCAAGGAGCAATCTTAACGGCTGTGTGCGTCTTGGATGTTGTGGCGCCCCCTATGAGAAGTGGGAGGGAGAAACCTAGTCTCTCCATCTCCTTGGCAACGTGGATCATCTCATCGAGCGAGGGTGTGATCAGGCCAGACAGTCCGACAATGTCTGTTTCACAATAGTGGATGAAAAGAAGTAAAAACATAGTCTAAGGCAATTGTTTTTCCTTAAACCTCTTGTGCATCCTGAATTACAAATTTGTAACTGCCTTTATATTTGCTGTCTCCTAAAATGAATCTTGGAAGAGTTTTTTTTTTTTTTAATATTCAATTATACATTTTTGCTAAATCATTGACCTCCATTACACAAGTGTATAACTAAAATACTTTGTTGAATGATCCCAACGTGCTTCTACATCTTTAAACGTCAAAATCTTCCTGTAAGGGGATTTTTTATGTATTTTACATGAGTTTCTTTATTAAAAACTTCTCAATATCACTACAAAAAATTGTACTCAAATACATTTATATCCATTTAACATGACCTTATCAAAACCATCTTAAGATCATTGAACAAATTTTGTTCAAATGCCCGAGGAGATTTGCTTACCAGCTTTTTCTTGAATAGCTGTCTGGAGGATTTTCTCACAAGGGGTCATGACCCCCAGGTCGATGACCCTGTAGTTATTGCAGCCTAGCACAACACCTACAATGTTCTTGCCGATGTCATGAACATCTCCCTTCACAGTGGCCAGGACTATGGTGCCATTGTTGAAGGCCTGGTTAGAAGAGGTCAAGGAAGAGAGGTCAAGGAATCAGTGTTGATAGAAATATTAAACATGGGAACAAATATGCAACGAACCTTTCAAAAATGGTTATTTCATGTTTTGAAAGAATCATGATGTGAAATAAGGAACGTTTGACATAAGCCTAATTGGATACCATAAGTATGAGTACCGGGAGAATTGGTGCATTTGCACAGCATTCAAAATATATTGTTAGTTGGTGTAAAATACTTTCTTTGGTGCTTGTTCACCTTTTGACATAAAAATAATGCCCCCTAAAGCTCATCAAACCTATAAGAAAATGTAAATTCATTATTGTTACTTTTTATCCGAGTACTGATAAATGATGCAAGCAATGATGATATATCAGAGTACAAATATGATACATATACCAGCAATATATTATAAGAATGTGTTACGTGTCACAGTTAACATCTCCCTCCTTCTTCTCTATGTCCAAATTCTGATCATTACCACTTCTTGTCCCGTTGCCTTCTGGGTTTCCTCCTTCTCTTTCTCCATGAATGGGATGAGGTGACCCACGGCTTTCTTCATGACCCTCGCTGACTTGATGACCTGAGGTAAGAACATCTTACCAGCACCAAACAGATCACCAACGATGCTCATACCCTGGGGGTAGATAGAATACATGTAAGTACAGGTTATTCAATGTGCAGATCCTGAATATCATTGCACTCTTTATATTCACTCTCAATAAATCAACATACATAAAATATATTTAAAACCAGAAAAACCACAATACAGAGCAATTAGACAAAAAACAAATGATGAGAAGGAGGGGTCCACATAAAGGAGCAAATAGCCTTAAAATTGACCCCTAAATTGGCAATACATACATAACCATTTTTTTTAAATAAGGAAAAGAAAATCCTTAAATGATCTTTACATGCCCCGAAACAAGTTGTCAAAAGAGAAGTAAAATGGTGAAATCCATGTTAATATTTCATTTTCTAGAATATCATTTGCTGGGAGTAGGATCCAATGTTTTGCTCTTGAATACAAATTTGTAATCCTTTCTTTGCCTCTTGAAGTCAGTCCAAACATTAAATTGATTCTTCTAGTAGACTAAATGCTGGGAGATTGCATTTCTATACATAACCTACAAATTAAAGGGTATCAAAAATTTTGTTTATATGTACATAAGCTATACCCATTTGGACTTTTGTTCTTACTTTCATGAGTGGTCCCTCAATGATATGTAGTGGTCTTTTATATCTCTCTGTATTCTGCCTTGCTTCTTCTGTATCTTCTACCGCATACTTGTCAATACCCTGTGTAGAGAGAGAGAGAAAGAAAGAAAAACTCTCACAATCAACAAGTTATTTTCAGCAGGTAACACTGATATATATATCTTAATAATCTCAAAAACAACTTCTACCTGGTATCACAGTTCAACTAGTATTCAAGATATGTTAAAACACATTTATTTCCTTTTTGTATCTAATCAATATAAAATCTATGTTTGCATTCAAATACATGAAGGAATGTTAAAATTTATGTTCATTACCATATTAGTAAAAATCAACTGCATTAATTGCAAACCCATCATATTTCCTGTACTTTTGAATAATTCTAGTAAATATTACACAAGATGTATGTGTTGGGTACTGCATGGACCCACCAGACAGAGAGAGAGCTTATAGGATATTTACCTTTACGAGAGAATACTCCAATCTATCCTCCACACTTTCCTTCCTCCATGACTCGTCCGCTACCGCTTTCTTCGCACCAGCCCCAAGGTTCTGTTAAGAGAGAATGAGACACAAAACAATATCTTATCATCATCATCATTATTGCAATCATCAAAATTATAATTTTATTAATTCCAATTAATTTTATTCCATTTGTCATATAAAAACATACAAAATTAAATTAAAACATTGGTATTTACAGAAAAGTAAAGAACATGCGAACAGCATAACAAAAGATGAACACAAAATACCATTATGTATAGAATGCGGAAACCGACAAGAAATTGCTGGTCCCTTATGAAATAATAAAGACTGTTACCCTTATTCATACACATAACACCCAACACCTGATTGCATATATATATACAAATAATAACATGCTATTCACATGAAACGTAATTTTGAGTATCTCTGCTTAAATGTATTTGAAGTTAGGCTTGATCATCACCCCCATCAAAATGCAACAGCATTACAATTATCTTTGCTATCATTATCATATCATAATCATGCATAGAATTGCATTACAAAGCTTTGAATGGTAAAGCCCCAAATTCTTTTCCTAAATTATTATCTTTTAAATCTCCTCATCCACATTCTAATAACCTCACAAAATAATAAAAGTAACACTAGGAAATTATGCCTTCAGTTGTGACGCACCAAAGTTTTGGAATAGCCGTACAATATATATAACAAGAACCCCATCTGTTGCATTCTTGAAAGCATTGTTGAAGATGCACTTAACTTCAAAATCTTTTAAACAGTTAAGCATCAAACTCATGGCATGTAGAGACATTTATTTTGATGAAACTAGCCTATTTAAATATTTGAATTTTTTAAGCCAAAATGCTGGACCACCCCGGCCCTTACCATTTCAGCCTGAAAGTGGCGTTTATTCGACTTTTAACAATATTGCCCCTACACCCCTTTCAAACGCATATGAGGGTCAGGGTCCATCTCATGGCATGTAGAGACATTTATTTTGAGGAAACTAGCCTATTTAAATATTTGAATTTTTCGGCCAAAATGCTGGACCACCCCGGACCTTAACATTTCGGCCTAAAAGTAGTGTTTATTCGACTTTTTACAATATTTGCCCCTACATCCCTTTCAAACGCATATGAGGGTCAGGGTCCATCTCATGGCATGTAGAGACATTTATTCTGAGGAAACTAGCCTATTCAAATATTTGAATTTTTTCAGCCAAAATGCTGGACCACCCCGGCCCTTAACATTTCGGCCTGAAAGTGGCGTTTATTCGACTTTTTACAATATTTGCCCCTACACCCCTTTCAAGCGCATATGAGGGTCAGGGTTGATCTCATGGCATGTAGAGACATTTATTTTGAGGAAACTAGTTTATTTAAATATTTGAATTTTTTCGGCCAAAATGCTGGACCACCCCGGACCTTACCATTTTGGCCTGAAAGTGGTGTTTATTCGACTTTTTACAATATTTGCCCCTACATCCCTTTCAAACGCATATGAGGGTCAGGTTCCATCTCATGGCATGTAGAGACATTTATTCTGAGAAAACTAGCCTATTTAAATTTTTGAATTTTTTTAGCCAAAATGCTGGACCAACCCGGCCCTTAACATTTCGGCCTAAAAGTGGTGTTTATTCGACTTTTTACAATATTTGCCCCTACACCCCTTTCAAACGCATATGAGGGTCAGGGTTGATCTCATGGCATGTAGAGACATTTATTTTGAGGAAACTAGCCTATTTAAATATTTGAATTTTTTCGGCCAAAATGCTGGACCACCCCGGACCTTAACATTTCGGCCTAAAAGTAGTGTTTATTCGACTTTTTACAATATTTGCCCCTACATCCCTTTCAAACGCATATGAGGGTCAGGTTCCATCTCATGGCATGTAGAGACATTTATTCTGAGAAAACTAGCCTATTTAAATTTTTGAATTTTTTCAGCCAAAATGCTGGACCACCCCGGCCCTTAACATTTCGGCCTGAAAGTGGCGTTTATTCGACTTTTTACAATATTTGCCCCTACACCCCTTTCAAGCGCATATGAGGGTCAGGGTTGATCTCATGGCATGTAGAGACATTTATTTTGAGGAAACTATAGTAGGAGACCAGCCTGTAGGTCCCGTGACCAATCTCGGGGAACAAAGGTTTGAAAGTGTTTTTGTGTTCCCTGATGAATACCGAACAATTTTGACTTGGGCTGCCCCCTTGAAAATCCCAGGCATTTTCGTGAGGGGTCAACAAAGGTCATACAGGGTAGAAATTAAAATATACTCCAATCGTGTCGATATGCATATCAAATTACTCGGCTGGTCATGAGGATTCAAAAATGTACAGTTTGCTATACCTCCGACCTTAAATGAGGGCGCTATGGTCAAAAACGTTGAAAGGTCAACACACTTTTGACTGGTGGTCAAATTCACCAACACAGTGAACCTTATCAAATTGTATATCAAACTACTCGTCTGGTCATGAGGATTCCAAAAATGTATAGTTTGTTATACCTCCGACCTTAAATGAGGGCGCTATGGTCAAAAAGGTCAATGCACTTTAGACTGGTGGTCAAATTCACCAACACAGTTAACATCATCCGATTTTAATGATTTTAGTGTCTAATAATATGTTTTCTGACACGGCAAAATTCAACTATACAACTTTCAAAAGTAAAAGTGCTTACCTTGACCATGTACATTCAAAATGGCTGCCGTTTCGGTGACAAACATATATAACTTCTTATCCATGGGTTTGAGGGAAATTTCAAGGTTATGGCAACCACTTTTGGTTTTAAAAGTTGCTTAGTTGAATTTTTTATGTCAGAAAACATATTATTAGACACTAAAATCATTAGAATCGGATGATGTTAACTGTGTTGGTGAATTTGACCACCAGTCTAAAGTGCATTGACCTTTTTGACCATAGCCCCTCATTTAAGGTCAGAGGTATAACAAACTATACATTTTTGTAATCCTTATGACCAGACGAGTAATTTAATTTGAAATTTGATAAGGTTAACCGTGTTGGTGAATTTGACCACCAGTCAAAAGTGTGTTGACCTTTCAACGTTTTTGACCATAGCGCCCTCATTTAAGGTCGGAGGTATAGCAAACTATACATTTTTTGAATTCTCATGACCAGACGAGTAATTTGATATGCATATCGACACGATTGGAATATATTTTAATTTCTACCCTGTATGACCTTTGTTGACCCCTCACGAAAATGCCTGGGATTTTCAAGGGGGCAGCCCAAGTCAAAATTGTTGGGTATTCATCAGGGAACACAAAAACACTTTCAAACCTTTGTTCCCCGAGATTGGTCACGGGACCTACAGGCTGGTCTCCTACTACTAGTTTATTTAAATATTTGAATTTTTTCGGCCAAAATGCTGGACCACCCCGGACCTTACCATTTTGGCCTGAAAGTGGTGTTTATTCGACTTTTTACAATATTTGCCCCTACATCCCTTTCAAACGCATATGAGGGTCAGGTTCCATCTCATGGCATGTAGAGACATTTATTCTGAGAAAACTAGCCTATTTAAATTTTTGAATTTTTTTAGCCAAAATGCTGGACCAACCCGGCCCTTAACATTTCGGCCTAAAAGTGGTGTTTATTCGACTTTTTACAATATTTGCCCCTACACCCCTTTCAAACGCATATGAGGGTCAGGGTTGATCTCATGGCATGTAGAGACATTTATTTTGAGGAAACTAGCCTATTTAAATATTTGAATTTTTTCGGCCAAAATGCTGGACCACCCCGGACCTTAACATTTCGGCCTAAAAGTAGTGTTTATTCGACTTTTTACAATATTTGCCCCTACATCCCTTTCAAACGCATATGAGGGTCAGGTTCCATCTCATGGCATGTAGAGACATTTATTCTGAGAAAACTAGCCTATTTAAATTTTTGAATTTTTTTAGCCAAAATGCTGGACCAACCGGCCCTTAACATTTCGGCCTAAAAGTGGTGTTTATTCGACTTTTTACAATATTTGCCCCTACACCCCTTTCAAACGCATATGAGGGTCAGGGTTGATCTCATGGCATGTAGAGACATTTATTTTGAGGAAACTAGCCTATTTAAATATTTGAATTTTTTCGGCCAAAATGCTGGACCACCCCGGACCTTAACATTTCGGCCTAAAAGTAGTGTTTATTCGACTTTTTACAATATTTGCCCCTACATCCCTTTCGAGCGCATATGAGGGTCAGGGTCCATCTCATGGCATGTAGAGACATTTATTCTGAGGAAACTAGCCTATTTCAATATTTGAATTTTTTCAGCCAAAATGCTGAACCACCCCGGCCCTTACCATTTCGGCCTGAAAATGGCGTTTATTCGACTTTTTACAATATTTGCCCCTACACCCCTTTCAAACGCATATGAGGGTCAAGGTTGATCTCATGGCATGTAGAGACATTTATTTTGAGGAAACTAGCCTATTTAAATATTTGAATTTTTTCAGCCAAAATGATGGACCACCCTGGCTTTTACCATTTCGACCTGAAAGTGGTGTTTATTCGACTTTTAACAATATTTGCCCCTACACCCCTTTCAAACGCATATGAGGGTCAGGGTCCATCTCATGGCATGAAGAGACATTTATTCTGAGGAAACTAGCCTATTTAAATATTTGAATTTTTTCAGCCAAAATGATGGACCACCCCGGCCCTTACCATTTCGGCCTGAAAGTGGTGCTTATTCGACTTTTTACAATATTTGCCCCTACACCCCTTTCAAACGCATATGAGGGTCAGGGTCAATCTCATGGCATGTAGAGACATTTATTCTGAGGAAACTAGCCTATTAAAATATTTGAATTTTTTCGGCCAAAATGCTGGACCACCCCGGCCCTTAACATTTCGGCCTAAAAGTGGTGTTTATCCGACTTTTTACAATATTTGCCCCTACATCTCTTTCAAACGCATATGAGGGTCAGGGTCAATCTCATGGCATGTAGAGACATTTATTCTGAGGAAACTAGCCTATTTAAATATTTGAATTTTTTCGGCCAAAAATGCTGGACCACCCCGGCCCTTAACATTTCGGCCTAAAAGTGGTGTTTATCCGACTTTTTACAATATTTGCCCCTACATCTCTTTCAAACGCATATGAGGGTCAGGTTCCATCTCATGGCATGTAGAGACATTTATTTTGAGGAAACTAGCCTATTTAAATATTTGATTTTTTTTAGCCAAAATGATGGACCACCCCGGCCCTTACCATTTCTGCCTGAATATGGCGTTTATTCGACTTTTTACAATATTTGCCCCTATACCCCTTTCAAACGCATATGAGGGTCAGGGTCCATCTCATGGCATGTAGAGACATTTATTTTGAGAAAACTAGCCTATTTAAATATTTGAATTTTTTCAGCCAAAATGCTGGACCACCCTGGCCCTTAACATTTCGGCCTAAAAGTAGTGTTTATTCGACTTTTTACAATATTTGCCCCTACATCCCTTTCGAACGCATATGAGGGTCAGGTTCCATCTCATGGCATGTAGAGACATTTATTTTGAGGAAACTAGCCTATTTAAATATTTGATTTTTTTTAGCCAAAATGATGGACCACCCCGGCCCTTACCATTTCTGCCTGAAAATGGCGTTTATTCGACTTTTTACAATATTTGCCCCTACACCCCTTTCGAACGCATATGAGGGTCAGGGTCCATCTCATGGCATGTAGAGACATTTATTCTGAGGAAACTAGCCTATTTCAATATTTGAATTTTTTCAGCCAAAATGCTGAACCACCCCGGCCCTTACCATTTCGGCCTGAAAATGGGCGTTTATTCGACTTTTTACAATATTTGCCCCTACACCCCTTTCAAACGCATATGAGGGTCAAGGTTGATCTCATGGCATGTAGAGACATTTATTTTGAGGAAACTAGCCTATTTAAATATTTGAATTTTTTCGGCCAAAATGCTGGACCACCCCGGACCTTACCATTTGGCCTGAAAGTGGTGTTTATTCGACTTTTTACAATATTTGCCCGTACATCCCTTTCAAACGCATATGAGGGTCAGGTTCCATCTCATGGCATGTAGAGACATTTATTTTGAGGAAACTAGCCTATTTAAATATTTGATTTTTTTTAGCCAAAATGATGGACCACCCCGGCCCTTACCATTTCTGCCTGAAAATGGCGTTTATTCGACTTTTTACAATATTTGCCCCTACACCCCTTTCAAACGCATATGAGGGTCAAGGTTGATCTCATGGCATGTAGAGACATTTATTTTGAGGAAACTAGCCTATTTAAATATTTGAATTTTTTCGGCCAAAATGCTGGACCACCCCGGACCTTACCATTTTGGCCTGAAAGTGGTGTTTATTCGACTTTTTACAATATTTGCCCGTACATCCCTTTCAAACGCATATGAGGGTCAGGTTCCATCTCATGGCATGTAGAGATATTTATTCTGAGAAAACTAGCCTATTTAAATATTTGAATTTTTTTAGCCAAAATGCTGGACCACCCGGCCCTTAACATTTCGGCCTGAAAGTGGCGTTTATTCGACTTTTTACAATATTTGCCTCTACACCCCTTTCAAACGCATATGAGGGTAAGGGTTGATCTCATGGCATGTAGAGACATTTATTTTGAGGAAACTAGCCTATTCAAATATTTGAATTTTTTCGGCCAAAATGCTGGACCACCCCGGACCTTACCATTTTGGCCTGAAAGTGGTGTTTATTCGACTTTTTACAATATTTGCCCGTACATCCCTTTCAAACGCATATGAGGGTCAGGTTCCATCTCATGGCATGTAGAGATATTTATTCTGAGAAAACTAGCCTATTTAAATATTTGAATTTTTTTAGCCAAAATGCTGGACCACCCCGGCCCTTAACATTTCGGCCTGAAAGTGGCGTTTATTCGACTTTTTACAATATTTGCCTCTACAACCCCTTTCAAACGCATATGAGGGTAAGGGTTGATCTCATGGCATGTAGAGACATTTATTTTGAGGAAACTAGCCTATTCAAATATTTGAATTTTTCGGCCAAAATGCTGGACCACCCCGGACCTTACATTTTGGCCTGAAAGTGGTGTTTATTCGACTTTTTACAATATTTTGCCCGTACATCCCTTTCAAACGCATATGAGGGTCAGGTTCCATCTCATGCATGTAGAGATATTTATTCTGAGAAAACTAGCCTATTTAAATATTTGAATTTTTTTAGCCAAATGCTGGACCACCCCGGCCCTTAAAAATTTCGGCCTGAAAGTGGCGTTTATTCGACTTTTTACAATATTTGCCTCTACACCCCTTTCAAAAGCATATGAGGGTAAGGGTTGATCTC